ACAAATTTTCACGGCGCTGACGTTGAAGCGATCTAGGTCGTCAGACCTTCTACTCAGGCAGAAACCGTGGAACAGACTGGGCCACTTTTTATCGGAAAGCAAGCAATCCTTTCTCGCCCATGTGCACTCAGAAACGCCGGCACTAGCCAGGGACTGGCGATTCGTGATTGGCAATGAAATTCCAGGTACAATCTGTCCTTGGTTCAACAGTTAATCGTGTCTGACCCTTTGTAGACCTTGATAGCATTGCCTGTTCGATCGTATATTCATGGGTATACGCCTGGGACAACGGTATCCCGTCGGTTCCGTTAATACGGTCGACGAAGGCGGAGCTCTTTTTACGACCAGAAAATCTATACGCCCTGCAACTTGCGGGCGTGTATTCGCCAGAGGATCAGCTGTTACTTCTGGACGACCTCGAGCGTGAGATATCCACGCCCGACTCTTTTCCGGTCGACAGGCTCATTCTCGTTGACCACAATCGCGTCGATCCCGTGTTTGTTTCCGGAGAAATTGTCACGGAGCCATCTTGGGACGGCGAGCACCCGTATGGAAATACTGTTGTCGAGAGAATCATCGATCACCACTCCGACGAGGGCCTGTACACTCGAACTGCTGAGCGCACCATTGCTACAGCGGGAAGTTGCGCTTCTCTGGTCACTTCTCAGTGTCCAGAATGGATGCCTCCCGAGCCCGCCACCCTTCTTCTATGCGCTATCCTTTTAGATACCAACGGTCTGAAGGATAACGTCGAGCAAATTGACATTGATGCGGTGGCTTTTTTGCTTCCCCGTTCAATCTTGCAGACCACGTGTGAGCGACCCTCGCCTGATACTCTCCAAAGTCTGCCTGAGATACAGAACCTCACCGCTGAGCTCATGCGAAGGCGACTTTCTTTATCCCATCTCACCCCTCTGGATCTTCTTCGGCGAGACTACCAGGAATGCAGACTCCACGTCAGGTGGTACAATCCACCCGTTATCCGCGTCGGCATTTCTTGCATCCCATTCCAAGCGAAGAAAAGCGGCCTTACAAGAGCCTGTCAAAATCATTCAGACGAACATGGACTCGCTGTCCTTGCCATTTTGATCGACCAAACGCTAACGGTACTTACTTTTGATCAGGGAGGGCAGAGTCTGCGGGATCGCGTGTGGCAAGGATTGGAGACAAAGTTCCATTTCAAGCGACACAGAAAGCTCAGAATCACAGCGCTTCCCTTTGGTATGCAACGGAGGACATACACTCTACCTGCCGCCGAGGCGACGCGGGAATTCATAGAGGGAACGTTCAAGCATGTTTTGGAAGGACGTTAAAACGTCAAATGGCGGCGCAAGGTTCTTTAGTTGGTGGAAACCTCGTGGTACATTCTTAACTCCACATCAGAGTCTGGTCGTTGACTCCTTTGTCAGGATGACACAGGGACAAGTGCCGAGTATATATTCCAATGTGAATCTTGAATTGCTCCACTAGTAAACGTTCACGGACATATCAACAATTACTCCAAGATCTACGAGATTGTTAGGTTGCCCCCGTAATATCTGGTTCGAGTCCAGACTCCACGTAGGCGCGCGCTTACCGTCTTGATTGACCAAAAGATAATGGACCTTGCATTTGGCCGTCTTCTGCTCTCTGTACCGAGAAATCCACTACTCGAAAGGACCATCAGGGAAGCCAAGGCCAAGTAGCATGAACTATAATCATCTCAATGCACAGGCTCTCGAAGCTCAGTCATCATAGCCCAGAAAAAAAAAGATCCAATCCATCCCTGCGTCCAATACAGCTAGCGCACCCAAATGATATCCCCTTAGGTTTTGGGCTTCAGGAACGCGATCAATAGGAGAGACAGATACAGGATGTATAAATAAACCTCAAGTCGAGACCATCTGCGAGCTAGCTGTCGTTGATGTGTTGATTGACCCCAAAGATCACGTTTGAGCAGATGCTGTATACGGGATTTTAATAGCTAGGAACTGGAGCACTGTTCCAAGGAACTGCCTAGAACTGCTAGCTGGAGCCACACGAAAGATCACTGGATTGATCCTAGCATAATGAAAGTCGCGCCTTTTTATAGCTATATCATTTCTTTAACGTTACGGATCCAAGTGCAATGATGCACCGACGCCTTGTTTGAGTAGCTCTCTGCACTTGACATCAGGCTAGGCTTCCTGATGAGGTCTTTCAGGGTCTAGGGTCGGTCCCAGAGCCGGGTAAATGTAGGGAAGACAGTGGACAGTGGAGCATCGAAGAGCATCCTTCATATGGTGCGTCGAGCTACATTCAGTAAAAAGAACGACACGACAGGTTCCAGAACGCGTATCCAATGTGCTTGTCTCTGCGCAGCTCGATGCATGACCTAAAAAAGCATGCGATGGAGGAATACCCCCGAAATGACAACGATGCAAAGAGATGGGATTGTCAAAGTCATCTATGCGGAATAAATGCATGTATATGGATACACTGAATATGATAAGTAAGGTAGTCTGCGAGGGGGAACAATACAATACTGGTAAATGCATCTTCAATCGAATCGTACAACATTGGAGGGGCGTCTCATGGTTGCGCCGATGGTGCGACATTAAATGACTCGCCACACCCACAAGCATCCTTGATGTTTGGATTCTTGAAGGCAAACTTTGAGCTGTAATTAATGAGTAAGGATTACGATAAAGAGCAGGGGTAAGAACGCACCTTAAAGCATCCTCCTTCCAATCCATCTCGCTCCCTATGATTGAGAAGAGCGCCTTGCTGTCTATGACCACACGGACGCCATCCTGTTCTACAACCTCGTCAAACTTGCCCGGCTCCTCCACATATTCTAGATGGTATGAAAGTCCGGCACACCCCTTGTTGCGAACACCAATCCTGATGAGCTGCGGCGTTGGGCCACGTAGTAATGCCCTGAGGCGTTCTACCGCCTCTGGTGTCTACAAGCGTCACCATCAGCAACTGCCTCAAAACGGACGGAAAAGGTGACTTACTATCGTCAGCGCAGCCTTGGTCGCTCTAATCTTCGGTCTAGGTTTCTCCGCCTTGGGAACAGGAGGCGGCCGAGCAACAACCTGCGGTGCAGCTGCACTAGGGTCAAGCGTTGTCGCTGACGACGACCCCGACGGTACAGCGACAGGCGGGGAATCCACTACCGACAGACTCTGATTCGGACGGTACGCTGACATCATCGCGCGCCGAGAAAAGAGTAAAGAGGGGCCATATTGTCGTGAGGCATGACGGAGAGAGAGCATTGAAGAAAGCATCGTGGTCTGAATAACGGGAGTTAACAAGTCAAGTTGCACACAGCTGGTGCAGTGATGACAGTTTTATTCGACAAGTCGACAAAATCGGTCGAGACTCCGCTCAATCGCATGTGACTGACCTCAACCAATCAAAGCTCTCAAAGATGTAAAACTACCTTCCGGGTTTTCCGGTACTCGGGACGAGACGGGGTTCCATTGTTTTCCATCTCCACCGGATACAAATAGTCTCTGTATGCCAACTCGGGGACAAAGTAACAAAAGGGTGACGAAGCGCGGTAAGGTAAGTAATTTTTCTCTTCTCTTTATATAAGGAATGGTCAGTAAGAAGACAAAACAAGCCCGACGCGCGGCCAAGGAGGCTGGGAACGCAAAGTACGTCGTTAGAAGGGTCTTCCCTGTTTTTCCAACAGGTGCTAAACACGAGTAGGAATGAGGAGACAACAGCAGCCGCTGCCTCAGCACCGGCTTCACCGAAATCACCTGAGCCCGAGGTCCAAGTCGTTGTCGAGGAAGAGCTAGATCCCAAGACGCGGGCAGAAAGAATCAAAGAGGAGGGCAATGCCGCCTTTCGCGCGAAGAATTACCGGGAAGCTACAGAGCTGTATACCCAAGCTATCGGTGAGCACCAAAGATTGAATTCCCATTGACCCTGAAATAATGTCTTTCAGATCTGAATCCCACTGAACCATCCTACTTGACGAATCGCGCTGCCTCAAGCATGGCTCTAAAGCGATTTAAACCCGCGCTAGAAGATTGTCGAAAGGCCGCAACTCTGCAAGCCTCCTCCCCCAATCCCAAAACGCTACTACGGCTGGCGCGGTGTCAATTCGCGCTCGGTTCACCTACCCCCGCTCTCTCAACCTTGAATACCATTTTCTCCATCGATCCCAAAAATGACGCCGCACTACAGCTCAAAAGCAAGATATCTATCCTCGACGGTCACCTGCAGCATTTCCACGCGGCACGAGAGAGGAAGGATTGGCCTATGGCCCGGATCGCGTTGGATCAGTGTTTCCAAAACATAGAAAGTGAGGGAGATGAAATACCCACGGACTGGAGAGTATGGAGAGTAGAACTCGAGCTGGCTAAAGGAAACTGGGAGGGCGCCAACACAGCGGCAAAGTACGAATCTTTCTAATTCTTATCTTTTTCGCTCATTCTTACATGATCCCATACAGCGACGCGCTCAGAATGAAGGGAAACTCTCCTGAGGTGCTATCATTACGGGGACTAGTGCTATTCTTGACCGGTAAACTTCCTTCGGCTATCACCCATGTCCAAGGTGCTCTTCGGCTGGACCCCTCATACGGGCCTGCGCAGCGACTACGGAAACGTGTCAAGGATGTCGAGCGTCTAAAGGAAGAAGGAAATGTCGCCTTTAAAGCTGGGCGTCTAACGGAAGCTGTAGAAAAATACGGCGAGACTCTGGACCGGATCGGTGCATCCGAAGAGGAGGGAAAAGGCGGTCAGATACGCGCAACATTACTATCAAATAGGGCAACGACGCTGGTTAAAGTAAGCTGCACGTTTCTTGTCTCGACCATCAATTAATAACGCCTTGAAGCTGGAACGATACGACGAAGCGCTCGTCGATATCGAGGAGTCCTTGGAACTCATGTCCACGTCGTTCAAAGCATTCCGAACGCGTGCACGAATCCATCTACACCTTGAAGACTACGACAAGGCAGTAGCCGACTTCAAGAGCGCCATCCAACAAGCACAATCTGACGGAAACAGCACCGACGCAGACGTCCGGGCTCTCAAATCAGAACTCAAGAAGGCAGAAGTCGCGTTGAAACGGAGCAAGACAAAGGACTACTACAAGATCCTTGGCGTCCCCCGCGAATGTTCAACAACAGACATCAAAAAGGCTTACAGAAAAGAAAGTCTCAAGCACCATCCTGATAAAGGTGGTGATGAGGAGCAGTTCAAGCTCGTGGTGGAGGCGCATACTGTTCTTTCTGATCCTGAAAAAAGGAGCAGGTATGACAATGGTGAGGATGAGGATGGTATGGATGGCGGAGGGTTCGGAGGGATGGGTAATATGACAGAAGCAGACATTGCTAATTTGTTTGCTCAATTTGGAGGAGGCGGATATAGGAGTGGTGGATACGGAGGTGGTGGCTATGGAGGAGGCGGGTATGGAGGGAGCAGATACGGTGGGTCGAACGAGTACTCATCGCATGGTTTTCACTTTTAGATTTGCTGTTCCGACGTCATTCTGTATCATCTCGCGCTTATTACCATACATCCTTGCCTATCCGTCACTTACGATCTCGCAGCCTACCTTGCTGTATCTCTTTAGCGCCCTAGCTGATATCCATCTGGCCGCATTGTAATGCTGTATGGAGAGCGCATGTTGAACGGGCCGACTAACGTGCTGTTAATGAAGCATTCTATGCCAGCGGCGTCTCTCTTTCACAGCATAGGATCAAAGATGCTCATAATCCGCCGGAAATTAAGGATCATCTCACAGTGACGAAAGTGCTTCCTCAAGGCAATACCAACAACACATCCCCACCGGAACTAACGTTCTCGGTCCAAGGGTGGTATAAGTATAGCATCAGTGATTAAATTTATACATCGAGGATATCACGTTTCTCCGAAAACTACAGCGTCTGGGATAACACGAGGATCACGCTAGGCTCGCAATGACAGATAATGATATATGTATCAGCACCTGACGTACGACTACCGCACAATATATGTGAGGAGTGGAGCTAATAACGCGTTGAAAGCGCGCGCACCTCCGCATGTTGCGAGGGAGATATCTTAACATAGCAAACTGTTCTGGGCCACCTGCATATGACTCATTCTACAGCAGGAAGTCGGAGCACCTCGTGCTCTACAGCTTGGCGGTGGCTCTGTGGCGGTGTATATCTTCCGATCGCGTTCCTTAGAATTAGATTAGATGGTCTAAATTTGGGCCGTGTAAGATGTGGATGAGTAGCAGTAGTTTCATTGTGCAGGTATCTATACTACACATTAAGGGAGAGATGGGGGGTGGTACATAAACGTAATGATAAGTAGATGCAATACATATCGAGATCATGGCTTAAGAAATACAGTTGTCAGGGTATGAGGGGGGTGCTGGGGGCAGAAGGGGTATCATGGCGAGTAACAGTGGACGAGGTGTTCAGTCGACTCGACTCTGCTATGATACAACGAACAACTGCCACACATCAGGCATACGATCACCCCCCGTAGTTGCGAGGCCCATGAACGTATGATGCCCCTGCAAAAAGTCTACCCGCTTCAGACCCTTGTCTCTCTCCTCCTTGAGTTTCACAGGATCCGGGATACGTTGGTATCGCTCATGGAATGCTCTATAGACACTCTTCAATGTTTGTGGAGGCAGCTGGAGCTTGTTGCACTCCTTCTCCGAGACATTGGTGCGCAAAAAGGTGTAGATCTGCTCGACGACGTCGGCAACGGTGACAAAAGGCGAGCCTGACTTGGGCCGGATGTCGACACGCCATGGAAAGGCTGCTGATGAGATGATGAGGAGGGGTAAAGCGGGGTTGGTCGCTGGGTCAGAGAAGACATGGGGGGAAACGGCCCGATTATTGGGTGTGATGTTGACGGGGGGAAGAGAGACGTCGAATCTCAATTGGGGAACCTGGGAGAGAGCAAGAACAGGATGCAAGGTGGTCATGCAACCAGGTAATGGTGCACAGAATGAGCCATACTGGCTGGGCATCGACGACGACGCGCCATAATTAGATGGCAACGGTAAGGGCTGCTGGTAAGGAGGAGTCCTTGGTGTCTGTTTGAAGACAGTATTGGCAACGTCGTCAAAGTGTATGTGTTTGCCTGGCATTGTGGGGAGGTGAAGATGGAGTGGTGGGCCATGGTAACAACGGTAGTAATAGTTATATAGAAAAACGCGACAGGCAGAAAATCCAAGGCGATGATTAGTCCGGAAGGGCGCAGCCGCAAAATAATGAGTCACTGCCCCATATCACGTCCATGGTCACGGTAAATCACGTTCTGATTCAGACGAATTTGCATCGATTTTCTGGTATTTCTATTTTGGGCCCGCCTCGCGACATCAAAACGTACGCAATTTGCTTGTTTTGGTCTTGGACTCCTTGACATGACTCCCATCTTGATATCTTGTATCGTCCTGGCACCGTCTTGCCGGGCTCTAGTCCCAAGTAAATAGGTTCTATCCAAGGTTCCCCTCCCCTTCCCTCCTTGCAGTACGGCCTTGTTACACCGCCCCCTGCATCACCAGACCCCTCTGGCGCTTAAAGTGACATTCGGCGCCAAGTTCATTAATTGATAGGATTTCTTATCGGAAACCTCTCTATCTGATGAGATCGTCACGCCACCTGCCCGAGTAGTAACCAGTTTCACGCAACTAGCTTGCGCATCTTTTTCTCAAACTCGCAGTACGTAGATCTGACAGATTTTTGCTTGCCCGGTACACGTACGGCATGGCGCTTATTTGCCGTAGACAATCACCCCCGGATTGACCACGCTGGAATTCCATGGAAACATAGCCCCCGACCGACGTACACCTCACTTCGTTGATATAGAACCGTCGATGAAAATTTTTTTGGGCTTGCAGTGCACAGTCTTGTCGTAGTAGGTTCAATTCTATTGCCTCGTACGTCATGCACATATACTGTGCAGTCCACAATTAGGTCGTACGTGGTTGGACAACATTGTATACGTGGCTAGTTTGCTGCAGCAGCGCCGAGCATCTTGACACCAAGATCTATTTCAAATGGCCCGCCCAGGCTATGACTCCCCGACCACAAGCTTGATTTCGAGATAAGACTTACGTTACTTGGTGGCTTCTATCAATGCGGCCAAAAACGCGACGCGATTCGGAATTTCAAAGTCACTGACCAGAATGACTCGACGCGACCATTTTTAATCAAGCGGTACCGCCCAAAGCCACCTCTGAACCGCTAAATTGACAGTGATTAGCATCAATAACAAAAAATTATGGCACCTCCGAAGGTCGGAAACTCCAAACCAAGAACTTTTATGACTCCAATCCACAGAAGCTCGACGTGAACGTACTTATCCCGATGCTTCCCTTGGACCCTCATCCATCCGGATCATATCACGACGGTAACTCACATAGGCACCATCAGATAGTTACCGCACAGTAGGGTGCTGAGCTGCTCTCGGAGGTGACGACATCACAACAAGACAACGTATGGGTCCATTGAATATCTTCTCTCCTGTTCATAATAGCTAAACAGTAATAAATATACGGCTTCTTATAGTCTCTGCGCTCGTACGTCTCAGTTCATCTACGTCTCTTGCACGTAGTTACCTATATGCAACGAAAAAATCAGATCGTCCGAACTGTTTTGATGTAAAGAAAACGCACCAGGAAACACCCCTTGTTGACCATTCAACCTCCCCGTCCACCAATCTTCTGCACTTCCCGTCCTTTCTACGATTTCTATTCGATCACCAACGTTGAACGACAGATCACCTTCAGCCTGAGCAGCGAAATCATACAAGGCAACTACATATTGCACTGCCGGTTTCGCAGCCGGCTTAGGCTTCAGAGGGGGTGGAGGAGGAGGCGCGCGCTTCGTAGCAGCTACGACAGAGGCAGAATAAGGTGGTGGTGGAGCAGCTACAGCAGCGGGGGGAGGGGGTGGAGGGGATTTCTTAAATGACGACGCGGAAGGGGCTGTGTAATGCGGGGCTGGCGCCTTTGTGGAACTACCGTAAGATGAGGTCGTCGCACTTGACGAGTTACGCGTTAAGCCGCCTCCTGCCGCGCGATTCTGTTGCACAAGTTTCGCTGCACAGCGTCAGCCCATCGGGAAAGGGAAGATCAAAGGATCCCACTTACAAACTGAGATAATCCTCTTAGTGATATTCATTTCTTCGATCTGACTCCATGCGTCTGTTCGGTTCTGCTCGTAATCGTCGCAGATTTGTTGACCAGGAACATTGGAGATGTCGTATTTAGCTGTCTCTGCAAAATTATTCATCTTTTCGAGAATTAGGTAGAAGATGTTAAGCCTAGACAACATTAGCCTGACCCCGTAACGAGTTTCATTTATCACGTACTGCATATAGAAGAATGAATGGAAGAGGGGATCAATGAATTGGGTCGAGAGCGTCATGAAACGCGGTAGATCAGTCTTCAACGCATTGTTGATAAAGTCATACTCGTTTGTCGCCAACTCAAAGTCTTGTTCCAACTGTTGCCAGTCAGCGAGGTGTTTCATGATGCACTTGAAGATGTGATCTTGCCTTGAATAAATTCTTCTCATCACTCAGAGATTTCTCCTTCTTGTCGCGTAATTTAGTCAGGGAATTGTTGAAGCGGTCGTAGTCCATCAGCTAAAAGAATCATGAGGATTGCATCTCCAAGGACCTTGAGAACAGACACACACCTTATGGTCTCGTTTCGTGATGCTCTTCCTGATCAGCTTCATTATCGACTGCAGCTCCTTCGCTGGACCCGTTATTCTACTCTCGATGAGCTCAAGCTCGGGTCCGACACTCGCCCGTAGCTCTTCCATCGCGGTCTCATACTTGTCGACATTACGAATAGTCTGCCCAGCTTCCGGATGTTTACCAATAAGATCGTACTCGCCCGAGATGGGATGCATGAGGACCGAAAAGTGCGTTGCATAGCCCGCCCCACAGGTAAAGAGACCTATTCCTGCTCAGTACCACATCGCGTGACGGCAGCGGGCAAAAAGCACTCACCATTGACAGCATCAAGGAAAGACTTGACATCCTTAATAAACTTCTCACTAGCCTTTTCCATTTCCGCAAAATGACGTTGATAGTCATCGAATTCAGGATCGTTGGACTCTGCATTGACTTCGTCACAGCTTCGGGCAACGGACCCGTCGGAGACTTACTTTTGGACATGCCAACTTTGCTGGTCACCATGAACGGCGTCCTGCAAGACAATCTGAGTGCATTTCCCGGGAATCGCTGGGTGTGGGCTCACCGCTTGACCGCCTTGGTGAAGCCCTTCATGCTGGGCGAGGGAGAGAGGTAGATGTTACTGTGAAATCGATTCCAATTACGCACGGAAGCACAGCCGAGACCTGATCGTACCGATTTTCCCACGGTTGTTGTTTAGTCATATCGCATTATGCGAGGGGAAGCTTGAAGAGACGCTCGAGAACTGATCTAATGTTATCTTGCTTTGATACAAAAAATAGTGCGGTGTATCCTTCCACACTGTTCATCTTACGTTGTCAAAGTGGCGATGCTAGCTAGGCATCTTCCTGAGGAGGTGACTTTTGGCCGACACCCCAGATGCCGCCGGTCAACGTATTAAAAGTAAGCATCACCACTGAAGAAGGTCACCCGACTAAATGTTTAAATGGATGAAAAAATTGGCGCTTGAATCTATTGAAATCGCTACTATTAGAAGGCCTCGGCCTCGGCAGTTCACCGTCAGTATCATCCAGGGCTTCCTCCAGGACACAGCTCACCTTCTCCAACCCGCAAAATTTTCTTCCTCCAAAATTACCGCCCTGATGGATACCAGGTAGCTTCTTGTGTCCTAACAACACAGCCGTCAACCACGGAGGCGCTATTCCATTCTCACTCATGGTGACGCCCAAATATAAGTGAAAGAATTCAAAAATACCTGAAATTGCGAGGAATACGGGTGAGAAGCGATGGGTCTAATTTTATGCATTGTACAAACTGCGGATGGGCAAACCAATGCGACAAAAGTTAACAGCACAGTAATTAATGGCATCGCAAATGATGAGACTAGCTACAGTATCCAAATAATGCTACAACGTCAATACTTCAAAGCAGACTTAATTGAATATCCTTCCAACCCCCCCACAGACCGGACAATTATCCTCTAGAAACAGAAACGAAATCAGCCCACTTCCTTCACACCGCCAACACAGTCTCCCGCCTATTCGAGGATCACCCGTGGGATACACAATAGCGCCTCGAGGGGCCCGACCTAGCCCATTCATCGGCGTAATTAGCGGTCTCGGCGGTGGAGGTCGGAACCCATGGTGCGGCGTAATATATGAAGGTTGGTATCCCGGATTGGGAGGTGGAGGACGAGAGCTGGATGCCGACTGGGGGCTATGGTACGAAGGAAGCGGGCGCTGGAAATTTCCAGTCGTCCTAGATTCCGGTGAAAAATCCGTATACATGAGCGCCCCAGAGAAGGGCTTGGAATACCTGGCCCAGCACTTCCGACACGGATGCGAAGGATCATTATGTTTGTATCCAGTATTTCTACCTAAAAAAACCAGTTAGATAACTCCAGCATTCAACATGGCATTCCCTACATTTATCACAATGGTATCCAGTTGGATACACGAGGAGACGGTTATTATTTAGAAGAGGATGGCCTGGAACCGGCGTAGTCGTTGGACGGCCGTTCTGCGAGCCGGCAGACGGAGGACCAGAGTGAGGTGACGATGGACCCGAGCGAGGTGGTGGACCTGAAGGAGGCTCATATCCGCCTGCAGAAACGGGGCTGCGTCGTGGAGGTAGAGGTGGGACATCATTATTGGGTGGAGGACCGGGTGGAGGCGCGAATCTGCCGCCAGCAGATGACGGTCGAGGCGGAAGTGATGGAGTAGAGAGGCTACTATTGTATGTTTGTTGTCCAGGATATCCCGACCAACCGGGACGAGAATAGCTGCCATTGTTACCAGCACCGGTCAGCTGTGATACTAACTGACCAGTTAACTGTTGCAGTAGCGAAGGTGGCCGGCCAGTATGATGATTGTGCGAGCTCGAGGTCGACCAGCCTGCAGAAGTCGGTTGCAGGAGGACAGGCTCAGGCTGCGGCTGCGGTGGTGGATGTGGACGTGGTGGTTGCTGAAACGGTCTTGCTGGACCAAACTCCACCGTGCTTTCTCCCTGATAAACATTCGGTCCCGGTGTATACGCAGGCGGTAACTCCTCTGTAAGGCCTGTGGGGTCTGACCGCAGCTCTTCGCTTGGTTGGGAAGACGGACTAGCGCTCGAGTTATTTGGGTTTACTGCGCTTGTAGCAGGTGATGAAGTGGATGCAGCGGAAGGACTAGAAGGTTCAGGATGTGAACGACTGGGCTCAGATTTCGGTGGTGGCGACGGAGGTGGCGACGACGACGGCTGCAAGCGTGCAGGATCTCGAAATGGATTGTGCGATGACATGACGGCGAAGGTAGAAGGCACTGGAACTCAGCGTTATTAAGGGGCCATTACTCCATCGGCCCGACGGACCACGCTTTCATCCTGATCAATTCTGCTGAGCAACTACTGAGAAGGCAATGCCCAAACGACGGATAATTCTGGATAATTCTGGCAACATCGGAGCAACTTGAAATATCGATAAGTACATGGACACAGGTTATTTGACGGCTAAGCAGTGCAGCAGCTCTTTCGAATTCAACTTTACTGTATTTACTCTCATTCTGATTTCATTGGAACCACAGTAGTCCTTCTTAGGTTGAGGATGCTTCAAGATTTCCTTGAGCGACACATGGATACGCCCGATACAAATCCCAAGTCCTGACTTCTTCGACGTCTGGTGAGGACAAGGCACGTTTAAATGCCCCGTCCTCTAATACGCTAGCAGAAGTCACCTCTAAAATGAATACATGAGTTCTCACAATTATCAACAAAAATATGGCGTGCTTACCATGAATAATCAGGTATTTGGGTACTTTCTGTGCCTCCGGTCCTTCCGGTACACCAACACCGGACTTGAGGCTGTCGATGCAGAGATAAGCCCTTGTCCTAATCCAGCCATCCACACTGGACAACTTTCCCTTAACTTCCGCTGTCCACCCATCAATCTGACCATCCTCCAAGGTAATCCCGTAAGTTACAATGACTTTCGTCGGGTCCGTAGACTTGAACGACGAAGCCTTCTGGGACTCTCCAGAATCGTATGATAGCTCATACGTCCGACGGTCCAGAAGTTCGAGCCGCTTGACCAAGTCTGCTTCTCGAGGACTACGAGTGACTCTCAAGCGAGTGTAGCTCTCGTGTTGGAATATAGCAGTGTCGTCGATATCATAGACAGCTAACCACCCAGGGAGCTTTCCATCGGATGCACTGAATCTTGCTCCTGTGAGAAATGACGGGAGATGATTAAGGCGTAGCGGGACATGCTCGTTGTTGTACCAATCTGAAAAGCCATGTAAGCGCATGTTCATTCAATATTGTGGTAACCGGAACCCTACCTTGGAATTCTTCCAGAGTTACTTGCTTTCCTGGCTCAGAGAATACTGCTAAGAACCCAGGCGCCATGGTGGTTTTGAATAATCCGGTGAATCTCACATGCTCGTTCTGTGAGTAGGAGCGGAATTACTTTCCTCCGTCTACCAAAAAGGTATCAGATACCACGCTGTGCGGTCCGATCCTCCGGAACTTGTCCTTGAACTTCCGACGAGTCGACAGACATCACCCATTGCATTCACGATGACTACTAGTCGTCCACAAAATTTCAAGCCTGGATTGCTCATTATTGACATGCAGAATGATTTCTGCCCTCCTGTAAGCTGTATCTCATCTGTCGAAGGCTTCATTCATCCCCTTGTCTTAGGATGGCTCTCTTGCTGTTACAGACGGGCGCTCCATCATACCAATAATTAAAAAGCTCGCAACTTTACCCGCATTTGTGTCTAAGGTCGCAACGAAAGATTTCCACCCACCCAACCACGTTTCTTTTGCCTCCAATCACACGGCGCCTAACAACGTACCCTTCACTTCATTCGCCACAATCACAAATCCCTACAACCCAAGCGAGTCATACCAGACCCGTTTGTGGCCGGATCACTGTGTACAAGGCACCGTAGGCTCAGAGCTCGTCGAGGGCATGGACCCAGCAGCTAACAACATAGACGCCGTGATCGAAAAAGGCGTAGATAGCCGTGTGGAGATGTACTCCGCCTTCTACGACCCGTTCACGTCCCCAAGGATCTGTGACAGTGGGTTATCTGATTTTCTGAAGAAGTCTGGAGTGAACTGGGTTTATGTCGTGGGTTTGGCCCTCGATTATTGCGTCCGTGCTAGCGCTTTGGACGCTCGAAAGGAGGGCTTCGAAGTTGTTCTCGTTAGAGATGGCACAAAAGCAGTTGACGGATCTGAAGAGAACGTTCACAAAGTGGAAGAAGAACTCCGTCAAGCGGGTATCAGGGTTGTCGATATGGCATCCCCTGAAGTCCAATGGCTATCTACGAGCAGTTAATCACAATCCTTTATAAGTAATCATCATTTTCAGTGTAAAAATATGCTTCGAGAATACAGAATTGTTCAATACAACAAATGGTTAATTACTCGCTTGACTTTGGCGTCGGTCTGCCTATTGGCATTCTACTGGTGCAAAGTCCTCACTCATCATCATCACCATAATCCGAATCCTCAAAATAATCATCACCAGTTGGACCAGCTTGCGTCGAGACCGTCACTGCAGGCGCTTGCTGTTCAATATCATTCGGGTCAAAATCCGATCCTGGATCATCTCCATCGTTATTGGCCGATGGAGACACCATATGGCGAGGTGGTTCTCGTAGCTCACGCTCCTCATCGATGGCCGGTCCTTCGACCAATGTCGTCCAAGCGTCAAATATCCTCCTACCCAAGGGAATCAGAAAGCTAAAGTAATGCTCAGTGTCGTCGTTACCTAGAATCGTTCCCAGCCGACACAGTCTTAACCTGCCCTCGAGGGATCAATCCCAGTTTCGTACAGATCAGATGTACCGTCTTGAGCTGCTGTTCGTCGACCTTCAGGTGTTTGAGCGCCATCTCTTTCACGTCTACAATATAAACCGGGTGCTGAGAGCGAGTTCTGGATGAAGGCTGGAGGAGGTCTTTGAGACCATTACCCCACGTCGTGCTATCCACACCATAACATTGACCGAGGACCTCTAGAGTGTCTCTCCGCCCACAAACAAGAAGCAGGATTGGTTCAGAATCGCGCTTCCGAAAGAAATCCTGTACCGCCCGAGTCGCACCCTCTTCGTCAACTTCCTCCGAAGTGCCGTATATAAATTTCTGTAAAAGAAAATTAATCATTACGTCTAAATTCATGTAGACAATCAACTGACGTCGCGTTTCCCCGCGTCGAGCATCTTGTTCCTCTTTACGACAAGATGTCTGACGGCTGGCGGAGGATCAAGCCGCCCGGGCGCTCCTTCAGCAAGGCCGATATCTAATATCGTTGGGCTACCCGATTGCCATCTGTTATAGATGAAGGAACACATCCGGAAGGACTCGAGCCATGATGATCTATCCACTTCAATCAATGTTTCGTCAAGTATATTCTGCTTCAGCCGATATAGTACCCTGTAGTAAAAGCCAACTCAGTCCATCTTGATCAGTCCAAGATCTATTTAAGCGTCTACGCACCTCCCGTGCTCGAAAAGCGGGCGATATAAACCATCGTTACGTCTATCGGGATCCATCGCGACAGAATCATAGCCTTTGTTGGCTTTGCTCCTGTCCATTGGGGGCATGGCATTTCTCCTGTTGTTGTTCTTGGAAGACGCCAGCGATCCGAGCTTCTTGGATAGTTCGTCCCTGCTTTTGAATTCAATGGGAGATATGGATTCAAAATCTCTGGCAGTAAGGCTTGTTTCCGGATTGGGGTATTGTAGACGGCAGTTACGCGCAATGTCTTTCACCCGGCGCTCAGGTATCAATAGATATGAAGCGCCGGTGTTCGCAATACCTTGAGACAAAATTCAGTATCGAATACACTAGGGGAATTAATCCACTATACCAAGTGCTAGCTGTAATACACCACCCTTGGCTGCCGTGAACACATCTCCTGCAAGTTTGTTATGATCCCAAAAATGTCCTCTGGAGAAATGTCAGCCGGGAAGGACACAGGACAGCAGATACACCTACTTATCAGCCCATCTAAAGTCAAGCCGTCGGTTTTCGAATCCGCCCAGCTGATAATAGTACACCATACCTGTCCGGCTGAAAGGTGGAGGAAGCAACACGGAGTGGCTACCACAGAACGGAAACTCGTGGGAGGCACAAGAACTTCCAAGTTAGGCAAGTCGGTGCTTCGACGCCTCACGCGTCTGATGGGGTGATGTTCGCGTTTAGAGCTTCACACATCAATAGCAGCAAAAGAAAAATTAATAACGCATGAGAAGACATGAAATGACACGTATAAATACACCTATTATAAAGAATTTCTATGTCGATAAGTTACTAATCCTCGTCGACGAAGATCGAATCATCTCCGTTTTCCTCGTCACTGTCTTCGATTTCCATGTAGTTTCTACTAGCTGTGGCCGCTGCCGACCTTGGGGGCCGGGCGGTACGAGGAGGCTTGGGTATAGCATCATAGTCCATGTCGTCATCGTCATCACTATCTACAGCCTTGGGAGGTGACTTCTTCGCCTTAGGAGGAGAAGCTGGCTTCATCTTCTTAGTTAGCTTCGTTTTCTTGGGTTCAGAAGGCCCAGCCTTGGTGAAGTAGTCCGTAACCGCTGGCTGGGAGGTCCCGGCTTTCTTCTTCTTGGGCGCTGGCTCGTCCTCAACGTCATCTTCCTCCTCCATCTCTAAACTGAAACGGCGTTAGACTCAAAAATACAATTTAGGAACCACTGCAATATACCTTTTCCGCTTGGGTGCTGGCTTCGCTTTCTCCTTGCCCTTGTCCGTGCTCTTGGCTACGATGGCAACATCGTCGTCGGAATCAGACTCGGGCAGTTTTGACTTAGCCACAGGTTTCTTCTTAGGGGCAGGCTTTTGAACCTCGACAAGGTCAAAATCGTCGTCAGATTCGTCCTTTGGCTTCTTCTTGGCAGCTGCAGCGCGCTTGGGCGCTGGTGGCGGAGGCATGTCATCATCGTCATCATCCTCACGTTTCGCCACCGGCTTTCCAACCGGCTTTTTCTTCGGTGCAGCTTTGACAGGCTTGAAGTCTTCGTCATCGTCTGAGCCCTTGTTGCGTGATCCGATAGATTTCCGCGTCTTCAGGGTGCCTTGCTTCTTCTTGCCTTTTTGGCCACTAGCCTTCATCGCGGCTTGTTGGACTTCATGTTGATGTTTCTATAGATGTTTAACATTTTCGTCGCTGCAAAAAAGCGAGGCAAACACTGACCTCATACACGACCAAGAAGTGGTCGAGATCCTCGTTCCACATTTGCTTGGGTGTGACCTCCAACAAAGCAAGAAGCTCCGCCTCCTTGTCAGCAGCTTGTTGGCGGAGTTTGTCAATCTGCGAGTCGAAATCAGAATGCGGACTACATGAACCAGTGTCCTAAGGTACCTTCTCCTTCGTCAAGTTGTAAATCGGCATAGTAAGCAGATAGTCGAAGTCAGTATCAAGTTCGTCGTCAACTTCTTCGTCTATGTTGTCCTGGTTCTCGTTGTCGTCTGAAACCTTAGGACCCTTAGGCTTCTTGGGGTACGGGCGGAATTCATGACGTCTCAAGTCAGCGACAATGTCCACCTTCTTGCGGTTCGACACGACAAGCTTCTTGTCCACGATCATTTGCACAAAACGGGCTTGGTTCGAGAGCTTCTCGAAGGCGTCCTGAAGTTCGCCAGCTAGGTAGTCCTTGAATGTTGCTTAGTGTCAATTTGCGGCCATTAGTAAGAAGACATACCTTGCGCTTCTGATAGTACGCCATGCGTATAGGATAGAAATCCTCCACGATGGCCTCTGGCGAGTCATACCTCTTGATCTTGCCTTCAAAATCGAAACATATCATGTTTGCAGTGCTAATCTTTGTCGTGAGCTGGAAGTACTCGTTGAAGCCTTGAGCTTCCGCCTTCTCCATCTCCTTAGGATTCATCTCAATCACGAAGTGCACGTTCTCGTTGGAATGGTGCTCTTGGTAATTCTGCAAACAGAGTGAATAGAGTGCTAAGACGGTACCGAACGGACCCCACCTTGACTGCATCTGTCTTGTCACCAGCCATCATTGCTTCGAGATCCTTTTTGAAGTTCGCGGTCCACTTGTGAATAGGAAGTTCGGTTACCTCGACAGTGCTGTTGTCGACCTTCCTCGCGGTACCGATCACTTCATACTTGTTCTTTCCTGTCGGCTTGACTTCTCCGGTAAAGCGGTGCCACCACGGATGCATAGGCACCACTTCCTCGCCATTCATTAGCCGGCGAAGGTTGGCCACAATGTCGACTGGATTGAAACAAGGAACGTTCGTACTCCAACCTGGAATGATATTTGTCAGGAACCAGTTCAAAGACACCGAAGCAGGGCGTACCGGTACCAATGCCCTCCGCTCCATTGACTAGGATCATGGGTAGAACAGGGAGATACCATTCAGGTTCAACGACCTGCCCGTCGTCCTCTTGGGCGTTCAGTAGTGCATCGTCGGCAAGATGGAAGATCGATCGAGTGATAGGGGAAGGCTCTGTAAAAATATACCTAGGCGAGGCATGATCTTTTCCACCCTGGTCGCGAGAACCGAATTGTCCGTTGGGAAGAAGCAAGTTAATGTTGTTGGATCCAACGAAATTCTGCGCGAGATTGACTATAGTCGCTGCTAAACTAGCTTCACCGTGATGGTACGCAGATTTTTCGGAGACATAACCAACAAGCTGGGCCACCTAAAAGATCCGCGCATTAATCAATAGCTTTGACGAAACATGATTCCTTAACAAACCTTGATTTCCGACTTCAGATTTCGCTTGAAACAAGACCATATGATCTTCCTTTGACCAGGTTTCAACCCATCGGCAACAGAGGGTATAGATCGAATATTATCAGCCATGGAGAACAAAATAAGCTCCTTGTTGATGAACTCCGAGTAGGATATCTCATCCAAGTTGTGGTCCAAAAATGTTCCGGGCTGGCGGCATATAAGTATCGCGTCTGTTATAAGGTCCAAAACTCACCCGGAACTGACGAAGCCATTCCTTTCGCTCATCGGCTTTCTTCTTACTGAAAGCGAGGTCGATCTCTTCTCTTTCTTCCTCCTTGAGCGGCGAGAAGGGAATTACATGCTTGCCCATGTTTGCGAAGTACTCAACGGCATCAGTGTCTTTACTTGTACCGAGACCCTGTAGGCAACATGGAGATCCGAGGTAACGATGGATTAGGTGTAAACGTACCTTGAAATACTTCGCTTTCCATTTCGCGGAGTCCGGCGTTCTTTCCACCCATTCTTCGTATTCAGGAATAGTAAAGAAGTCTTTACGCTGGTTGCCTTTCGTGACCTTGTCGAGTTTTAATGAAAAGATTACGGCAAGATACTATAAGAAACTTTACCCGAACGATAGGTGTCACGAATTCAACAAGGAATCCCGGCAACTTTAATAGAGACGGATAGAAATGATCAAGGTAATTAATGAGGAGGCCTTTGATATGAGAGCCATCGTGGTCCTATTGTGACATGAATATCCCGCACACTTCAGAGGTCGACAAGACGTACCTGATCCGTCATAAGCATAAGTTGGCCGTACCGCAACGACGAAACATCCTTGTACTCTTTGTTGTGCTGCAGGCCCAAAATCTTCTTGATGTTCTGGATTTCCTCGTTCTTCATGATTTGGTCGTGTTTTGCTTCGCGAACATTCAAAACTTTACCACGAAGGGGGAATATACCAAAATTATTTCGTCCAACGACACTGAGACCCGCCTGGGCCATAGTTTTGGCAGAATCTCCTTCTGTCAAGATAAGAGTGCAATTCTTGGCATTTTTGGTGCCGGCCATGTTGGCATCAGACAGCTTAGGCAGACCTGTGATCCTAAAGAAAGGTATCAGATAACGTCGCCGGAAGTTACATGGAGCATACCTGCTACGTTTCGTGCCATCGGTTTTCTTGATTTGCTGATCGGCCTTGAATTGAGCCCAGTTCAGGATATGTTCGATGATGGGAGACTTTTGGACTATCCGAATGTTAAATGGCATCGCCACATGGAGCAATAAATCCTCACCTTTCTTCAGGAAATCTTCCGACACAACGGGTTTCGTCCCGAACTTCGACGCAGGCAGAGTCAAGGTTTCTTTGGTTTGACTGTCAAATGTAGGATTCTCGATGAGAGCATTGATGAAGATCCACATATGGTTCTTGATCTGCTGGCTTTTTACAGAAGCGGCCTTGTTTTTCTTCGAGACCGCTGCCAACAAGCTCTTCGAAATTTGATCCGAGATGAGGGTGACATGGGTACCACCTTTGACAGTAGCAATCGAGTTGGCAAAGGCGACATGCTGGAACGATCCCTCAGAGATGGCGAAAGCAACTTCCCAACGCGGATTAATCTGCTCGTATATCACCGTTGGTTTCGATTGAGCGGCGCCACCTGACTTGTCTTCAGCCTCCGCCTGAGCAGAGTTGAGATACATTTCGACGTATTGCTTGAAGTTTTTGACTTTGACCCTTTCGTCATTAAGAAAAACCTTCACGTCCCTCACCGTCCCTGCCATATCATACACCCGTTTGCGCAATAGAGCTGCTGTATCCTCGTCGATGGAGTCCATTCCAAACCGCGCGAGATCGGGCTTGAAAGAGACTTTGGTCCACTCCTCTCCCCTGGCGTTCTTCGTGATCTTTGGTTTCCCACAGATGCTCATATTCTGCGTCCAAGTTTGCTTGTACTTCTGATGAGTGTTTTTGTCGGCAGTCTCAACAGTGAATTCGTGGGAATAGATGTTGGCAAGTTTCGCTCCATAACCGTTACGTCCACCAGTCAATTTCTTCTCGTCGTCATCGTAGTTGGAGGAAGAGAGGAGGTGACCGAAGATGAGCTCTGGAATATACATCTTCTCTTGAGAATGCATCTCTATGGGAATACCCCTTCCGTTGTTATAGACGGAAATGGTTCCTTCCTCGACGTCAATATTGACCTTGATGGTGTCCATGCTTGGGTCGTTGATCTGCAGATGTCGGAAATGTCAGCTTCATTGTCAAGATGACTATACAGGCCTGGTACCTTGTTATCGGCAGCGTTGACGAGAATCTCATCTACTATCTTGTAGAATCCGGGGACGAATTTGACTTCGCGATTCACCATGCGCTTAGTGGCTGCATCATACGTCCACATGGCTTGAGTAATAGTCTCAACGCTTCCGATATATGAGTCGGGACGTTTGAGAATGTGCTCTAGTTGCGTAAGCTGTTGAGATGCTATCAATACGTTGCCCTCTGACCAACAGCCACGACGCACTTTTTGATAAGTCTCTGAAGCCGATTTCTTCTTCCCTGGAGCAGTAGGCTGCGTTACTCGAGCAGCAGAGGACCCTGCATCGTCGTCCACGTCCGAATCAATTTCCATCGCAGCGTCCTCCGCATTGTCGTCGTGGTCAACTAACACCTTCTTCTTTGTTGCCTTCGGCTTCGGGGCGGCGGTCTTCGAGGAAGCAGCCTTGGACTTCGTGGCAGGAGTGGCTTTGGCCTTGGTGACCTTGGGTTTAGCGGGAGCCTTTGCCTTCGAGCCGTGTCAGCCACGATGACGAGGAGCGCAGTAGAAAGACGCACCTTCTTAGTGGTAGGCACGAAGTCTTCCGACTCTGAGCCCGAATCGAAGTTACCGTACTCGCCCTCGGATGAGCTCATGGTGGAACGGTGGCGAGTGTGGATGATGGCAGTGCTCAAGATCTGATTCAACAAGACCAATCGCGACGCGTTGCAAAACAGCGCCACGTGACTGACCGGACGCGTCTGGCAGCGGAGGGCTTTCAGTAAAAAGGACTTTGGCCTGCACAGTACATTAAAACTGCACAAGGACATATACAAATGATAGGAATTTTAAGAGAGCGGCTGACAGTGAATCGTGTTTGGACTTGGAGGAGTAAGTAAGTGAAAGGCGCAAAAAAATTCGGCGGATTATATAAGCTACGCGTTCCGGGACGGCGGGCACGGTGACGCGATCACGCTCAACTTCAGATGTTCAATTATAATATGGCTGGGCTCGCAGGACAGAATAGTTCATTTCATCATTTAGTAGATCCGATGATATCTTCCCTTAGAATTCGTACACTGACAGTCTCGTGTTCTCAGCGTCTCGTAAAGAATAAAGGCAGTGTAGTTAAACATGAGCAATATACAAAGACAGACCTAGTCGCCGCTAAGGCTTCATCTTGATGTTGCTTACAATCAATTGCTATAATACGAGTATTCGTCAGTCAGCATACAGCAGAGGACAGCCGAACGCGGACCTTATAGCTCTGTACATCACCCTTGAACTTTGTAACTGTTCCGTCGCCGCATACCCAAAGCTGGAGGGTATGTCAGTCAGTGCTTATTTAAAGGATGGAACATTGACCCACCTCCTTCGCCACTGTTGTGATGAATCGTTCGTCGTGGGAGATAACGATGACACCTCCATTCCACGAGTCCAGGGCAGTCATAAGAGCATCAAGACCCTGTACGATATCTCGGGTTAGCCGATGATCTAAACAGCACTGTCAGTCCGAACCTCAATATCCAAGTGGTTAGTAGGCTATAATCAAATGGATCGTAAGCATGGGAAAAAAAGGAATGAACAGCCCTACTTCGTCCAATAGCAGCACGTGAGGTCGCTGAAGGGACAACACTGCAAAGGCCACACGCGATTTTTGACCTCCACTAAGTGTTCCGATGAGTTGTAATCTAGGTGGATACATCAATGATACCAGAAAGAGACGAAAGAGGCGTATCCTTACCCTGTCATCCCACTTATCTGGAAGTTGCCTAAATGCTGCCGATACTCTTGCTCCGTTTTACCGGGGAACTTCGATGCAAGGAACTGTACAGGCGACATCGCCGGATCGAGAGAATCGACGTGGTGCTGTGCGAAATAACCGCTGAGCAAGATTCAGTATAAAGCCTTGAAACGGAAAAAGAGAGACATACATTCGTAACCTCCCGTTTTGTGTGACATGACCAGAGAAAGGCCGCAATTCACCCGTCAAGACCTTGATGCTGTTCCAGGAGTCAGCCCCATTGCCACCAAACTAATGGGAAACCTACAGTGTTGACTTTCCACTGCCATTCGCTCCAACGATCGCAATCCGGGAGTCCAGGCCAACATCGATATTGACACCCTTGAGAACGATCTTTTCAGAAGAATAGCCGAATGTGACTTCGTTCATTTGAAGTATCGGCGGGGAGATCTTGTCGGTTTCTGGGAACCTAACAGGGGCATTAAGATCAATAAGGGAGGTATTCCAAAAAAGCGTACTTGAAACTCTCCGTCTCATCGGCCTCTGGAGGTTCGAGTTCGGGCAGCTTTAGAACAGATAGAATATCAACCACAGACCATACTTCGTACCGGTCAACTGACCTTTTCCAAAATCTTGATCCTGGATTGCGCCTGCGCAGCTGATATAAATTTATTACTGCATCGTCTAGTCCAATAGGTGTGCCAGACCTACCACGATTAGCGTTGTATCTCCATCTATCAATGAAGGCCTGAAGATGTTTCCGATACTCCATCTGGGCGTCGTACTCTTTACGAAGGTTTTGATCACGTTCCGATTTTGTTGAATAGAATTGCGTGAAGTTCCTGAATGCATCGTATGCGTAAAAGATAACAAAGCAACAAAGAGCAGATGATTTACCCCTTGTAGTAATCCAAGCGACCAGAGTGCTGATGAACAATGTCTGTGGCGATTGCATCCCTTAGATCCGGTCAGAAAGGTGCGGAACTCCCGAAGGGACGACTCACAGAAATGCACGATCATGAGAACTGGCCAACATTAGCCATTAATGTATCAATTATATATGCATACGCGATGGATTACTCACACGACAAGCAGTGTCCCTTGCCATGTCTGCAAATAATCTTCAAGCCAAGCGAGCGCATTCAAATCAACTGCAATGTCGTCAGTGATGTCCATGCGGGTTACAACTGATCCACTTGCTGTGATTTGAAGGTTCATCCAGCAGTAACAAAGCAGGCTGGACGAACGGAGCTGATGAGATTAATTAATGGTGAAGCATCAAGATATGACTACCTTGACGAAGAGCGCGCGTGCTAACGCGAGACGCATACTGTGGCGGATTAGATTGCCATCCAAAGACTGCTTTGCAGCAAATAAGCTCACCGCCAACCACCACTGAATGACTTCGTTGGTCTTTGTTGATCCGCTTCGTCGAATCCAAGACCTACAGAAAAGTGACAATCAGACAACGCCTGCAATCATATCAGAGTATCCACTTGCCAGCCAACAAGGAGGCTGCCCTAGCAGGACCACTCTCCGCATCCATGTCAGATAATCTAGCATGCACATCTGCCAGTCGCGAAGATGTTTCTTCCCTGGCATCTTCGAACCGCTTGTCATCGCCTTCCGCTTCGAGTTCCGTTAACTTAGCATTCAGCGCAGCCTCTTCCTTCAAGAGATGGTCTCGCCAGACATCCGCCTTCAAGACCGAATCAATAGCGGCAGTATCATCCCCAATGATCTGGAAGAATCCAATATTGATAACGGGGCTGGTATGCATTAATAGCTGCGACTCACTTCTTGCTCCACGAACAAAATGCTGATATGAGCCGGGATGGGAACCTCTCGCATCGCAATGTGCCGTAGCAATGTTGATTTACCCACACCTAGCGGACGTGGTCATGTTTGAGATGTGGACTGTGATGTAAGATATGACTGACCGTTTCGCCCGATGAGACCGTACCGACGTCCATGAGCCAAAGTCAAAGTCGCGCCAGTCCTACGAAGTTCATAAGTTTCCTTACAGATGAAAAGGCATATTCAAGCATACAGAATACGATTTGACCCAAAATTGACATCGATTGAGGGCAGATGAATGTCCCGACTCTTGTTCTTTGAGTTAACGGCTTCCAAGGGATTGATCTGCGTCCCGTTCAAACGAAAGAATGCTGTGAGCATGCGATGAGAGACAAACCTTCATATACATTTCCTCGTACGTTTGCTAAACGAAAACGGACGCTTGTTACTGCGCGGGTAATATGAGTGGGACGATAACGCACCTGTTTCCGATGAGCATCCAACAGCTTAGATCCTTCGTACAGATCCCTTCTTGCCCGTTTCTCAATCTTCGCCTGAGACGTATACCGTTAAGATATGAAGAAGACACTTGTGGACTGGTGGCTACCGACCTTGAGCTTAGCTTCCTGCTTTTCAAGTTTCTTAACATCGACCCGAGATGCCCTGAGACGTTGAAATTGAGCACACGCAGCGGGACGAGAAAGCGATATCAACGCACTTTCCCTTGTTGATAGATTCTAAGTCAACACCCTCGGTAAATGCTATGGTATTGGACATTTGAGCTTTGCTCATATCCATCACTTTATCCAATTTCTGTAGCTTAGGCCCAGATCTATTCTTGAGTCGTGCATTAAGCTGGTCCTCCAGGAGGTCACCCAACCGGTCCATGAGCTTCTCCAGCTTGTCATTTTCGCCACCAGAAAGAGATTCAAGAATCGTGCGCGCGACCTGAAGAACGTCCTCCTCTTCTCCGGCATCATCGACGAGATATCCAGACAGGTATTGGACAATAACTTCTTCCGTGTCAGGGAAAACGTCGCGAATCTCCTCTGCAATGTCTTCGGACGACATCGATAGTTTTTCTGTTGGATGACGGATCCGGAGAATCAAAATGTTCGTAAAAGGCAACGCCTGATCAAATCTATTCTTAGTCATACTCCGATCAGTAGCAACCGCCGTCTCACCTCGTCTCACCCTTATTGGTCCCTAGCCAGAATTATTCGAAATCAGTATCAATCACAGCATATGCTCACTACACAGCATCCCATTGATGTGAAGCGTCAACGAAAGTATATATTTTATGCTTGTCCCGAGACGTTTCATGAGGAGAAAGCTCGCTTTCGTGTTTGCCTGGTGCTTCATTTTCCTCTGCACATCCACTCATTTGATTCGGCTTGCTTCTTCCATGCGTTTTCTTCTATGTTCACTTTCGCTCGTTCTTTTCTTTTCTTCCGCTTTGGCTACTCTAGTCAATGTGACTGTTGACGACCAAAACGAGGACCCCATAACTCGAAATACAGTATCTTATACTCCAGCAGACGCCTGGACTGTCAACAGCACCTGCGATAACTGTTCCGCCCAAATTGACGCGTCCAAAACATATGATAACACTTGGCATGTTGGTAAATTTGTATGTATGCACCCTCTGTTTCTGCTATAGACTCTCATTGCACGGTGACGCAGAAGAACGGAAGTCCATCGGTACTTCAAGCATCGTATTCTTTCTCCGGTGTGTAAAAACAATACATGTGCTTCAATCGCCTAAATTCAGTGCTCTAGGTACCGCGGTCTACGTATACTGTATTCTTGCACCCGCTTCGGAACACCTGACGTGGGTTTCTCGCTGTCTAACGAAACGCGTGAATTGATCAGTTCCGGATAGAGGGAAAAGCGATATGACTTTTTTCCTAGATGGTTTTCAAGCCGGTACTTACAGCTCAGAGCAGGATTCATCCTCTCTAGGCTACAAATACAATACGAGTGTGTTTGCCAGCGAGACGTTATCTCCCGGTAGCCACATTATCCAAATCCAGAGCGGTCATAGCGGAGGTGATGCATCTTTGATTCTCTTGGACTCTATCATTTATTCGTAAGTAAATTTTGATACTTTCTCATGATACCATGTCTCAAGATGATTATTGTTGACTATTAGCTACGATGATGAACCGAGTCCGACATATCCTCCTGTTGCGGTACCTAGTCCGACACTAAATTCATCGGCAGCCCTGGAAAATACTAGTTCGTCCGCAACCCGAAGCAAAATCATTGCCGGTGTCCTAGCGACGCTGGGTGGGGCGTTGATTATAGGACTCACATATTATGCCTACCTGAGATTGAGACGGAAAAACTCTCAGATCCTTCCTTTAACAATACACGTGCCTGGCTTTAACCGACCTTCAAACCAAAACCAGCAGCCGTCTGGCACTGTGCAGCCTCGACGCCATCGTCGCTCGTTCAGCTTCAACCCCAACCTTCTGGTTCAAAAGGTCATCAACAAGCCACCTAACGTGATGTCGCCACGCGACGCTCGTCACCGCCCTCCACCTCTCCAAGCTGAGCTCTTCAACACGCAGGATCATGGTTCACCGTTTCCTTCGGGCATCTCTTCCGAAGATTACAACCGGCTGCTCTCTGTCCAACAGTGGCGCAGACAAACATATGAAGAAACGGCATCCGTTGTCTCGCCAGGATTTCCTGATATGTCAGAGGAGCTTTCTAGTTACTATGAAGATGCCACAGATTCCCACCGCACCAAAATTCCGCCGCGCCCGCGGCCACCGCGACGCTTTACAGTCATGAATGGATGACCATTATTTATTTGTAGCCAGTAGGTCCAATGTTTTCCCGCTCTGTATCCATGATCTCATTGCAGTCACAGGTGGATTGCCGCTATAAAGCATATACCCCCATTCAAATTTTAACTGCATTGTATCGCTATATATTCCCAAAGCATGATTTAAGTATTCAATTCCGACGGAGCATCCACACACACAGGGTCCTGGAGATTAGACTTGTTTTTTACTCTTTTTATTTCCGGACTGCCCATAGTAGAATCGCTGACGACCGATACCCATGAACCATGAAGCTCTACATGGAGTGTAAAACTCGGAATATTATTATTTCAGAGCTGCACGTACCTGACCGAGAATAAGAACCAAGTAAACGTGATATTACCATGCGTGGTTGCATTCCAGGCAGCAGGATTAAACCTCATTTCTTCACCAATGCCAAGGAACGAGGTGAAGATACTACAGTAATGTGAGTACCAAGTGCACAGAAGCAAGGGCCAACCTTACTGAGATAACTGTAAGAGAGAACATTAATTCAACTGAAGAATTTGCCAAATTCGAAATCCTACTTACGTCCGCGACGGCCAAACAAAACAAGAGCGATCCAACAAGTCGTTCTTGTAACTGTGGGTCTTGAGGAACTGCGTTCCTGATGGTGCGAAACACCACCGTGGATATCATGCCCAGAAGCAAGTAGCCTAGAGCGTAATTAAGAACGTTCCTATTAACCCTGGCGCGACATGGACTAACAATTTCCAAGCTGCCACACTGCAAGCTTTGAACGAGCATCGAGAGCTTCTAAGGGTTCAGGAGCAGATGTCGGAATCAGTTCGTGATAGAACCAAGCCGCACCCGGGAAGGTGAGAATCATGACTGCAGGTATCATCGTCGACACTGTACAGGCCGATCAGTCGGCATAACAAGCGAGTAAATAGCAAAAGCTGGAACTCACTGGGCTCCAAGTAGAGAAATAAAAATTTGTAAAAACCGGTCAAAGCAGGAAAGTCGGTCATGGTCGAATGATAGTCGTTGCAAGTGCCAACCATTGTGGCTGTGCGAGAACATATTGAGACAGGATCCCGGACCGATCTTCCGATATAACCACCACGACTTGACCACGACACCGCTTCTGATGGACCATGGAAATAGACCAAGTCTGCACCTCAAAGTTCAGAGCTCTGGAACGAATAGCCCTGGATCCTCTGTATTTGACTTGCCAGTGACAGCCTCGCAAGAGAGATATCAGACTTCCACACCAGCATCAGCAAATACCCCAGCGACTTCGACGCAGGACGCTTCCGAGGCGTCGACGACATCCTTTGTTGTAATCTCAGGCGGCACGGGCGGTAATTCAATATGCTCTGCCTTTGGAAACGCGTGCTACGTTCTTCCTGTCTCCGACGACGGCGGTTCGTCGAGCGAGATAATACGCGTACTTGGGGGACCTTCGATAGGTATGGCTAGTAACCACCATTTTTTTTTCAGGTTCTCAGTATCTTGTAGGCGATATAAGGTCCAGATTAATTCGCCTTATTCCTTCCGTTCCCGCCTCATCTCCACTGGAAGCCATTCGCAACCTTCTCGCTTACCGTCTACCTGCGCATTATGCAGAGCGGCAAGCTCGCGAAGAGTGGAGAGAGATTGTTGAGGGCCGAAGCCCATTATGGCATGGCATTCCGAATGATAGAAAGGAAACTATCCGTGGTATCTTGCCTTGCCTTTGAAGTATATGATCACTAGATGGTTGAATATTGATCGTAGGCTTTCTCGTTTATTTCGAAAGCGAACTTCTCAAACGAGCGCACAAGAATTTCAACTTTGTTAATGGAAGGTATGTCAAATACTATCTCCTTGGACGTACTGAGCATGACTCAACCATATAGCATCGGTAATTATTTTTTGGCTGCGGCGCAAGGATTTTTCAGATCGCTTCCCTCTGCAATATTCCTTTTTTCTTCTATAACGAACAGCCAGGCCAATATATTACCAGTGGTTGTGACAAACCATACGGTTACTATCGCCGCAGAGTTAGTCAGTGCACTAGCCATCTGCGTTTACTCGCATTTAACGTGTCACCGTGGACAGGACAATGGAGAAAGGCTCATCGGACAATGCGAGATATCGCATCCAGTACCCACTGTAGCTCCGTCAATCAATTTTAGTGAAGCCGATCCATGGTCACCAGAAGATGGTCTTGAGACCCAACGTCAGAATGTCATGTTTGAGCCACAGGGAAAGGATTCTTACGAACCTTTGCCTTCGCGGATATCGAGTCAGTGCTATTTTGGTTAACCATCCCGTTTCGCAGTCTCACGTCTCGGCGTCGGTCCGTAGGACTATTTTACATCAATGCATACGGTATGGAAATTCACCCTTCACCGAACCCAGATTATATATCAAGTCTGTCTACGCACGATGTCCTCGTCTTCTCTTGCGGTTCTCTTTGGACGAGGTTCGGCAAATGAACTGTATATTTTTAGTTGCTGACCTATAATTATCTCAGTATCATCCCATGCCTATCTTTACGCGGAGTCGCAACGGCCATAGCACGATCACGTACGTTGCGGGCCAAGATTCTCCTACGTGAGTGCACTCATAACTATGGTAACCCGGCTACTCTGACTTTCCCATCTAGTTAACACGCAGAACGACAGAGAAACGGATGGCTATACTGCGGAAGATTACATTCGGTCTGTGTTCATCTTCTCCAGCTGTTTCCTTCCAACTATTTGATAACAGTGGGTTCAGGGCTATAACGCGAACTCTCAATGCCCACTATCAACATCGATCTTATGGTTTGGGTAGCGCCAGCACAACCTATCCGGTTTCCGCTTTCATTACCGATCTTGTTTACCTTGAAGGAACAAATATTCGCGTGAACGTTGATCGAATAACGGTGGGTTCTTTCTCTGATTTGGAAGCCGGCAATCTCATTTGACGCACATGTTGCGATCATCGTAGGCATTGGGTGTCCGGTGCACCCGAGTTCGTTCAGAAAGTGGGGTTACAGATCCGAAGTACGACGCAATTTGCGTTAGGAAAGCAATCGAGGACATTCTGGCGAGGTCCGAATGACGGCTCGATCGCGTCTGACGCTTCTGTGACGACTCAGCGATTTCTTTTTCTGTTCTTATTTCTTTAAAACTATAGGAAACGGGACATTGATTCGACCATAGACCGGGAGGCTGGATTAATACCCTTGTATGGAAGGTGTGCGGTTAATTTCACTTGGACTGTTCTTTCAACATCGGGAAACGAATGCCCGGGGACATTTCTCCTGAACATGTCATCGTGCATAAAGCATCTTGAACTCGAAGAGGACCCTCTGAGAGGGATCCAGGGCTAGGAAAGGCCGACTAAGCACATCACCAGTGGTTAGTGACGGTTACAGGAACATCAAAACGAGGTGTTCAGGCACTGAACGCACCTTCCTAGACCTGTTCCCTAATTGTCATGTGAACACAGAGCAGGCACACTCTACTTCATCAAATACATGGAGCTCAAGAGGGTTGACCACAAGCTGCTGGAACTGTTAAATCCAGTTTTTCGTACGCTGTGAGTACTTAGTCCCGCGTACTTCTGTTCCATATCCATGCTGGTTAACCGCTTCACACTGGAATTAGGCATTTGACTCAACTACCTCTGAGTCTGATGTGTAAAAACACCTAAGTCACTTCGCAATCTATGAGAGAGTATCAAGCGGTGATGTGATCCTGCTATCCAATCTCTTCGCACTGTCCAGGATAACCGGTACATGCACGATGTTCTTCGCCGGCTGTTCCCATGTCGGTCTACCCTCTAGCAGGTTTCTTTGATCCTGGATTACTCTTTCCGTTACCGTTCACCGCCTGATGTGCTCATGGGACTCTCCCGCAGCTCCCTTCTAACTAACGGGACCCAGTTGGCCTGCATATATGAATCCTCAATTATTGAATGTGCCTCTCTCACAACGATCGGACCCGGACCTACATTGAACAAACTATCGTGATGGCGTTCTCTTGAGATTTCTCCATGGCTCCGCATCCTTCAGTTTCTCCAATAGGATGCCATTAACCATCAGTTTTTCCCAAAAATGAATCAGCATATCCAACGCATCTCGAAACTCGCGTGATCTTCTCCACTGCGCTAAAAACAGACTGGTTGAACCTGAAGGACATTCCTTCTCTAATGTGCACGGAATTTTGCCGGAATTTTTCCGTTCTATCTCGAAAACTAATGGCACTCTGGTGACTGGTTGATGCAAACAAACAAGGAAGCTGAAATTCCGTCAACGACCTATTTTTGCTTTTGAGAATCATCAGCCCATACTAGGTCTTCGATTCAGCAGGTTTCCGGTCTACAGAACGTGGCCTGTGAAGACCGTGCTTATGACCCCAGTCACTTGCCAATACCCAACTCAATCGGAATGTACCGTCAAGCGAATTTGAATCTTATGACGCGGCAATCGAGTCCTCTTTCACAAGGAATGAACGAAGCACAAGATGGCCAATATAATGTAGAAACCGTACTTCTACGAATCGCATAAAGATCTCGGTCAAAAATGGCCTCTTGAGATCCGAGTCCAACACCTTGGGCTTTTTTTGGCGTTCGCCGTTATCACTTGGTACCACTATGCAGCCAATCTGGCTCATCAGTCATATCCGATTGTCTGCCACGTATACTTTACCGCACTGTCATGTATATTTCCTCCGAGGGACGCCCCTTCGTATCGTGCGAATATTATTATTCCGAGTTGCGGAACTTGTGTGGGGGTTCGACTAGGCCCTGGTTTCGCTCTCAACAGGAGAAGCGTAATGGGGTAAAAATCAGTCTAGCACTCACTCTGCATCGGTGAGAGACCGTACGAGTACCATCCATGTGATAAGCCTCGGGGAGCGAGGATGAATTCAGAATGATAGAACGCGCAGGTGACACCCGAATGACAGGTAAAGTTTATGTACACGCCTACATGCTTCCTGGTTTATTTTAGAACTGAACTTTGAACTCCCATGAACTTCCTATCCTGACGACGACTCGTTAAAACCCTGGGCGATTGATAGAGTATAGTTTCTCCTTCAGCCACGACTAACCATACAGATATGGCCAGTTCTATGGGAGAAAACAGTGTTCTCCCGCTAGGTGCACAGTGGAGTGCCGCCGACCCAAAAAACAGTCCAGAATATGTGATTTTCCCCTCAGGTGCGCCGCTGTGATGATGGTTTCTCGATCGCATATTGCCAAGACTGATCGACGCTGTGCTGCCCCTAGACGATGATTTCCGTATTACTCAGAACTTATCTACACCTATGGCCAAGGACAGCCAAGATACCCTCGACTCTTTCCCCTGCGACATAGCCTTTCGCGTACCCACCCATTCCACCCTTTCGAAACCAGCTATCGTTATCGAAAATGCAGACCCTATCCAGATACATATCCCAGATTCCGAAGAGTCGTTGATGAACAGCATACAGAGCACCGCGACAGACTCGTCCACCGCAGATGATTCCCATGTCGAAAGCCCATATACCGGGTCCTCGCCTATCGCAATCAAGAACCGCAGCGTCCGGTTTCGGTCCAGAGTTCGCATCACCTCTGGACTCCCCCGTCGGCGCGCAGCAGACAGGATAACCCCAGATTCGTCTCTGTCCAGCTCTCCTTCGTCATCCATTTCTGCCCCGTTGCGTTGTCGGGAGCACGATGTGAACACGGACAGCTCGCCTTGGAGCCCCCTAGGGCAACGCGTCAAGCAAATGAGCCAGGGACCTAGAGCTAGACAACGACAGGTCGCTGCCAATGGCTTTGATCCCGACGAGCGGTCACCTCTTATGATCCCTTCGAGACGGTTCTACTCCATAGAAGAGGATGAGCACTACAATTACTTTGCATATCTGGATGACGAGACCCGTCTCAATCGCGAGATAGACCTTGCCTTTGGGACATGGCCTGGGCGACTGCTAAATCGACATGTAAGTTGCCGATATTTTTTTTTCTTGCTTCCTGACTGACCGTGTGTTCAAAAGTGGTGGTGGTGGCATTTAGAACCTGTGCCTATGCTGTATCTGCGTCGAGTTGGAGGAAGAGGAACAGTGGTGATTCTTTTCTTTATGTTATGTTTAATGGGCCTAGTGATTTTTCTCAAGTATGTGTGTGTATCCATTAGTAGACAGATTTTCGTTGTACCCCTCGTTCTTGGTAACTTATCTTTTGGGCAATTCGTATAGGTTTTATTTGGCTGAACAGGTGTCTAGGTATGATACAGGGCTTTATGCTTTCTTCGGTAAAACCATCGTCGACGGTAGGGTTGTTACTGGCGGCAGAAGACTCGCCGCTGTTTTTCTGGAGTTCTGGATGAGTAATTGATCCATGATGACGATGCATGCCATGGCCTCAACAATGGGAACAGCTCGCGGTACCACACAAGGGTCATGTCTGCCTCTCGCAGGCAAGGGATCCAGGGGTGCCATCGTACTGTGCGGTATCTTGAGCTTGCGAAATGGTCGCTGGCGACTTGAATCCGATCCTAGAAGCCGATGTCAGTACCCCCAAAAAAAAACTCCTGGCAACACTATCAAGGACTAACCGGAAATAAATATCCTCCCCATTAGTGATGCCTCCTTGCACACCGCCACTCCAGTTAGACTTTGTTCCGAGTCGACCGTCATCACGCTTCACGAAAGGATCATTGTGCTTGCTTCCAGGTACCTCTGTCCCCTTGAAACCAGATCCGATTTCGAAAGCCTTAGTTGCCGGGATGGAGAGCATAGCATGTCCCAATGTAGCTTCGAACTTGTCGAAAACAGGTTCACCAAGTCCCGAGGGAACGTTACGGATGACACAGGTGATGGTCCCACCGATAGAGTCCATCGCTTCTTTTGCCCGTACGATGCGCTGAAGCGAAGCAATTTAGAATTACTCTAGGATAACCATCTTCAATGGAAAATACCTTAGTCATACGTTCCGCTGTCTCGGGGTGTGGGCATCGTATAGGGTGGCTGTCTACCTGTTCTCGTGTAACGGTTGCCAACAGGTGTCTGAATTCCTCGGATATCGCGTCCTGAGCGTCGTCATTGTCTGCATCACCAGAGGATGGAGATACCACGGTTGATGGCAGGTGGATCTTTCCCACTGATGAAACAAATGCGACGACCTCAATGCCATATGCAAGTTTGAGATACTTCTCGGCAATGGCGCCTGCAGCGACCCTGCCTGTACGCGAATCAAATCACCATATGAATGCAAGGGAGAGATGCGTAACACACCGATGGTTTCGCGTGCACTACTCCGTCCACCGCCACTGCTGGCCTTGATGCCATACTTTTCCAGGTAGGTGTAGTCAGCGTGACTGGGTCGGGGGTACAAATCCGTCTCGGAATAATCGTGCGGCCTTTGGTCCTCGTTCTTGACTAGCAAAGATATGGGTGTTCCAAGGGTAACACCGTATTCGATTCCGGATTGGATGTGCACCAAATCTTTTTCGTTTCTCTATGGGGAAACGCAGCCTGGTAATCAGCGATTGCAGTACGCTCTAAACGGAATTTACGTACGGGAGTAGTGAGATTACTTTGACCAGGACGCCTTCTATTGAGTTGGACTTGGATGTCACTGGGTTCCAAGTTAAGGCCCTAATGGTGTATTAGATGCGGGTATTGAGAGCGCATACGAGTAGCTCACCGGCGGGCATCCATCTACAATTGCTCCTACGGAAGCGCAGTGACTTTCACCATAGGTAGTGACGCGAAAGAGGTGGCCAAAGGTCGACATTCTTGAATACTAGGTCCGTGTTTCTGGTGATGCTTTATACCCTGGCTTGACGGCGACCTGTCAGGGACAACAACAATGGAGCTAGATGCTGTATCAATTTCACGTAAACGAGCGGAGAGACAGGAAAGAGCTGGGAAAAAATACTGAACGAGTCAAGGCCTTTAAGGGCGGAATATGGTGGGATGATGCGTATTAGGTCAGCTACGTGTTTTGCACTTTTTCTTGGCGGATTTCCGTCGGATCAGCTGAAAAACGATATTCCGGGCGCCTTTCTGGCAAAAATCTAGCCTTTTTCCTTAATTAGCCACCACCATGTCTGCGACTAGCCAGCCGTCAGTCGTTCGTCGCCCGCAGGCTCGGAAAAGGGTCAATGACGATGCATCGTACTTTGGGCCTCCAGGAGCGTTGAAGAGACAAGCTGTAGAACGCGTCGATGGTGAACCCAGGATGAAGAGAAAACGGATCGAACCAGTCCTCAGAGATCCTATGGACACGGAGAACAGAATATCTTTCGTGCGAACTCCTACCCGTTTCCAGTTTACGTTCCCGCTGATTGTTTTCCAGGTGGAGTTTGACAAGATGCCAATGACAGTGATATACAAATACCTTACACATTTCGACATAATACCAGCGATATATCCTTCGCCTCTCAGGGCAGACGACCCGTCACCACCTTCTGTGCTGAATCTGCCACCTCATCAGCCTTCGCGGCCGTCAAGTCCACCACTCGCTGCAACGCCTGCAAACAGACCACGTAGGGACCCCAAAGAGCTGCCTAATAGGCGTACGCAGTTCTCGATTGTTGGAAGAGGACGACCTACCGAAGCGCGTCCCCATCTTGGCTGACATTGATGAGTTGCACTCTGTGTTGGCATGGCATTGCAGAGAAGCATTTTAGAGACACGTTGGTTATTACGGGCAGGGAGGAGGTCGACACCTTGGCGTCGTTTATGTGTGCTGTGGAGAAAACGAAGGGAGGGAAGGTGACTCGATGGTGAGCATCAGTTTCTTGAAACTAAACTAGAGCTGACAGCGTAAAAGATTGATTTATCACTGTATCCCGTTTCCCCCCCTTTGCATGCTGTTTTATAGGATTGTATTATAGCTCTTTTGCAAGCCGGTCTCCCCGGTCCCAACATCAGATACACCACGAAATCCCCGAACGACTTTCCCCAAGGTGTTTTGAGCTTTCATCGCGTTCCTTACATTGACAGTTGCTTCCACGCGGTGTCAAAAGCAATGTTGATGGCGTCGAGGCTACTAGCGCTGGGTAAGAAATCGGCCTATTCGCGTTAGCGAGTCGGAAGAAGCGTGTTTAACTGTTTTGCAGTGATTCATTGCAACTGAGGAGACAGTGAGTGCTATTTTCAAAACGCGAGAATAAGTGCTCATGTACTCGTGTGTGGTTTTGATAGATAGCCGCAAGGGTTGGCATGTTTACCGCCCGGATTTCTAATGAAATGTCTACAATGATATGCGTCACGCTTCGATTATCAATCAGACTATTCGTACTAAGTACCTGGTCAAGTTTACCCACATTCGGCATGATTGATGTGCCTTCTGGTGCGTGCGTTGTTTTCGCCTGCTGTTGCCGCGATGGACGTCACGTTTCCAACATACCAAGTTTAAATTATCATTATTGACGATCCAGAGGTCAAGGAACTCCGAGTTGTCCGAGTGATGTGCAGTGCCCAGCGTGTGAGTGGAATCAGTAGAGCAACGGGATCAGTCTTAGCTAATTGATTGTTCGACAGTGGCCAATGAGAATCGGTTTCTCGTTGCAGTTACCACTGGCGTCTCCATGTCGTTTTCCATTGGACGTGAGTTCATTGATTAGTGAAACCGAGTGATGTGGGAAGAGAAGGTAGTTGATTGAACTCGAGGCTGCAAGACTGCTTCAAAGACTCATGCATACCACTTCGGGTTGTCTTTGTGGTCGTCACATTGTAACGCAAGGGTGTTGCTGGTGAGGCAATTATCGTTTCAGGAACCAATGAGAACAAGCAGCGGCCAGATGCAATGTTGGATCCGGGGACAATGGGCCAGCGGCTGTTTTTTATTTGTTGCACACCGAACAGGAGTAATTTTCCCATTGAAAAGAGGACAAAGCTCGAGGTGAAAGCTATAATTGGCCTCTTCCATTGAATTCTCACTGGCTGGAAGGGGCTGATGAATAGGAGCGTGGCATGCTAATTATAGCGAATTGCTAAAAATACTTTTTGAGGAGAATTTGCTGCGCATTGTCAGATCATCGTTCGCGTTTTCGCTGCGCCTCTATCGACCCGAAAGTGGTCAGAAATGAAGCACAATACCTACTTCCAACAATGAACATATTTTCTGGGGGCAGGTAGGCATGAAAAGAGGAGTGGGAATTGTGCGTTACCGTGACAACATGACCGCCGTTACCGAATCACGATCCGGCGATCCGGATATAAAAGGCTCCTGTAGTCTCCCCGTTTTCCCAGTTTACCACTCTCTCTTTCCGCCCATCTTCATCTTTTCCTTCGCAGCCGTGCTGCTTGTCTTTCCCCTTCTTGTAAGCCTCTTGGTCGTTCATACTAATGCCTGAGGCTTATTGCTGTCTGCAGTTATCCTTTCAAGTCAGCTCTCCTTCACATTCTTTCTTCTACGGCTTCCGCGAAGTCACGTTCCTTGCGCCATCATGAAGTTCTCGACCTCTCTTTCGACACTTTTCGTACTTGTGCCTCTCATTTCTCAAGTTTCGGCCTTGGCTGTCCGGCAACAACCTGGACTGGCTCCCGTTGACCTGGTGAGCCGTCAGCGAGGTGGCAACGGAGGTGGTAATGGAGGAGGAAACAACGGCAATAATGCGGGTGGAGTGAGTATCGATAATTCGACTGATTAGTATCTTGTTAACTCTTTCATAGAACAACAACAATGCGGGTGGAGTGAGTGGCAATATTTCGGCGATATCCATCTTGCTAACTCTTTCTTAGAACAACAACAATGCTGGTAATGCGGCCAACAACAATGCGGGTAACAACAATACGGGTGGAGTGAGTCGCACTATTTCGAGGATATCCACCTTGTTAACTCTTTCTTAGAATGCCAACAATGCTGGTAATGCGGCCAACAATGCTACGGGCAATGCTGCCAACAATGGCGCGGGCAACGCTGCCAACAATGCCACGAACAACAACAATGGGAATAACAGTAATGACGCCCAAACTTCCTTGAGTGAGCAACATCTTCCTGTTTATCTTTCCATCGTCTATCTCTTAGCTTTCGTGCCTATTGAACTGAAACTAACTTGTTTCTCCTGTAGCTCTCGACCCCAAAGTCATTGGACCAGGATTTGCGCAAGACGGAAACGAAACACCTGTTGATGGTAAAATTGTTTAATTCTGGCGGGTCAGTATGTTGGGCTAATATATTGTTTCAGGTCAATCCGCTTCGCTGACGACAACGAATAACTTCATCAACTTCTGTTTGACTGTCAATGCTCCTATCACAAATGGACAGCAAATCCAAAGTGGCTCTTGCAACCCGATACCGATTGGTGCTATTCCAAGTACCGACAACATGCCTTCCGCGAAGTTCCAAGTTCCCGCCAACGGTGATACCCTGCAGCAGAACACGGCTTTCACTGTGACGATGGCCATCCAAAACATGCAAACCGGGACGTTTGTGAACGCGGATACCAACTATTTTTCTGCTCCCCAACAGTTGAACGGACAGGGTCAGATTATCGGTCACACTCACGTCGTCATTGAAACGCTCGATTCGCTGACCCAGACGACGCCCACTAATCCCAAGAACTTTGCGTTCTTCAAGGTAATGCCCTACTTAGCGTAGACTTTATCGATACTGAAGCCTTCTTTAAGGGTATCAATGGTGCTGCTCAGAATGGTGTTGTTACTGCTGATGTTACAAACGGTCTTCCTGCGGGGGCGTACCGAATCTGTTCCATCAACTCGTCATCAAACCACCAGCCTGTAATCGTTCCCATCGCTCAGCATGGCAGTTTGGACGACTGCTCCTACGTAAGTGAATTCTTCATGCACTGTTAGTCTTTACTGACAAAAAAAATCAGTTCACTGTTACAGCGAACGGCCAAGCAGCCGGCAACAACGGCAACAACAACACCGGTGCTGCCGCTTCGAGCAGCGCGGCTGCTGCTGCTGCCGCCACTAGTGCCGCCACTGGAGCCAACAACCAAGGGACTGGCAAGGTGCGTATTTTCTATTCATCGTCAATATCGTTTGCTAATATTTTATAGGGTGGCAATGGCAACGGCAAGAAGAACAACCGTCGCAGCGAATGGATAGCACGGGAATACTAAGTGTCCTCCCAACTTGAGACTGCTGTCGAGACCGTATAGACGGGGCAGGCTCCGGCGACTTAGATTCTCACGCAGGTTCTTTCATGTTGTATTTTTCTTTCATTCGTTATCGTCCAGTCTGTTTTCATACCCGCATTTGTTTCTTTCTGTACTTAATGATGCATGATGGCCGGGAGGCTGTCACTTTTCAAATATATTCGAGATGGGCTGGTAATTCGGGTGTAACGGAAAATGACAAGACGATGCTCAGTAATAAAATAACGAAAACGCCGAACCAAGGCAGTGCAACTGTATTCAGTGGGCACCAACTTACTGCGCAGAGCAGAGTACGGACGAAAATCGTGATCCACTTGGTAGTATTTGTCATGCCGGTCTGTCTTGCCCTCTGATCCTGGCGGTCATCTGCAGGACCCACCTTTCGTTGCCAAGTCTTTTTGCCTGGGCAAACGCTGAAAGGCTGTCCTTTCCTTGCCTTTATTAAGCTTTCCTTCCTTCCTTTTTATATTCTTCTCGCCGCAGGTCTGTCCACTCCATTCTCCGGACTATCTGAGACTGGTTACCCGGCCTCACCACTGGTTTCAGACGGTTCCAAAGATCTGACTCTCTTGCCTTTTACCTTCATCTAGGCGGTTCGTTTTTCCATGTATTTTCCTCATTGTCGACGCTTCCATGCGTTGGTCGTCTTCCTTGTCGTCTCCTGGCTTGATCTAGCTGCTGGTAAGTGAGTTGATGTGCTCGTCGCGACATTTGGTAATCACTGTTGTCAGCTTTGAGTGCACCACCTAGGCCACTGAGGTCGTTGGTCCATCCGACAACGAGATCCCTTGAAATACTACCCCGGCACTACCAGTCTCCCTCGAAACGCTCTCCACTGGAAGCGCGCTCCACTACTCTGCGTCATGACGACTCCTTCCGCCTCATTGTCGCCGCCTTTGATGATCATTTCTACCTCCATCTCCGTCCTAATGACCACCTTGTTCACCCAGCTGCTCGTGTTACCTATCACTCAGCCGATGGTACAACTCGTACTGAACCCCTTCTGCGTGAGAACGTCAAGGCTTACCTAGGCGAAGTCATCGACCCCCAGTTTTCCGATGCCCGGCTGAGAGAAGACGCTGCACGAGTTGCCTACTCTTCGTTCCCTGAGGCTGAGCTTGGCTGGGCGCGTATCATGATCCACGACCAAGGCGATGACGAGCGCCCGCCCACCTTTGAGGGTGCCTTTGCCGTGGATGGCGTCGTGCACCACGTCATGACAAAGGACCACTATCTGCGGACGAAATACCCGCTCGATCCTGAGATCGTGCATTCAATAGATGATATGGTCATTTGGAGGGACTCAGATGTGATGACGCCAGAAGAGGAGCAGCTTGCCAGGACGGGATCGTACTCCGAGTCTGAGCCGCCTACTGCACCACGGACATGTGCCCATGACAAAGTGTCTTACAATACTCCAGAACAGAATCCTATCTTCCAAACGCCTCCTACGACGCCGTGGTATGGATTGGGTGTATTTGGGAATACTTCCCTGTCGCGGAGGGATGATGTTGCCGGGGGTAATATGAGCACAAAGTATGGTCAAATTTTCACGCACGTTTGCCCTTTCCTAACTCTCTATGTCAGTTTTGCCAACGTCATTGGTGACAATTCTGGGTGCCCAAAGTCTCAGCAAGTTCTTTACATGGGCGCCGCTGCTGACTGTCAATATGTTTTGCAATACGGCAACAAAGATAACGCTACTACGCAGATTCTCAACGACTGGAATATGGCTAGCAGTCTGTACAAATCTACCTTCAATGTTAGTTTGGGCATTGTTGAGCTTCAGGTACAGGATTCGAGGTAAGAGATGACTACTCAGTTCAATGGTCGAACCCAACGCTGACGTATATATCTAGTTGTCCATCTACCACAAATTCCAGCGTGCCGTGGAACGTAGCTTGCAGTGACAGCGTCACCTTGAATGATCGCCTATCACTTTTTTCGCAGTGGAGAGGTAGCAAAGGCAGTGATGGTGTGGGTTTGTGGCACCTCATGAGTGGATGCCCCACCGGTTCGGAGGTGGGAATTGCTTGGCTCGCCACCTTGTGAGTCCCACGTTGTGATGACCCAACACAGCCCAGACGGAACTGAGTAACCACGCAGATGTCAACAAACTTCTTCCGGAGATACTGGCTCAGTTGTATCTGGAACTGCTGTATCGACCAGTGGGCGGACCGAATGGCAGGTCGTCGCTCATGAAATTGGGCATAACTTTGGCGCGATTGTGAGTCCCTTCCCTCCATATATTGTTGCTTAACTGTTATTGATGCCCGTTCAACAGCACGATGTGTGTATCTTCTCCTCTTTCTCTCTCTTCCATCTCCTCATGATGAATTGGAATTAGTGCGCGGATGGTTGTTCCGAAACTGATTCATGCTGTCCTTTGAACACCGACACCTGTGATGCTGATTCCAGGTTCATCATGAGCCCTGTATCGCAGTCATCCGAACAGCAGTTCTCTGCTTGCAGCCTGGGAAATATCTGTCAGTGTTCGAATCTGTTGCCTAATTCTTGTTCTCATAGTCGATTTCAGGCTCTGTAATGGCAGGCACAAGTGGCTCCAAACTCAATTCCACCTGTCTAGTTGACGCGTCTTCGGCCAATGGGATCATATCGCTACAGATGTGTGGTAACGGTATAGTCGAAGACGGAGAAGATTGTGATCCAGGAAGTGGTGTTAACTCCAATTGTTGTGATTCCTCGACTTGCAAGTTCAAGAATGGCGCAGTCTGTGATCCGGACAACAGCGCATGTTGCACTAGTCAATGTGCTTTTGCTCCATCTACCCAAGTATGTCGGGCTGCCAAGGACCCTCAATGTGATACGGCCGAGATGTGTACGGGCAACTCGTCAGCATGTCCTAGCGACGTTGTAGCGCCTAACGGTCGGTGGTACTGAATATCATCCCCTCCGCAATATTCATCTGCTTTTAGGGCAATCGTGCGGTTCCAATGGGTTGGCTTGTGCTAGTGGTCTATGCACATCTGTTTCGCGTTTGTCTCTCTCAATTTTGGGTTCCTACCAGAAACTAATATTTTGGTAGTTCAATGTCAATCCGTGGGGGGATCCATGAACCTGACAACAGGTTGCTCGACGCACAACGACCAGACGTGTCAGATTTCCTGCCAGGACCCGAGTAACAGCAACCAATGTGTCGTTTTGTCTTCTCTTCTCATAGATGGTTCTCCTTGTGGTATGCATGCTGTGTTTTCGTTCCGTGCGCGTGTTGCTTACCAGAATCATCATGGTCAGGTTATGGCGGAACTTGCCAATCAGGTTCCTGCCAGAGCGGAAGCGCTATAGATACAGCTAAGGTATGTTCTTGGTTATCGATTTTGTGAGGATGTGCTTACAAAATTAATTGTGCAGGCATGGTACAGGCAGAACCTCCAGATAGCGATACCGGTGACTGTCATTGTCGGCCTCATCGTGCTAGCACTGCTGTGGGCATTGTTCAGAGGTACGTTGGCGCTTTCTTATACTTCTTTGATCGGTTCTGATATACTCTTAACAGGAATCCGACGTTGCATGACTCGGAAACGGATGGCGAGAGCAGTGAGGCCGTCGATGACTCCGAGCTATTCAAGGTTGCGCCATGATAGAATCGCAAGTTATGACAGAGCCGTACCCACTTATTTGGGGTGAGCAGTGATCCTTCTTCGTACGACATACCGTGGATCTAATATTAATCACCTGTAGCACCGGCCCGCCTGGTAGAAAAATTTATCAGACTCGGGCGAATTGGGTAGATGAGAGCGCGTATAACGGACCACCGCGTCCGTGATAGCGCTCACCGTCCATCGTTTGTTATTTGCTGAATCATTTGCTACCATTTATTCCAACCATCTTTCCGTCGATATATAATGCATTGTTTTAAGGACACTGTACTGACAGTTGTAGCATATAAGTAGAACTGGATGGTATCAATGTCACCGTGTTCGAGTAAAGAATGCGTTACGTCAATTTTCCAGCGGTCCCGAAGAATAGGGTCTTGTTGCTAGTCTGACGTCAATCTCTGGCTACTTTGATTAGGATTGCATTGCGGAAGGAGATGCATAAATGTATACAATTCCAGGACTAAAATGGCGGAGACACGAAGCATGACTCGCGGGCGGTGCGGTTGTGCTCAGATAATAACAATAACTTCGGGGAGGTTCTTTGGCGGCCGTACAATAATGCATTTAGACGCTAGACCAACCTCAGATGTCACTGAAATAGGATGCTCTCTCGACGTGTTCAACTGGTATACGTCGCGCGCCTGTCCAGCGGCGAAAACAAACTAACACTGATCCGTTCTGCCCAGTGATTGGTCCTTGCGTTGTTGAGCTCGAGGCTATTTCTGTGACTACAGACCAACAAGGCATTGTCGTAGAGTCAAATTCCTGGTCCTAGCAATTACATGCCTCTCAAGTGTGAAGGTGTGCGGTGCAACGGAAGCTGTCCCTGCTGCAGTCAACAGGTGTCAATAGGCAATTTTATGTGATTCCTATGAGTACTAGGAAAATGATGGACAGATTGCTCTATCTGTGATGCGTTAAGATAAGAACATACATGCATAATCTTACAAAGCCACTAAACTACTTGCGTATGATAACGTTTTAACCTACAGTATGTAATCGCTAACCAATTAAGCGGAAAGAAATGCTACTGATACAATTTACTACGGATTGGCAGAACTCATGGTGAGATAACTCTCTTTGGGCCTTTTCTCGTCAGGAGATCCGTATTGGGGCTGGGACAACCTCTCTGTGATACTCATAATACCGCCAGTGTTTGCGGGATTAGTGGGATAAGAAGGCGGCGGAGAAGACATCCGGTTCGTCGCAGAGTCGGAAGGTTCGCTCGATACTGGAATAACCTCCGTGCACCGACGAAACGTTTCCAGAGGGGAGGGCATGCCCATACGACGACACTGGCGGCGAGGCGGTACTAGTCGTTTCGGGTGCGAAAGGCGTGACGACCCAATCCTGTTGAGGGGCCGGTGTTACTCCACCAGAGTAGATGGGCTCTTTGTAGCCGCCAGGAGACTCGGAAGAATCCCTGCGGGCTCGGCGTTTACGAATAGCTCGGTAGATTAATATGCCTGCAACTAAGACCAGGACTGCGAATGCTGCTGATCCGACTGCAATTCCAACGATCGCACCCGTGGAAAGGCCGCTGCTCGAGTTGGTCCAATTTCTTTGTGCGAATCCGACTTTACCTGTGGTGGCGTTCGCAACTGAAAAGATGCTAGAATAATTGTCAATTGACGAGGACGACGATGGAAGTAACGACGCGCACACATAAACTGAAGAAAGGAAATTGGAACCCAAGAGATATTCCGTGGCTAAAGGAGATGACCACTCCTGGACGACGCTGGTACATTAGCCGTTCTGGTTGACGATTAGTTTTGATTCATCGAGAGTGACCGCCAAGCTGTTGATGGTAAGAATCATTTTCATTTGCGTGTCGCATGGAATGCCGTAGATATTGGTGGAAGGGGTGTTGCCGACGACGGAAGCACCACTGATACTAGCATCTAACGACGATACGTATGAGTCTTACGCCCCAAAAACGTACGGGAGAAAACTAACACAGCACGCTAGCATCCTGTTGAGGGAGGATGAGCGCATTATAGACCGGATCAATTAGCAGTTACGAGATCGCCGCTACGAGAAACATTGCCATTCGCTGTGGTCAGTGTCCAGCTGTCGAGGTTAATGTAGAAATCCGTATCCAGACTGCTGGTATTGAACGTCTGCATTGTTTTCCAAGCGACGTTGCCTTGGTAGTACGATGTCTCCGGTTGGATAAGATGAAGATACCCTCCGTTACTCGAGGAACCGGTATTAGGGCTCAACGCCATGCCATAAGTGAAATTTTCGCCGGCAGGCTGTCCTGAAAGGTAACCACCGAAGATCGTGGCGTTGAAATTCCCGTCTCCTACGAAGTTGGTTAATTGGGAAGTCTGTCGATGGACGAGAAAGACGCGCTTGAATTCGGTCCGAGACCCAAGATACCGGAGATTCCGGGAGAGAACATCGAGTTGGATTGGTTGGCTACGACAACTATGACGATGGTCATAAGAGGTATCTGTGCAATATAACTTTGCAGACGTACTGGTCTGGTTAGCGTAGCTCCAATCCTGTCCGTCGGTTTTTTTGAGACCACAACTCTCGGTGATTAAGTTCCCATCTGCAGAAGCGCCACCTACTATGGCGACATTCTGGCCACCAGAAAGGTCTGTGGCAGTCGTTGACTCCGAACGATTATACCTGATGTCAGCCGATCTAAGAGAACGACTGACTTGATAAGAGAATATGCGTACGGCTGAACACCATTACACGTCTGGCAACTTGTGCCCGCAACGGTAACGTAGCCAGTGCTTGTTGTGAGCCCAAACCGGAAATTTTGCGCCGAGGCGCCCGTTGACTGGGAAACACACTAAGCTTGATAGCTCAGGCCAAAACAGCTACGAGACATACCATAACGACATTGACTGTGTACGAATTATTGTCGATGGTCACAGGAACGGTGACAGTCGAATATTCACCGCTTCCATCACGTTGTCGTAAACGAGAGGAAACGACCAGTGAAAAGAACGGGAAGAAGTGCAAGGGTGTTAGCTTCATGGCAGGGGCGGGTCCACCGCACTTTGGACCCTATTCCGTGCTAAATATTCCGCCAACTACCTTAAACATATTTTTAAGGAAGAGCGCCTGATCAATGTGCGCTCACTACGATGATAGACTGCCAAGCCATATGCTGTCCTCATGCCTGAAAGCCGCCGCCGATGAATGGAACTAAGCAGTAATGGGTCGCTTGCGACTCAGAGCCTTGATACCTGCACAGGGCCCTCGTTTGTAAAAGGGAAAGGTCTGTTGGTGAAAAAGGATGCAAACACCCTTCAGCAATCTGCGATCCATATTCGTCGATATCTGCTTCCGCCATTGTACAAACCCAAGACAATATTGAGTAGTATGAGACTGTCCAACGGAGAATACAATTTTCATGATTGGCTATCGCCCTCGGATTTAGGGCTCTTCTCCAGTATTGCATCTACAATCCCAAAGTCTAAGGCTTCCTTAGCTACAGTACGGAAAGGTCAGAGCTTGAATGCCAATGATGAATTGAGTGCTAAACCTGTCATAAAGTTATCGCGTTCAAGCGCATGTTCTGAGTATACGTTTTAGTAGGGAAAAATGGGTGGTGTACGAGAAAGCGTACCGAAACGAGCGAGGCCCTTGCTCACTGATTCTCCTGGTTTTGCACAATGCTTCTGATAAATTCCTGTCAATAACTGACGTATTCGTAGGATCTCCTTAGCGTGGATAGCTATATCAGAAGCTTGACCAGAGGCGCCACCGGAGGGCTCTAGAAACAGCCATTAGGGTAGAATCGCAGTCAAAGCCACTGAGGACGGACGATGAATCATAATGCTGGCATTCGGTAGGCAGTGACGTTTGCCCCTTTCTCCCGCAGATAGTAAAAGAGAACCCATGCTAGCTGCTTGCCCAATACAGTACGTGTGTATTGGCGAAGAAACGTACTATCGGCGTGCCGGTAAGTCAGTTGACCTTTGATGCGAAATTGGATGTGCAAACCTGCATCTGCAAAAGTCAATTGCAATGAAGATATGTAATGTTACACATCGCTTACTGTGTCATATATTGCTAATCCTGCGGTAACACTACCTCCTGGAGAATTGATGTAGAGGTGTATAGGCTTCGAGGTATCCTCTGCTTCCAAGAAGAGAAGTTGGGCAACGGTCAACGTGGAATCTGTATCTCTTATCTGAGGTATAGATTCAGTGACCAGGCTGCAAACAACGCGTAGCTCGACGCACCGGACCGTAAAGCATGATGACCCTCTCCCGTAGCAAGCGCGAAAAGATATCGTACGAGCGTTCACCTCTTCCCTATCCTTCCACAATAAGCAAATGAGCGCCCAATACACTTACCACAACGTACCGTCTGCTCGATGACGATGGGAACGAGGTTGGAAGAAGGCGACTCTCCAGTCCATTGGCCAGCTAACGGATGAAAATGACGGGTCGCACGAACTGGCGAAAGACGTCGGTTTAGGCAAGAAAATCCTGGACGAAATATGGAGGACATTGAGCCGTAAGGACGTCGACGTCGAGACCGTTGATGGCAAAAATGTCTGCTTGCCGAATCGGGTAGTCAAAGCGCGTGACTGGCGCGCCTCGTGAATACGTCCACAACTGTCCACAAATGGACATTGAGCAGACAACTGTGAATGATTGACGCTGTAGTGAAGAAGTGGGAACGGATTTGTAGTCCGGCAATGAGCTATGCCACGTAGAACTATCCTTGAATTTTTAGGTGGTAGCAAGGCTAGTGCACATTTCTAGGGTCTACTTAGTGCACCGGATATTATCGATTTCTCAAAATCGATACGCATGCTGAAGTTCTTATTGAATACTTGAGACCCAGCCTGTCCCCTCATGACATCGTCCATCCGCGAAACTACGTCGAAGTCCGAAGTCGAAGCCATCCTAATCTAGCATAGTGGGGTAATTCTCTACACGCCAGTACATATGGTACCTAGTGTCGATCTTTGACGGATACCGTCCTCATTAATCAACTCCAAGGCTTGTTGAATCTATCTTCTGGATCACATCACCATTTCTGTCGTATATACACATAAATATCTATGGCCGCCACCAAAGAGGTAACATGCTGAAAATATAAATGAGCGATAAATTTTGTACAAACACGCGTCAGCTAGTAGAAGCACTTGTCGCAGTCTAGACCTACTTATTTCTAGGCCGGGTAAGTACTTATGTACTCCAGATAGCTTTGTGTCTCCGTCTCTCGATTCTTACTAACGCCGGGTTCTTTGAATCCTTTAAGGAACTTTCAACTTCGAAATCGAAGTGAACGGCTGAAAATTTGCTGGCCGATGGGTGGTTCTTCTTCGATCATCTATCGTTTAGTTCGTACCCTAGGTGGACATTGTCAGACTGAGCATTCCCGCCCCCTTCTCCGTCGCCATCAGGCACCGAGTCCGTCCTTCGGAAGGACGCTTACTCGTCACTAGGGTCTTATCGGCTGTCTGAATACACCGAACAGATCTTCCGGAGTTTCTCCAGGTCAAGTAGGCAAATACGGATAGGGCGCTTAGATACTCATCAATCACCGGCGCACGCGGGGACTTAGATAACTGCAAATAAACCGCAGAAGCCTTTCCGGAAGTAGACTTGATAGTGTAAACATAGACCGCTTCTTTAACAACTTCAAGGCTCGCGGATAAAGGATTCCGTTGAGCTAAAATAAGATGTACATAATATGAACAGCTTCGAAAGAAGAATATGTGATTTGCCGGCGCTCATCCTCCTACATGTTCCATCATCTACAGTGCATTGTTTCGTCAATACGCGAGTGCATATGCTAGGATTCCCGGCAACCAAAAATTGATCCTTGAAGTCGGCTCGCTCATTACCGATAAATATTCCTAGTGAACATCAGAAACATAGCTATTTGTTTATTGACTCAAACTGCGGTCGAGCTCATGGAGTTCACGAACCTTGATTTGCCAAGTACCCTTAGAATCCGCTTCATGGGTAAAAATGTTGCGAACAGCCGTGCTTAGTCCCCGACCACATGGAAAAAAGCTGGTGGTTTAATTACGTCTTTTTCTCGATTTTCTCAATGACGACCAGCCGATCAAGACACATTGTTTCAGTAGCCGCGGGTGCCTCATGTCCTTCGACAAATGTCTTCGCAATGGTTATGACATGAAGCTTCGGCTGCTTCACAAAGGAATTGGATGTTACGGCGGTGATCGCCCTTTCGGTCCAAGACGGACCCGAACGATGTAAATCCACAGAAAGGAGAAGGAAAAGCGCTGTTGCGATCAAACTCGGCTTTAACAACGACAATATTACCTTGGCGTTCGACGCTAAGCGAAAGCGCTAATTGGTCAAGGATAAGAACCCGGAAATGTCGCCTAAAAGAAACACAAGCCTAGATACCATTGGCCGCAATAACTCTGAAACCAACAGGAATGTGTCCTCTGCCTCTGGACCTCGTCATTTAGCCGCTAAAGGTCTTCATGAATGTGCCTTTCGGTTAAGCCATGTAGGCAGGAAGGCTAGACACTAATTTGAAGGAGAATTTCAAGAAAGATCTCACCGCGGGTAGCCGGACGACCGCGACAAAACTTCTTTCCATGATGATCTTCCGAGCACATTGCGGATTGACAATGTACCACATGTATAATTATATAAAGAAGACTACACTCATCTCAATAGCCACCTCCATCGTCTCCCGGCCTGTGGGCCGCCATTTGCCGCCGTTGGGCATCTTCAAGCTTGGGACAATTGGAAATGCCATGTCCAAGTCCTGTCAAAGCGATGAGTCTTTCATTCTGGGGAAGTGCAACACAGGCACCGACCTCCACAAACGGGGCATCCCTTAAGCGAGCCACCCTGAGCTGCCCTGGGATCCTCGATAGTCGCCAAGAACGGCGGAACTCTGCCAAACCAATCAGTTTCATTTCCGAGACTTCACGAAAATCAAATGCGCACTTTTGCCCCGCCTCCATTAATAAATACTTCAAATCCAATAAAGTCTGCTCGGGCGTATTCATGTTGACGAATGTCGTGGCTATTCCCGTCTTGCCGCTTCGCCCCGTTCGGCCGATTTGATGGACGTAGTCTTCAATCTCTTTGGGCATGGAGAAGATGATGACATGTTGGATTTCATTGAAGTCAAGTCCTTTGGAAGCTACACCCGAAGCTACCATGACGTCCTTCGCACCCGACTTGAACGATTTAATTGCGTATTGACGCTCTTCCTGGGCTGAAAAAAAAAGAGGGTAAGAAACCAGAAAACTTGGCAGCAAGAACCATACTTTTAGAGCCGTGGATCGCGACAGCTTCGACACCTTTCAGTAGAAGATATTCTTGAATGTCTGTGTCGACAAGTCAAACAGCTTGATTTAATATCGATTAATGGCTTCGACTTACCATCGACCTCATTCTTAATCTCACTAAAGATGATGACTGGGGGAGGTGTCTTCTGTAGACACTCAAGGAGATATACCATCTTGGCCTCTTGCTTGACATATTCGACAACCTGAAGAACGTCTAAATTGGCAGCGCCCGCCCGTCCAACATTAACGAGGATAGGACGGATGAGAGACTGTTGAGCGAAGTCCTGTATCTTCTTCGGCATAGTGGCCGAAAAAAGCAGAGTCTGTCGTTGTCGCTGAAATGAAGTACAGTAAGCCGACATCCTCTGTTATTAAGGAGAAGCCTCACCTTGAAGAAACTCATGATATTCCTCACGTCGTCTTCGAAACCCAGATCGATCATTCGGTCAGCCTCGTCCATACAGAGATACCTGCAATTGTTGAACGTAAACCGCTTTTTCTCCAGCATATCAATGAGACGTCCAGGAGTCGCAACTACGATGTGCAGACCCTTGGACATAACGTGGCTTTGCTCATTCATCGAAATGCCTCCGATGCACAACAATGTGTTCAATTGAGGATATTTGCCTTCCTTCGTGACGGCAGAACACCATCCGACAACGTTCTCGTACGTCTGGTTTGCCAGCTCTCGCGACGGACATAGGATGATACCGACGGGGCCCTCGCCTCGAATGAAAGGCATCTTCATTTCCTCTTCAAGGGCGAGCATGATGAGAGGTATACAAAATGCTAGAGTTTTTCCAGAACCGGTGAATGCGATTCCGATGAGGTCCCGACCTGAGAAGCTAAGTGGGATTAGTAAACAATACAGGGAATGGGCATAATAGACTTACGCGGTCGGTATACCTTGTAGCTGTATCGGAGTTGGAGACACTATTCGATGAGACTTGAGGTATTGAAGAATGGAATCAGGAAGCTTCATGTCCTGCACCAATTGTTAGGGAATGAATATCGGAAAAACGTTGTACATACAGCAAAATGTTCTATGGGAGGTGGTATGTCTTCGCCTTCGACAAGGATATGATATTTGTTACGAATACGCTCATTTTCTTCATCTGGACGATCTCGAATATATTTTGGAGGTCGCCAGCTTGGAATACATTAAACAAAGTTTACAGCTACAATGACTCAACACGTACCTAGTTTTGAGGGACTCGGTGTATTGGATACCCTTTGCCAGCTCCATATCAGATGCAAGCATTTTATGGCTCTTAATTGCATTGAAAATCTTTTCATCTGCTTCCTGAGTCTTTTCTTCTTCGGTCTTTTTTGCGTCTAAAGACGTTAATAGAGCACTTGAGGCCGTGAATGAATCTCACCTTCGGCTGCTTTTTGCGAATGGACCTCTTGTGCTTCCATGAGTAGCGTTCGCTCCTTTCTCAACTTTTCTCGACGAGCCTCTTCCTCATTAGCTTCATCCTCGCGCTCCTCTTGTTCCCGTTGCTGTCGTCTGGTCCGTTCCTTGTCAGAATTGGCACCCCACGAAGTAAGTTTTGCGAGCTTGGCCTGACGACGCTGAGCGACAGGAATATATGGTTCATATGTGTCATCTTCATTGTCGAGCTTGTAGGCTGGTGAGGGGGAGCGCTCGACGCGACGACGTTTTGTTGGTTGAGTGTCCATTGGAAAGACAGGACCGGAACCCGGGCCGCTGAAATTGTACCAAATAGGCCAAACCGGGCCTTGTTCCTTTACCATCATCCTTGCACAATCCAAACGTTGTCCAGGGATCCAATAGTAACGCTGGAACTTGTTCAACAGGGTGATATTCCAGACCTGATGCTCCGGTTCAAATAAATAGTTTCGTGTGCTTGGTTCTTGTCTCGCCTGCTCTTTCTTCCCTACCATCATGACCGAGTTTAACCCATCTGATCATCCTCATCGTAGATGTATGATTTCCTATCCGTCTCTGTTCTTTGCTCATGATTTCACCGGTAGTGAATCCATTGACCGGTGACTACACACTCGTCTCACCTCATCGCATCAAGCGACCGTGGCTCGGTCAGGTTGAACCGCCCATGGTGTCCAGTTTGCCACAATATGATCCGGCATGCTACCTCTGTCCCGGCAACACTCGTGCTGGAGGCCATAAGAACCCTGATTATCAGCAGATATATGTCTTTGAAAACGACTTCTCTGCGGTCCTTGGCGGACCGCTGCCAATCGCCCCCGTAGCCCCCCATCCATTACTTGCGACAGAACCTGTCGGTGGTGGATGTGATGTTCTGATCTTTGATCGTAGACATGATTTGACTTTGGCACGAATTTCAATTGATGGGCTGAAGCGAATCATCGAGGAGTGGATTCGAATCTACTACAGACGAGGCGCGGAGGAAAACATCAAATATGTTCAGATCTTCGAGGTAACAGTTACTTTGACCTCGCCGAGTAGAGAACTGTAACTGCTGTTTAGAACAAAGGTAGTATGATGGGCTGCTCAAACCCTCACCCACATGGACAGGCCTGGTCTTTGTCTGCTATACCTTCGTACCCTGCCAAAGAGCTCGAAAATATGAAGCGGTACACGCTCACCGATGTGCCTGCTTCTCATGCTCCCAGGATCAAGGATGGTCAGTTGAGTTAATTCTATCAACTCTGGACGTTGCGTCAATCGCATCTTAGGGAAGCCTTGTCTGCTCTGTGAATATGTCCATGCAGAACTCAATTGGACAGGCCCCGACGGCCGGATAGTGTTCAAGAACGAACACTGGGTAGCCGTGGTGCCGTGGTGGGCGGTGTGGCCCTTCGAGATACTCCGTGCGTGTCAGTATCTCCTTTCGTTATGACACTCCCAAACTTTGTCCTCTCAGTCCTTCCATATCAACGTCACATACCCTCAATCGCAGAGCTTACCGAAGAAGAGAAGACGGCGTTTGCCCAAAGCATATCTATCGTTACCAAACGATACGACAATCTCTTCTCTTCTTCGTTTGCGTACTCGATGGGGATCCACCAGCGGCCAATCCCACTGACTGCGGTCGCCACCAGCGAGGATTCGTTCGAAGAGGCTCATTTGCACTTACATTTCACCCCGCCGCTTCTGCGAAGTGCAACTGTCAAGAAGTTTATGGTTGGGTATGTCAGCCACATCTATTACCTCTCGGTGTCTTATCCATAGTTAGGTTCGACATCATGGGGGAAGCTCAACGGGATCTTACTCCTGAAATAGCAGCTACCCGTCTTAGAGAGTGTTCTGATATCCATTACCTCGATGAGAAGAATAACTGACGTAGAGGCTGTTTAGAAAATAGAGCACTGTCTGATTAAATCATATAAGTTACACCAGTCATACACGGTTTCTGTTGCATGTTGCAGCCTCAATCGAGTCCTGATACAGTCCATTATCAACTATTGGTCAATTCGAAAGCAAGCTGGCCAAAAAAGGAATAACAAAATATGAGCACGTGACATAAACGCGTCGGTTTTTGGTGGCATGGTACTTGTCCACGTACTTGTCTCTTCCAACGTCCTCCATCTGTCCCAGTCTCCCTTTATTTATCTTTAATCGGTGGCAAGGATGAAATCACGTATATTTAAGCCACAGCGCTCGACAGAAGCACCTATGGACTTTCAGTTTACCTCACGGCCAAGCTCAAATGTAAAACCGGCTTGGGCTGCAGGCGCAGGGGATGAGGACCCTAGTACCCCCAAAAAACGTATTGTCTCTCGATATGTGATTGCATCCTCCATTTGACAACGTTCTGCTCCCGCCAGGAACTCACGACGACTCGACCCTAACCGCACCGTCAACACCAACATTTGGCTTCAACCAGAATGTTCCATTTATTTTCCAAACGCCATCGCGTCAGCCACCCCAGCCGTATCCATGGGCGCCACCTCCAAACTTCTCACCAACGAAGGCATTCCCCCAACCGGTTACTTCGGAAGAGGTTCGGGATGTCGATATGTCAGAAGTGAGCCCGCCCAAGCCGGAGGAACCAAAGTCAGAACGTGGAAGACCTATTGCCACAGGTGCTCTGCGACGAGTTTTCCGAGCTCGCCAGAAGGCCAACGGTCGTCAGCTGTCAAAGACAAACAGTCATGACGAAGAGGATGATGATCTGGATAGTGATGAAGAAAACGATAGGGCCATTACGCCTATAAACCAAAATACGTCCAATCACTACACTCTGAATCTCCCTTCTCCTCCCGCTCCTCCATCTGATACGCCGTACATCCTACTCGGGTAAGTCCATGGTTTCTAAAGGGTGCCGTTGCCAATTCCGTTGCTAACGTTATCCCATAGGTACCTCCAGTTTTTCTTTAACCTTTCGCTCATTCTAGTCTTTCTCTATCTCGTCGTGCAATTCATATTGACTGTGCAACGAGATGTCGAGCACCGAGTTTCGGAGTATTCCGCTGGTAAGTTTCAAATTTGGTTTTACACCCTCTCTTTGCCTTAACAAATTCGGGGGTGGCATAGACATCATCCAAGAAATAGCCATGTGTGCTTTGCAATACAAGAACAACCTTTGTCAATCACCATTACCGGCAATGGCACAGCAATGCGCTAATTGGGAGACATGCATGAATCGGGATCCGACCACCCTTGGCCGTGCCAGAGTCGGTGCCGAACTGATTGCAGAAGTCGTAAATGGGTTCGTTGAGCCCATCAGCTGGAAGACTCTGGTAAGTTGTTTTATCCGAAGAATGTCCATACCCTGTGCTAACTATATCATCCACTTCTATCTACGCCACGAAGGCCTTCACGTTGACGTCTTTGTCCTTTTTAACCGTATTCATCAATGCGCTACTTTCATTATACCGTTCGCGACATCACTCGCCTCCCCACGCGCCACCCACCCATAATACCCAGTACCCTATACATCCATCTACTCCGTATCCGCCGCATCAGTTCGGCAGTTACCTATCTCCAGCACCTACCCCAGCTTGGAGTAGATCGTGGAAGGGGATCGACCACGATGAAGACACGGAAACTCCGACCAGACGAAGACGGCTGGAAGGAGGAGGTTCAGTAAAGATTAAATAGCCAATGTTGTGCAGGCATGATGAATATGGGATATGGTTTCATCTAACCTTGTATTCACTAGGTTCTGGATCGGTGAAATCTTATCTGAGCTGAGGACACGGAGGGTTTAGATCCTTCACGGTACGTGAGTGTCGCGAAGCCATCATCTAACGTTTTCATATATACAGCTGACGGACTTGGGGGAAAACATGCGCCATTTGGAGGTGTAACATATGCTGTATCAGGCCGGGAGAAGACACAGGACTGAAGAACAGCCCGTGATAGCCAACAGCAACTGTTTCCGCACGTCATGGGACACCGAGCATTCCTGGAAGACACGGTGGTAGAGAATATCAATTGATGAGAGGGATGCTGTTTAAATATCTCAAAGGTGAAGATCACAAGCACTGTATCGGGGTCAAGGATCTCAGGGAACCGGGTAACCTTTGCGACGACCCGGTAACTGGATGCGTGCTTGTTTTCCTATGATGTGGGTCCGGAACATTCTCTGATTAAATAAATGATGTTCCCGAGCTCCGTATAGGGATTTCGTACACGAGTATGTCTGGAATGCATCGCTTCAGGAACATCACGGGTGCCACAAGTTTTAACGCTGGGCCAAGAATGCGTCAGCGCCGCGTGCAGGATTGATTGGTTCTCAGGCCCAGATGAACCTGTGATTTAAGAGGATTAGCCTTTTGTATCCCCGGATATACTTGGCACCGCAGGGTCGGAGCAGGGTTGATGTTTGAATGAAAAGGTGACGGTAGGGGGTACGGTAGAAATACGGTAGGACGGCGACCAGCAACCGATGGGGCACTGCGGCTTGTTTTGTTAGTGTCGGAGGCATTGTTGTTGTATGATCTTCTCTAGACGCATATCCCCGACCTTTGTCACCCTAGTCCTATTTCCGTCGCCAGCCTTACGACTGATAGCATCTTGTTGATTGATAGTACCCGTTTGTTGATTCCCTGCCCGTGATTTATATTCTCTGCGACTAATACTAATCGGTATTCAGGCCGCGGCACGCACATACCGTGATAGATGCCTCGGCGTTCACTGTGATTGCCATGATGCTAAGAAATGAAGCGAAAAAGATTGCTCGTTGCTAGGTACATCGGAGAACATATGTCGAGGCGGCGAATGCATGGTATTATGACCACCTCTTCTAAGGCACCTCAAAGATTACACCCACGTCCATATATAGTCAACATTCTTCGACGACCCACAGTCATTTGCCGCTCCCTGCAGCCGCTGCGGCTCGCTCTTCTTCCTTTTTCTGATGTGGCGATAACTTATTAGACGTGGACGAATCGAGAGTGGATCGCGGGACGATACCTTCTGTTTAGCACGAAGAATCTCGGCGTCACTAGTGGAGACTTAGTACACATACCGATTATCAACGGATTGAGGAATGCTTGCCTTTCTTTCCTCTTCGCAAGGCTAGACGCGCTTTCCTTGGGTTTTTTGGCTGCTGCCGCCGCCTTCTTCTGTGCTTTGGCGCGATCTGTCTCCCTCTGATTGCCGCCTATGAGCCATTAGACATTCAATGAATCGATTGCTGTAGATGTAAAGCAAAAAGAGTAGAGAACTGGTTAAATGTACTCACGGGTCATGGCTGTTGTTCACTAACTGGGTGTAACGTGTCACGTCACGCTCGGGAAATGATGGGATTCAATCGGAGTCAGCTGACCTCGAAAAAGGCTTGTTCAATTTTAGCCCCCGGAATTGATCTGGATTCTGATCATCCGTCTCCGGCTATTTTCAGTTGCCTCTGAGACTCAGGGTCCCACGTTTCCTTGTGCAGCTGATGCTGCGCTTGTATTGTATGTAGAGGGGCTGAGCCCCTAGTGAAATTGACGAGTCACTCCAAATGAAATTGAAACATCGCAAGGCATTCCGCGATCCGGTGGGTGCTCAGGTTCAGGTAAACGTCTCTGACAGCGGCAACGCACTCGACATGTATCAGGCGTACGATCGCATGAGGGGGGCAGGCTGGGCGACGGCCAGGTCATTATAACAGAGCTGTGGGCGTTTACCGGGGATGATACACGCCTTTTTGTCGTATCACCGCGCAAAAGGCAAGTCGAGCAACAAAGCTTCCGTAGTGATGTCAATCGGAAGAATCGAGCTACGCAGTCATGCTCCGTGGTAATCGATTGCGGACGGGAAGCCTGTCAGAATACAAGGTTCGCGTGTGGATTTCTCGGAAAAGCAGGCTATACAATTTTCATCAACACGCAAGTTCGGCCCGACTGTCCTATCCTCTCGGGGTTGTCCTTCCTGGCTCGTGGTCGTCTCTTTATTGCTTCCATTCCCGCTAAGGTTGCATTATGTCATGGAGACCGTGATCTGCAAATTCCATGCGAGAGGCGTGGGGTGAGAGGCGTCAGGGCCTCGGACACAAATCCGCAATGAAATCATGACACATTGTTGACTCCTGCTGTTGGCCTGCTGTAGGGTCGGAACAGTTGCTACAGCCGTACTCGGGGCTGAGGCGAGGTATATGGATGGTTGTGTGGTTCAGAGTGATTGTGATTGTATGATCTGCAAATATGATATTGTGGGATATTATTCTGCATTATAAAGCGGCCGGGGAATAACTATAGGTACCGATAATAAAGGGCACCCTGAGTAGGAACGAGATGTCAAACGGTGTGTAATCGAACTGTAATCGATGGAGTGTGGAGTCTAGAAGCAATGTGGGTGAGATAGGAAGCGAAGCGAAAAGACCGAGCGCCGAAGGTGAGAATTACAGCATTGACGGAGTCAGACGGTCTCACGGAGGCAGAGTTAAAACACAAGAAGCGAAGGGTCTTGATAGAAACAGGTAGACTTTGCGCACTAAGGCCTTTGGTTCGTTAATTTTGCGACCACCTTAATTATAAGAGACGGTTAGATCCGGAAGCAACGCGGAGAAAAGATGCTTTCGGAAAGGATTGAATTCCGTTGACGGGGATGTGCAATGAGCAGCGATGAATCTTTGAAGGGGCAACAAAGGACACAAATTAGAGGGTGAATAAAGGAACGCAGGGCTTCGGAGAGATTCCCAGGGCGTCGTAACGTTTCCAGTGATTCGGTGCTTCGGGCGAGACAGGCTCAGGACCGGCAGGGATGTACAATGATCGAAAAGGGTAGACAGGCAAGGACAGGACAGGACCGGCAGGATGCTTGGCAACGGTACCGCCTTGAATGGACGTTTCCACGTTGAAGGGATCACATGATCGATCGCCGATGGAATCTGTTAACGTGGCCGGATAAGATAAGATAATGCGGTGACGTGCCTGGACATATCGGGGTATGACTTTCGTCAGAGTGAGACGACCCTGATTCCAAAACGGGACAGGGCCTAGGTCATACCTTCCTGAGATGACATCCGAGATTATGGGTGACGTGTCATATGCGCTAAGCGGCAATCTGCGGGTAAAATAGAAGCGAATTTGATGAGTTCTGTTCTGGCTGTACAGTAAACAAGACTGTTACGACGGTTGGTTTGATCCACTGAGTGTCATGGAGCTTCTCTTCTGATTGGGATCCGTCGAATGTAGGAGAGAATCGACGGTGCTGGCACGCGATAGTTGACAGCAATGAGGCACGGGGAGAAGGAATGGAATGAGTGTACGGTCGTAAGCAATGGTACGAGTAATGGAGTAATGCTCGGTGTATTACCATCTATTGCCATTCGGAAGTGAGAATTGTGTACGGATTTGGGACCAGATCAAAATAGATGAATTGAGATCAAATTGAGATCAAATTTGTGAATTTGGATCAAATGTAAATTGCTTCCCTGAGTATCCCTGGGTTCGCTGACTTGTTCACAACCGAGATGGCTTCCGATGGGCCGATGGATCTGATTGGATTGATCGCCATTGATCGTGCGAGGGGCCGGTCGTTGACTATATAATAAATTATATCATATCGAATAATATATATATATCAGACGCCGCTTCCCTTCCACCTTTTGCCCCCTCTCCACTCCCCAGCATGTCTATGCGCCACCTCCCCCGCCAGCCAGAGCGGGATGTCCGTATGCACGACCCGTCTCCATTGCAGTCACACCCTCACGCCCACCCGCTCATCACCCACGGACCCCACCTCAACGGCAATGCTCCCGGTCCCACCACGCCCGCCGCCGCCTCCATCGTCTCACCCACTGCCGGCGCTCCCAATGGCGTCCAGGCCCCAACTACAGTCATGCAGAAGCTCGCTGCAGCCAACGAGCAGACTTGGCTCCTCATCGGAAGCGTAGCAGAACAGATGGGAGACCTCGAACATGCCCTTTCCGCCTATGAGAATGCCCTGCGGCACAATCCGACGTCCCTGTCCGGACTTACTCAAGTCGCTGGCATCGCCCGGATCAAGGAGAACTATCCCAAGGTGTGCCATCAATTCCAATTCCTTTGTTGCCGCGGTCCGTCATTCCGATTTGTCATCGCTAACTCTTTTTTTCTTCAGGCTGTTGATTTCTTCCAACGTGTGCTTGGTTTGCAAGAGGAGAATGGCGAGGTATGGAGTGCTCTAGGTGTGTATTATAACCTCTTATCTGCTCAATTGACTCTAACTTTACGATTCAGGGCACTGTTATCTCATGCAAGATGACCTACAGAAGGCTTATTCTGCCTACCAGCAGGCATTGTACCTGTTACCAAATCCCAAGGTCATTTAATTTCCCTTCCATCAGTCAATCTCAGCCTAACGGACACCTACAGGAGGATCCTAAGCTTTGGTACGGCATCGGAATACTCTACGACCGATATGGGTCCCTCGATCATGCCGAAGAGGCCTTCTCTTCGGTCTTGCGCATGGATAAAGGTGTGCTAGCCCTTTGTATTCTAGTCGCCAGTCGTAGTTAATTGTGAAGACCTAGATTTCGATAAAGCGAACGAAATCCTGTTTCGATTAGGCATAATCTACAAGCAGCAAGGCAAATACGACGAATCCCTTGCCTGCTTCGACCGCATTCTCCGCAACCCTCCTTCCCCTCTTGCACACGCCGACATATGGTTTCAGATCGGTCACGTTTACGAACAACAGAAAGACGTAGGTCCGATCAACTTTCTTATTAGACGTCCTTACTCACCGCAGCGTGCAGTACGTCAAGGCAAAGGATGCCTATGAGCGTGTAGTCGCCGACAACAGTGGTCATGCCAAGGTGCTGCAACAGCTCGGATGGCTATACCATCAAGATGGGTCTTCGTTTCAGAATCAAGACCTCGCTATCCAATACTTGACGAAAAGTCTCGAAGCGGGTTAGTATCACTGTGGTTCTTTGTTCGTATCATCCGCTGATGATTCTGCTATAGACTCTTCGGATGCCCAGAGCTGGTACCTCTTGGGTCGTGCTTACATGGCGGGGCAAAAATATAACAAGGCCTACGAAGCATATCAACAAGCCGTCTACCGCGATGGTCGCAACCCTACGTTCTGGTGTTCTATCGGCGTTCTATACTTCCAGATCAATCAATTCCGTGACGCTTTAGACGCTTACTCGCGAGCCATCCGAATCAACCCTTACATCTCCGAAGTGTGGTTCGACCTTGGCAGTCTCTATGAAAGTTGTAACAACCAGATCTCCGATGCCATCGATGCATATGCCCGTGCGAGCGAGCTCGATCCCGGCAACAACGTTATTTCCCAGCGCTTGCAGTTGTTGAAGACTGCACAGGCTACCGGCGGCCAGCTTCCTGCTGCTCCGGGTCCCCAAGATGTTCATCCCACAGCATATGCTAGTGCTGTTGTTCCGCCACCGGGATTGACAGGTCCGCCTCTACTTTTACAGTCTGGTGTTCCCCGTCCGCCATTCCGTACCGACTCACGAGGACCAACAGACATATCCTTGCCGCCGCCTTCACAAGTAGGCGTTGGGCGATCATCGCCTGGTCCTTTCAGAGGTGGTCCACCACCGCCTGTAGTTCTTGATGAGACACGCCACATTCCTTCTCATACCCCACTCGCACCAATGGAGATCGAGCGACCAGCGCACTCACGCGATTTTCCCAGCTCTTCCCGGGATGCCGGCCCGCGTGGACATCAAAGTCTATTACTTCACCACCCCCTTCCCCAGCCTGGAGAAGAAGGTCGGAATGGTGTTCACCCGCATCATCCGGACTCGTACTTCTCGCGACAACCGCGCCCACAATCACGCTCGATTTCACCAGGTCATTCGGCACGGCAACGAAGTCCCCCACCCTTTCCACCATTCCCGCCTCCCGGTGGACGGCATCCCATAGGTCCTGCTCAACCTAGTTCGGGCCCAGTCCAGAGGTCGCCGCGGTCATACCCGGCACATGAACCTCCAGCTAGACCCGTAGAACAGGATGGAGCATGGGATAGACGGCCAAACAATGATATTCGAGACTGGGAAAGGGATAGGAGGATGCTTAGGCATTCCGGTGGTGAATACCCCGGTGGTTACCCGCCACCTTACCCGCCTCGTTCGCCTCCCAGTGCGCATCGCGGACGGACCCCTCCTGAGGCTTCTCCACGTTCGGCGCATCCGTCCAGGTATTGGGAGAAAGGCGGACATTCGGTCAGTCGACCGTCGCCCCCTCCACCTCCACCGAATGATTCGATGAGACGGTATGATCCTCGATACGAGGTACGGGATAATGGTCGGGAGAGAGACTATGATATGGATGCACGAATGGACCAACGATCCTTCCCTGGACCACCAGATGAAGGGCGACGAGGAAATCATTTTGCGTCCAGCAGCAACCGTAGTTCGGAGAGTCCTCACCCGGATGGCAAGGGACGAAAGAGGCCTTCTTCGAAAGATGACAGTGATCCTTTCAGCTGAGGCCGCACGTCGCGAAAGGAGGAGAAAAAATGGGAGCATCAGCGGTGTTAGCCCCAACGGGAACGGCAATGGGCTTCCCAAGCGTCGAGAAGAAGGTCTGGAGACACCGACACCAAAGCCATTCGTGGTTGAGCGGGTTGAGCGTATGCAGTCGAGCGATCGTATGCCTCCCAACTTCAAAGGTTATAGCAAGGATCATGGCTCTCCTGGCCCTGTCAGCTCGAACGGTTCGGGTTCTTCGACCAGACCTTCACCTACAAGTGGTGCTCCCCGACCTCCTTCTCGCGTCTTGGATGAGGACTACGATGAAGGCGTCGACGCTCTCATGGGGCTTGCAGCTGGTGCACCGGGCTTCCGAGCTGCGAGATTCGTCTAACGCACCTGTTCCTTCCCATTCACCGGCGGTATCTACTTCGAGCCGGCACAGCGACCCTTCATCTCGCTCTCATCTTATGCATCGTGACTCTGTTTCATCTACACGAAGTCATGCCTCGCCTCCTCTCCTTTCTGCCCCTCTGAAGCGACCCTTGAGCCCTGGTGTTGACGAATTGTCAGACGCCAAGCGCTCAAGGATGGACCTGCACAAGCGTCGTGGAACCTCTCCGCCTACTCGTCATGCACCTTCCTCGCGTCCATCTCCCATTCCTTTCCGTACACAGCCTACATCTCGCTCGCCTGAAGCTCATTACCCACCAAGTCCGCCGTTGCCTGCAGTGCTTCCTCCACACCCTAGGCCTATTGGTTCAGGGTTGTCGAATGGTTCTGCCCCGATTGCGTTGCCTCCGATCGCCACCCTCTCTCCGACGTCGACAGCTCCCTCACCGAGCGGTACGGAGCGAGACAGAGACGACAGGATGCAGGTAGATAACCGGTCCATATCGCCACCGCCTCGTAGTAAGATGCCGGAAGCTGGTCGGTCTCCGCCAAAAGCGACGCCTTCGCCGCCTGTCGTAGAGAAGAAGGAGCCGTCTTCATGATCTCTGCTTGGGTCTCAGTGGGTCAGTTTATGAATTTTAATGAGAAGATAACGAGTGCATAAGTAAAGTCGTCGCAATTGTTTTTTTATCTTGCATTATTTTATCTCCCTTGCTTTGGACGTATATCTTTTTTTGATTTGTTAATAACATCGTTGTAAGTCTGTAGAACGAATGTTGTGCCATACACGCTGTGTCCGTGCTATGAAATAGTAATGTGTTGTAGTGAAAAAGGTCCGAATCCGATACAGACAAATTTATTACTCGGGGCATGAAGGAATTCCGGTGTCATGACTGAAAGTGATGGCCAGTGATCCCTGCATGACTGCGATGTCATTTCTCCGACTTTCAAAACAGTCGAATTGAAAGTAGAATGTCCAGACTACTGAGTGCCGTGATCGTGGCCAATTACCGGCGCGCTGCCACTGGATAGCAACCGTGATCTGTGACAAGTACACGCTATCCACCAACCAACTTGGTCATTTTCAACAAGTTTTTTTCTCAACGCTATTTGTATCGATTCTTTCTCGTGCAGTCATGTAGGTACCATCTCATCGTCGCTGCCATGACGCCCTAACCCGATGATCAGGCCGCTGCCCGACGAACGTCCACGACAAAGTGTTGCAAATCTCATCGGTAGATTCGAACAGCAAAACAAACGACAGTCGATATCTGCCAGTCCAGCTCGCAGCTCAAGTGTTGTTTCGCATAACACGGGTGATTCAGCCAAGGAGGAGGTAAAGGAGAAGCGGGACTGGCCTCCGACTCGGTCCACGACATCGTACACGACTAGCCCTTCTTCGTCGTGGATTAAGCCTCAACCGTCGGCTCTGAAATCGTCGTCTTCGACGAGTACGGTACCGATCTCGACAGCTATAGATGCCCCGGTGGTAGACGCTGTCGCGACACCTGCTGCCGACTCAGTTGCCAGTCTCCCGAGCATTCTGATCCCAAGAGCCCTTTACCATCGAAGCCAGTGCTTAAGCAGAGCCCAGCACCATCATCTTACAAGTCTCCTGCCAAGGCGTTGACGCCGAAAGCATCACCCGGCGGGTTGGCATCGATATCGACTCCGTTGAAGCCACAGCATACAGGCCAATCTACTACATCAACAACGTCTTCTGTTCGGAAGACGGTACCCAGGACTAGCACTGCTACTGCTGCTGCACGTGCCAAGACACCGTCACGTCTCAACCAACGTTCGAAGACGCCTCCACGCAGTACTGCTTCTACTACTCCCAGAGCGAGAACGCCAAGCACTGTACGTCCTGGGTCAGGCTTGTTCGCGCCTACTGCAGCTTCGTTAGCTAGGGCGCGAGATGCCCAGGCTCCTGCTCCGACGCCGAAGAAGAAGACGGTATTGTCGAGCGCGGTTGCTGATAGGCTGAACAAACCTACTGCTGCGTCCGCGAGTAAGGCTCGTACACCTGCGGTTGTGCCTTCCAGGGGTAAGCCTGCGACTCGTGGGGTTATGAAGCCCAAATTGCCTTCGTCGGGTAGTCCGAGGGTGGTGAAGAAGGACGGTGTAAAAGGGGCTGCGGCTGGAGCAGCGGCTGTCGTCGCTGTTGCTGCTGCTGTCGAGGGCGTTCCAGACGAGGTCGTTGATGAGCACGCGGAGACGAACGGCCACGTTACAGAGGCTTCTGCTGAGCAGGTACACGAGGACGCAGCTGGCCGTCATGAAGAAGTCCAGAATGAGGCGGAAATCCATACCGAACCGGAAGCGCATGTCGAGACGGAGGATCGCGAAGATGCAGATGCAAACCACGATGAAGCGGTGCCAGTTGATACCCCAGAAGCGACTGTAGAGATCGAACCTCAGAATCCCACGTCGCCCGAAGGTGTTTCAGTCACTTTGCCTGATGTAGAGGAAGGGTCCGCGGGAGAACGGACGCCTGTTGCTGAAAAGCACTCTCACGAAGGCCTTGTTGAGCGGGAACATGTATCCGAAGATCCTCCTGAAGAGACGCACCCTTCTGTTGGCAATGATCTTGAAGACATCGTTAATCTACTGGAATCGACGTCGCGTCCAGTTAGCATCGTTAGCATCCCCGACGATGTGGTCGATATCCCTGATGAGTCGGAGTAGAAACAAGTAACCGCTCAAAAGAATATTCACGCACATGATACCTCTTCGTTCGTTAACGCCCAATCGCTGTATCTTTCTAGATCTCATATAATATTTTTGGACACACTGTACACTCATGGTGCGTTTCTCTTCACCTCTTTATTTCCTGCTGGACCTCATTGTCGATTCTAGCATTTTCCCGATTCGCCAAATATGCCTCTCGCTTTCCTGCATTTCCGTCTCTCTTTCCCTACCTCGCTTACTTATATTGGTGTTTTGTCGCGCGTCTATGCATTAGGCTACGCCTTGGAATTGAATCGCATTCGTTTTTAAATAAGTTGGTCACGGGAATTTGAGAGATTGCCGGATATTTGCTTGGCATGCCGCACACAAACATGAGACTTTACACCTTGTTCCGGGTTAGTGGCACCCTACAACAAGGTAGCTCGACTGCCTCTTCGTATCAGTCGTGAGGCTATCTCGATGCCCTTGTCATGTCCTCTGCATCCCTTCCAGTTCAATCAGATTCTTTGGTGACACCTCCAATTGACACGCAACGCGGCCATGCGTTCCCACATTCATTGACTTCTTCACATCTCTCGATAAAGCGGAACTCTGTTGTGGACCCTACCCAAATGGCGAATTCTGGTCACGGTATAGACGGAGCTGTCCTGGATATCACACGAACGGATTCGAAGTGTGAAGATACAGGCGAGGAGCTGCGATTTCCGAGGGAGACATCATTTGACGGACCCCTTCCGAGCCCGCCTTTAACCAGGACTAATACAAAAGAGAGTGTTACCCAGCCATACCAGGAGAAGACCCTTGCTACTGAGAACCAGGATTCGAAGGCCAGGGAAAAGGACTCAGTCTGGCATCCATTGCAATTCAGCGACCCTGCAGACCAAACTCAGGATACCACCGTTGTTGACTTGGGCGATTCTATAGTCGACGCCAATGGCCGCCTGGTGTTCCCTGATGGAATGAACAAAAACTCGCCCCCTCCTTTTCCTCGCGGATCCGTTCATCCCATTGACACACAAAAACCGCATTCCCCGCAGCCATGGGAGCTTGTTGATCCTCCTCCTTCAAATGGTCACAAGCCTTCGCAGTATGGGACGGTGTCAAACAAGTTCAGCACCCTGCAGGGTACCTCGTACGCTTTTTTTCTTGTTCACAACGTTGCCATGTCGCTTATTGGTCCCTGTAGACACCGCCGGCCTTTGATACCCAAATCGTCGTATTACTTCGGGCCTCCGCCTCCGGACGCGGCGTTTGGTACACCACCAATGGGTCAAATCGGTGTTCATCATCCTCGGGAAGTCATTCGGATCGAGCGGGATTATACGGGCGGAGAGTTGATACAATTTGCTCCGATCTATCCGCTGGAGCTGGAAGGACGGGTTCGTTGACTGCTATTTCCAGACTGCCAAGGGGCAGGCACTCGGGCGGTGTACTGACCTCATGGCCAATAGATAACACCAACACAGTTCTTGGAATCAATCAATGCCATCAACGAAATCCTCATATCTGCACATAGTATTCGGCGTTCGATGGTTGACAATGTGCTTGCGGTCGTCACGTTGTACCTGTCAAGACTGATCATCACTTCGCACTACGAGAAGGTTTGTTATTCCTGACCTTTTCCGTAACAATGAACCTCTAATGCTTGTTTCTGATAGGAGATGAAACGGCTTAGGCTGCTTTTTGATGAACTCAATACCGGACTATATAATCCTGCTGGCCTGAATCTTCTTTGGCCCAGCAAGGTGGCTTTTTTATACGTGAGTTTCGGAAGTACATCCGGGACCAGTCTCTATATATACTGACGAATCCTCAGATGGAGATCGAATACTACGTGAGTTTTTGTCAAAGCGCTTACTTTGTGAAACTGACCTGAATGTACAGTGATACCAATCGTGTTCCGTCCGACTCGTCTTATTTTTATTGCTTTTTGCGGATGCATCTCTTAGATCCTTTTCACATCTGTATTTGACAATCATTATCCGTGTTTCCGTCGATCTTCAGCAGGCATCTCTCATTCAACTATCTCTATATATCATATTTGGGCGACGAGAGGGAGCAATATTCAGCTGTAGTCTTTCTTAATGACGATAATTGACAATGGGGCTACCCCGCCTCGATCTTGATCAGCAGGGAAAAGCTGGGAAGAAACATGAAGCGGAAATTCGGATATACACGATGACTTAACCGATGGTCCAGAGTCATCAATAGTATCATCACTATGCGCACTTAATGACATTGCGATCAACAGATTAAAGTAGAAGAGGCGCACTCTATCAAAGCACACGGAACGTGGTCCAAAGTCCGACTGAATCTGTTAGAACCAGTACACGGTGTCGAAGTGGGGTGCCGTGGGTCGGTGTATTGCGTGTGACCGGGAGGCTGTACGCCAGGGACAGATGGAGTTAGGGTTAAGGTTTCGTGGATAACCTCGAGTTCAGTCACATGTCTTCTCGAATATTCTCGGATGCCGAATGCCGAGCCGCGCGTCCTTCTCCAATAAATGGGGGATGCCGGCGATCAACGGCAAAGAAGGAAAGGTGCTTGGTAAGACACTTGTGACGATTGCTTGGGTACCGAGTGGACATATCTTTCTCAACGCCGTCACCTCCACCGTTGAGCACCAAATCTAATCTTTTCTTCTACCTCCATCTCCCCGTTCCCCCGTCCTCTCATTTATATTCCCTTCGTCAATGGAGTCCTTTCCTGAAATCACACCGCTCTGGGATCTCTCGCAGGCAACCACATTTTCCCAACTTGCCGACGACGACTTTCTTGCTCTCCTTCAAAAGCAATTCCCGAGCGCAACCAATCCGCCTAGTCTGAGCGGAGATTTTGCTGTGGATCCTCAGAACATATCTCGATTCTCTCTGCCCAGCCTCAACCCGCCATCCGAAGACAGTAGTCCCAGTCCACCTCGAAGCGGCGAACCCAGTAGCAGCGCGCGGATACAAGACGATGATGACTCGTTTGTTCAGGGCGACACCTCAATGAAGCGGAAAGCAAGCAGTGAAGACCTCGAAGAGGGGCCGAGCCAGAAATCGCAGCATACTGGTGAGCAGCGCCGGGTCCACTGGCTTCTGCCTTTCAGACTCTTACTGCCCGTCACGTAGCCGGCAACAGTAAAAAGGGAGCAAGTGCCTCCAAGCGCAAGTCGACTGGTAATGGACCAGTAAGCCGTATGCTTCCAATTCAATTGAAACAATCCTTATCGAGATAACAGGATGAGAGCCGCCTCCTCAAACGTAAAGAGCAAAATCGTGCCGCTCAGCGCGCATTTAGGGAAAGAAAAGAAAAGCATGTTAAAGATGTGAGTTTACTGCCCCCGGCTATATCGGAGCCGAACCATCCTGACTTAATTTCCCCCAGCTCGAGGACAAGGTAGCCGCCCTTGAGGCCCGTAATGAACAGACGACATCTGAAAATGAAAACCTGCGCGATCTACTGGCTAGGCTGCAGTCAGAGAACATGGCGCTTAAGCAGGGGTCTTTCACTTTCCAAGTTCCAAAAACCGCTGGCCGCTCGATACCTTCACCATCTACCTCCACGCTATCACCTCCTGAAACATCCCTTTCAGCATCATTCAGCCGTAGTTCTCCAAAGCCTTCTCTCCAAAAGTACACAAATCCTCTTGATCTCAGCTCATTGACAGCTTTTGATCCGAGCGTGCTGGATCTACTCGACGAACCTCAGCTGACTGCGACAACATCGGGAGGGGCGATGGAGATGGACTTTGGCTACAACAAAGACAAGGGGTATCCGACCTCCAACTTCACGACCATCGCCAATAATCCCGCCTTCTTTTCCTTGGCATCAATGTTTGACCCCACTCCAACACCTTCCCCGCCTACTAGCAACAGTGTGTCCAATACCGATACGCCCTCGTTCAACTTTGACATGAATTCGCTTACCGCGTGGTCCCCGCCGTCGGCCCATGATTCCGGAACATTGGATGACTTGTTTGGTTCATATATGGATCACACTTCAGGCATAGATTTGAATAGCATTCTCGCCCCCCCCATCTTCCATCAGTCCCATAGTCCACCAAGCAAACCTCAATACTCATGGCACCTCACCTGATTCTTCGTCTTCTTCACCATCATCCAATGGATCGGATCCTAGTCTTTTTGGCACACCTGTAGAGGGATCTTCGTCGGAGTCGGACCTGGGACATGATGAAGGTACATGTCCGAAGACGAAGTCGGAATGTGTCAGGCGTGTGGATGATGCCGGGTTGTCACCATTCGTGACAAGCTCCTCTTTCTTCCGCAAAGCTGGAGACAATACAATTCTTAGCGGGGTGTCTTGTCAAGGATCGTCAAGCTTCCCCAAGACGACGAAGAACGATAATAACGTAGAGGTCTTGAGTGCCTGGCGGAGTATAACGTCGAATCCTAATTTCAAGGTGAGCAGCTTCGTGTTCAGGTTGTCTGACCCGGCGGGTGTTCATCCGTACGATTCTAGGATTGCGACATCAACGAATTGTGTTCAGAGTTTTCAAGCAAGGCTCGGTGCGATGGGACGAAGGTTGTTCTGGAACCTTCTGGCGTCCAGCATATACTGAAAAACCTATCCAAGAATCGAGCATAAGCGCGGTCGCTGTCGTATCCAACACGATTGGCTTCTCGTGTACACTCCGCCATGCACTCTACGCACCCGTGGTGTGGAGAGAAGTCAGGGAACATCAAGAGCTCTACCCGCTCTACACCGTGTATTTTCGTTTTCCCAAGTTGTCAAATAAATAGGCTCACGACTCTGTATCCCTATTTTGGGCATTGGGAGTTATGAGATGGAAGGGCAAGGCACGTTCAGTCCTTTGTCTTCGGACAACGCACAGTTTGCATATCTGTTTCATAACTTTCATTGCCCAAGTCGTACCTCATGTATTTGTTTTTATAGCCTACTATAAGTCTTCTCCTTTCATCTTTCGTATCAATAGTACCAGACCAGTATCGTGTATAAATCCCACTCAGGCTCATCCGTTCTTGACAAGACTCCTATCACTATTGTAGAACAAGCTCTGTGAACTAATACCCACCTAGTAGCGGCGTTGTATAACATGAATACCTTACCCGTGTTGGACAGTGTCTAGGTGCGCAGGAGCAAGCGCATGTGAAGTTGTATGTTATCCTCGACAGCATGAGTGGAAGACATTGACGTACAGCATGTTGGAGACATCTAGAAGCTGTGAACTTGTGCTTTTTTCCGAGTCGGTGTCATAGTCGAAAAATCAATAAGAGCTGGCCGCTGCAATCAGTGATCTCCAAAAAGGACGGAACAATGGAATACACGTCATAATGGGCAGTGTTCCGAAGTAAAGGTGAGATGATAATACCATCCAAGAGTACGTTGAGGAATACACCCACTCAAGACTGACTGAAGGTTGAATGATGAATGATCACAATTCGGGATAGGCAACAGTACTACGGCGATACTTACCACTCGCCTTCGATTAATTCTATAAACTCTATTCATTGGTAGCTCTATGGGATTATTCCATGATTCAGACATTCTATAAGCACCATGATCATGCGTTCACTACAGGCGTAGCAGTTCCGGAATTCGGCGTCGACTCGGATACAACGGGAGATGGTACATCAGCGGACGGATCCCGTATGTATGCAGCGAGGAATTTCCTCCACGGAGTTTTAGAAGGAACAAAGTGGCCTGGAACCCCACGAATCAGAAAGAGATCGAAACATTCAAAATGGAAGACAGCGGACCTCCGTCGTGTTCCTCGATTCGTTTGTTGCTTGAGACGTCCATGAGCTCTTGGGAGCGAGCTGAGGATACTATGACGTCGGTTTTGCCTAGGATGTGAAGTGTGGGTGTGGAATAGGGTGGGTTGAATAGAACGTCTGCGAGGGGGTCTGTAATCTTCAACCCGGCAACTGCGACACAAAATTTGCTGAGGGAAGAGTTACTAGACTCGCCGATAGGATAGTAACGACCGTGATACATACAAAGGTGGATGCGGTGGTTTACCATCTATGAGAAATGGTGGATAGCTTTCTGGTTTTTCCAACTATTGAAATGAGATTGTGTACCAGAATCATCGGAGTGTGGTTCAGCACCTACCAGAGCGCATAGCAAAGCGGCGACGGCTGCTCCCTGACTACGGAAATATGTATAAGACGAAAGTCAGAAATTCCTGTGGATATTTCATTCTACCTAAATCCAAACACGCCCTGAAATCAACGCATCAGAGATACGCCGGTGACAAAAAATATAAATACGTGCTGACTCACATCGTATGTCCGTTCTTTGAGGATGTCCCGGAGTAAGATAAGTGACTCGTCCAGACCAACGGCTCGGGTCTTGTCGGCGAAGGCTCTGAACCATCCTCGAGGTGTGAGCGTTGGGTTTTCAGTGGATGAAGGTTCAAGGGTGCTTTCATTTGATTCTGAGGTACCACCAAATAGATCTTCAGCTTGGAGGACGTGAGGTGCGTCGACGAAGACTATGAATGAGAGGGGTCCACTTTAACGTTAATTTAATATAAGCCTTCAGGAAGGACAGCCTACCCATGTCGACATCTTTTCCACATTGTTTCCGCAAGGCTCCGAGCTAAAGTTGCGAGATTGATTATTGTTCCGTGATGTTACTATGGGGAACGTGTACGACGTACGCGTTTGCTCAAGATATGGGCATTTTGAGCATAACTGTGATAGGATAAGTAAGAGTTTATCTGGGATAATTACCTGATGAACCATACCCATGGAGGACAAGAATCGATTTGGTGGTAGTCATGGTTAAGAAAGAACGATCTTGATGATCGGAAAATCGATAGATTTGATTTTATGGGATATCAACGAGTCACTGTTGTCGTCATCATCGTACGGAACCGCACGCGTGAAGAAGATTCGAGTAAGAACAAGTACATGGATTGGTTGAATGTTGTTCGTGACGAGTTAACTTGTACCGTTATTAATTAATCACGGAAGTTTGGAACAGACAGGCTTAATTCTGGGTGTCGGTCTTGAGAGTCAGGTAATGCCCGGGATGCCGTTAAGCATGGAGGGTCGAAGGACATGAAAGGGTGATGGGGATGTACGAAGCCACAGGGTTATCCAGCTACCATACTTCGCCTGTTTGTAAAAGAATGAAATAGGTGTAAGATCACAATCGGCACTTCCGTATTTCTCGAAAGCCACTTCAAATCGGGGATGTGGCCCACTGGCTCATGAGGACAACATAGCAAGATATGCAGATAGGCTAAAGGGGATACAATCCATCGGTCTCTATACCAGCACGCTCGGGCATTCAAACTGTGCCGCGACGTTCAGGCTGAAACGCGTGATACCGATCCAATGGTCAAGAAAGCGCCGATCGAGCAGGGGGGAAACCAGTATTACGCGCCCGGATATTCCCTGCGCTACTACGAGTCGCGCAAAGGCATTTCAGTTTACGAGAATTGGGACGACAAGCCGCGAGCTTGAACCCCGTAAGAGTCTGGGTCGCACGAGGTCGCCATTATTGCAAAAGCAGTCCCTTTTCTGAGTTTTTTTATGCTCATCGCAAAGCTGAAGGTCGTCGTGATGGGAGGAAACATCTTTCTAAACACGTACTAGTTGAAAATCAAAAGGCACAGCCACAGACTTCGAGTTTTGATGCACGATGACTCACTTCGTAGTTCCCTCAAAGCCAGCAACATTCCGGCGGGACAGCTTCCGGGAAGGGTCAACGTCCGGCCTTGTATTTTCTTGGTACTACTACTTCTGCTCCGCTCGACAGCCACCTATCCTGGGTCAGAGCCTCATCAGAAATTCACCTGTTCTGTTTCCGTGTCCTGACACGCTTTGCGGCACAAGAGTATTTTAAAAAGTTCTCGCCCAGCGACTGCCCTGATAACAGCCGCTTTCAAAATCGGGTCCGAGGACCGTCACTTTTGCCATATTCAAGTTCACCAATTTGTCGGCATCTTCGATAGTACTGGTCACGGTAAAGACCCTATTGTTTGCCTCATTTCAAACATACACTTCAAGACGAGACACATAAAATGTTTCTTCATCTGTCTCATCATATGGATATGCGGAATCGCGTCCGGCGCTTTAGGGTTCCGTACTAGCGATAAATATATTCAAAACACGGCTGGTTGGTTCACAGGACTGTGGAGTAGTCTTCTTGGGTTATAGAACTGTGGGGCCTTCACAGATGATAGAAGAACTTCGAGAGTCTAGACTGCTTCAGTGCCTTTTCCGAAGGACATCATTCAATGTAGGTTCGTGATGCTCGCCACCGCCCTTTTTTGTTCAGCGGTGTTGAACCAAATCCAGGACCAAAGACGTCCTTCCTCTGTACCTCGTTTCCCAATAACTAGTTACGAGGATCTGTTTTAACTGGTCACCGGTGCCTTTTCACTCAAAACGCCATCCGCCAGTCGTATCTTTACTTCAGGTACATGCACAATATTCTTGCCCTCTCGCAGGTCATTGTATGCTTCTCGGACGTTCTAAGCTAGGGTCATCCATCTTGCCTGCCGTACGTTTCTCTCGCTTGTTGTGAGCATCGGTGGCCATCGGAGAACGGGTCCGCGTACGTACCTATACAAAGAACCTCGAATATGTGGGTCCGCTCCGCTCCCTTTCATTTCCTTTCACCTTTTCTCCTCGCTTCCAAGGCCGGACGTTTTGCCCCACAACTCCCTCTTTTTTGACGAGGTGATCAGATATGTATGCATATTTACGGAAAGGTACGAAATTCTCCTCCGATTGAATACACCATTTGCTGGTCAGGCCTAAACATATGTAAGTCGAAGTCGATCTTTCAGGTCCTTGATTATATTTCTTGTCCAGCTTGTCTGCGGGATTTTTAGTCCACAGCGATGCACACCTAACATGGTATGTTACATGTCTTGCAGGGTAAAGACCACGAATTAATGCTCCGCAACCCTCCAGTTTGACTGTTACGTCCACAGAAACCAGCGCCGAAACCGCAAGCTTCTGATAGGTTTCCTTGTGGATAATTACACTTTCCCTTCACATGGGCCCAAATTTAGGGACCAAGACACTCTCACATTACCATTCACTCCGGAGTCCAGCATCGAGCACGTCTGCGTATTTCTTCTGTTAGACTTGCTTTTTCACACCAGCAGATACCGATCTCGTGGGAGCCCATCCAAAGCATTGGCAAGTTCGTTCCTTGCTTCGCTTTGGTACGCCTGGGGCCTTCTCTGCCTTACCCAAAGTCTTCTACTTCAGCTGTTCCACCACTATCCTTGCACGCTGGGCTGGAATATGGTGATCGTCGTTTACTATATCTCGGCGGTCTTGTTGTTAGGACTTTGCATATGACGGCGGAAGCCGAAGGTACAGCAGAAACAGTCTGATCGTGCATGAACTGCCAAGGACGCTTTTGAAGTTGGTGGATACGGGCTCGTGCTATCTTTTTCTTCGTGGCGGATCTTGGCTGCTCCGACTACCTCGCTCGCTTCCTAGGACGAGGCAACGTCAGTGTGAAGATCTGAGCGACGGCGATCGGTACTTCGTACCGCGAGTCCTCAATCTCTAGCTTCCTTGGAGTCTCTAGAGCCTGGGCGCGTCGTCCCGTAGAAGTGACAGGGTGTTGAAACGCTTGGCAGAGAAGAGATTTACGATCGTCAGAATGTAATGGGTACAAGGCAGGATTCTTGGGTCGATTAGAGACGGCATTGGGCGATAATTGCTGCCATTCAATACCTTTTCTTGCTTCTGCCAACTGAATTACGGTGCCAAAAAATATTGGACACATCTCTCATAGAAGCGTTGTAAGTGTACTGGTTGTTATACCCATTTAGCACTTTCACGCATGAAACAGCAAGCCTCGCTTTGAGACAATTTTGAATGTGGGCATTTGTTCTGAGTTACATAAATACTAACATGCGCCAGCAAATTTTCAGCCCTACAGTCAATGCGATTGTCGTCTACGACCATGGAGTATTGTAGCTAAGATTAAAGATCGTGATAAGCGTGAGTATGAAGTCCGTGTCATATACGTATGCAATAGAAAGCAAGAAGCAACAGTCAATGTACGTCCAAAGTCCAGTGAAAAAAGTTGAACACAAAAACCAGGTATTCTCCAGCAGTCGCAACGACTACGTCACACGGAAGGCATTCCTGAGCAACTGGAAGCCAGATAAGAAGACGACAAGTGTCGTTGCGACCATGGTAATAATTGTCGGCTGTGCTATGTATGACGACAAACCGTTGCTACATATAGCGCAGCTCCATCCTATTTTTGTTGTCAGTCCTCAAAAATCAGTTCACAGGCAAGTAAGACATACCGCTGCTGATGGGGGTGTACGACTGAGGGGTATAGAAGGCAAACGTAGCTTCACTGTTCGGGTTCATGTACCCGCCTTGTCTACTTGCGCCCAAGCCACGCTCGTCACAGATCAAAAGTGTGCAGGTCGCTTGCGGGAGGGGGTTATCCGAGTGACTCTTCTGGTAAGAGTAGACGTCCCACACGACCTGGGTGTCCGTCCCATCGATGATTCCATCTGACGCTGGTCCCACCGGATAAGTATTGCCGTTGTCGCATTGCGCAGAGACAGTGAGATGTGTGGGGGTGACGAGGACGTCGGTGAAGTTCCAGCCGAATGTCACCATCTCATTGGATGCGATTTTGTAGAAGGATGTGACCGTCGTTGGGGGTTGGGTGATGGTCAAGGAACCTGCTGCCTGCAGTGGCAGGAATAGAGATGCTTGACGAATTCCCAGAGGCAGAGGCAGAGGCAGACTGGGAGCCTGAACGGGAAGAGGACGACGACGACATCGAGGGCGATGATGGCGGTGATGGTTAAGGAGAGGAGCAAAACCAAGACTCGGCTCAGTAACGACGATGGTATCACTTGGCTGGTTGGCGACTACGGCAGTGAAAGTGACAAATGTGACCAGACAACAATTTGTCACCACTTTGAAACACGTGGCTAGCGGCATCCAGAAGCCGAATTCCGGACTCAGACGCGCCTTGACTCCCTTCTACCATGTCGAAAATCCAGCAACCTTCGAATCAAATCAAGTACTATATACTGTCCGTTTGTCTTACATTTACTGACTTCAGTCATCTCCAGGCTTACGAACGTCTCCGTGGTAAAACTAAAGAAAGGCGGCAAGCGTTTCGAAGTAAAGTGCTCTGCACTTAGTCATAACTAGTTTTAACCCCAGTGTCAGATCGCATGTTACAAGAATAAAGTACAAGAGTGGAGAAATGGCGTGTACGAAAACTTGTCATATCGGATTGTTCAAACGCTTATCTATTCTTTGGACAGAGAAACCAATTTAGACGACGTTCTTCAAATAAGTAACGTTTTCGTGAACGTCTCCAAGGGCGAAGTAGCCAAACACGGTGACCTGAAAAAATGTTTTGGGACAACCGATATTCCTGATATCGTTACAGAGGTCTTGGCTTGTTTATCTTTCTCGTTCTTTCGAGAATCTCATATGCTGTAACAAGTAGATCCTCAAGAAGGGCGAGATGCAAGTTAACGAGAAGGAGCGCGATCATGATCTCTCGGCGCTTCGCAAGGAAATACTCAACTTGGTAGGCAGAGAAATGCGTCGATCCAGGAAACCCAAAGACCCCTTCCAGTGGGTCTCATAGATAAAGCTATGACAGAGGCCTGGATTCAGCGTAAAGCAGAACAAGACTGCGAAAAGCCAAGTAGGGAATTGCCCGACTCCCATGCACTTATATACTCATCTTCGTCTGTCTGGTCTAGGTATCAGAGTGTATAAAGCTCATCCAGTCAAATTCCACGCTACCGATACAGCGTGCAAGGATGCGTGTCCGTGTAACCATACCGCCTGCAGATGGCAAACGGCTCAGGGAAAAAATACTAGAAGGAGCAGAGAAAGGTTGAGGGACGACGAAACGACTAAAGATGAATGGGAAGTTGTGAGTATTCAGTCCTTCGCCGCACGCATGACCCTACTGACATACCTATCTGATCAAAGGTGATGCTCATAGATCCTGGCCAATTCCGTGTGATCAACGAGATCCTGCAGAAAGAATGCAAGGGCAGAGGGCGAATCGAGACAATGACCTTTGCGGCAACGGCGACAAACTAGACCTTAGGGCTTTTGTATATTTAGAGCACTGTATCTTTAGGTAGACTTAGATGACATTGCTACATTTATATCTTTAGCACCTCAGCGCTGTAAGTCACGTAAGATAAGCGGCCTCATCACACGGGCCCAATTCTCATCCCACGAACTCCACTCCCATTCAACATTACTGGATGATTCCGCATGATCATGAGGCGCATGTACGTGCGATGTCGATTGTCTTGATGTCTTTTGTAATAGGGAAGATAGCTTCGTCGAGGACGGGAAGTTTGTGAGAAGAGACTATAGGAAGTGAGAAAGACTACCATGATAAGATACAAGCTATTCACCTCCAACTGCAGAGCTAGTTCTGCGGAGTCTTCAAATATCAGTCCATTTACACCCTCCTTGACAAGCTCGTCCAAACTGATAGCTGATTAGACTGGAGGATAACAAGCTGCTGAAACAGAACACACCATTTAAATTTCAGCGCGCAGACGGGCAGACCACAGCCGAACATATCAACGATTTTCATAGGCAAATCGAGAGCAGAGGAACTGGAATGCAGAGAAACACCGAGATCCGCAGAACCTTTCATAAAAGTCAGTCAGTCAGTTCACCGTGATGATAATGCTCAAATATAGCTGACCAAGAAGCAGTGGGTAGTCCTCTGGTTCCAGCCACAAGCTGACACATCGAACCCACGTCCATCCTCGCTGTAACATTTCCGTACTCTTCATGTACTCATCACGAAGTTCTCCCTTTCCTGTGACGACCATCAGAAGTTTGGGAAGGACCTGCTGTCCTCCGTGGTTCAGTTCTTTGGCCCTGGCTTCATATATTTCCAAAGCTTTACGGAGTATACCAAAGTCCTCATCAGGTGTCCACGAGGTGCTGGAAACTACCAGCGCAGGCCGGTCTCGGCGAAGACGGGGAGAGTGTATCTCGGAGTATGAGGGAGGATCGAAGGTTTCCGTGGGAGTGCGTATGGTAGCGTGAAAGGATTTTAAGGTTTTGGATTTGAAAGGTACCCCCGATGTTAGAGAAGGCAGTGAGACATCATCGGGTTTTTCTGGAAGTTGTTTTATTTGGGAAGTCGTATCGGTGAATGGGGTAGAATAAGGCATAGATGAAGGTGGAAGCCAGCCGGTGAGCGATTTTGGCGCGGCTATTGATGGTTTTAATTTGACAAACAGCTGGACGCAGTTCGTTAGTGCTACGTTTCGGTGAAGGGCTGATACGTACATCATGCACTTCTTGGGGTGAGCAACGGTGGAAATGACGGGGAGGTCTGTCATGCAAGACTGCCTTGTATCCTCTGAAGGGGTTGAGTAATGAGAAACGAAAGAAGTCGACTGCGTACTGGAGATCCCATTCTTTCACGAGGAAATCACACATGGCTTGTGTTACGAAGAGGTGGGCATACGCACTCCTTCCAAAGGTGGCCTCTATCCTAAGAGAAGTATAAGAAATGCTTGAAGAAGGAGACATGAATGCGTACATACCATTTGGCGATCCTGACGAATACGTGATCGGGTCCTAGTTTGATGGCTAGAATACTATAGCCCAAATTATGCCAGTCAATAATGACTTTGCAACCGCGTATTCGTCCGACAAGATATACGATAGCAAGGGTAGGGATGCTTGGAGGGTTCTACAGGTAAGACATTGGTATCCGGTGAGTGTAAACGTGTTCGGATAACTTGCCTGTACAAGGATGAACTCTGGTGGTTTTGGGATGCGTACAAGAAGTTCGAGTAGTATTGAGGTAATCTGAAGGATTATCTTCAATGGCGCGAAGAATATGAAGGGCAGGCGTCGGAGACAAGTGGGCAGTTGAGGAAGGTAACGAAATTCGACCGGCAGGCGTTGCAACGAAGGTATCGGTGTTGATCCTGCCTAACTATTAGCACAATGTCATATATGGCGTATAATGCACTTGCCAGAGTATCCGATAATGTTCGTCTCGAAGCCATTCTCTGCAAAGCTTTCAGCGTGATACATCATCCTCGGACTGCGCCCAATGTCTCCAAGGACAAGAATCGCCACCGAGCGCAGAGAGTGCTGGTCTCGCGGGCGGAAGAACAGGTAAAGACGAAGAAATTTCCATGAGAGCCAGAGCAGAATACCGGCGACGACGAGTTCCCCGATACTAAGGTTGCTGGTGGAGGTCATGAAGAGTCGGGCCCGAACCTGCCGGTTCTCGCATTACTAATTTCTCACAAATTATTGAATAAGCACCGAAATGTTGGCTTCGACCACCATGCGCAACCTGGCATTCAAATTCAAGTCAATACGAAGGGTACCGTTCAATGTACGGTGTATCTCCTCGACGCCAGCGCTATCTTCGTTTAGGCACGGACGGCGGTTCGCCACGGAATCCTCGATTGTACCGAAGTACCGTTCTGCAGTGAATACACAGTCGAACCCGCCTTTGAGTACGCTATTAACTCTTTTGCTGTAATGAACAAAATCTCAATGTGTTTTCAGCCAGGTCCATGTTCATCCAGACAGAGCCGACACCGAACAATGATTCTCTGAAATTCATTCCGGGGGTGCCAGTCATGGGCGAGGGCACGGCAGAGTTCCTCGACACACGATCCGCCCTCCCGTCACCTCTTGCCATTCGTCTCATGGGAATCGAAGGCGTCGCTGCTGTTTTCTTTGGACCAGATTTCGTCACTGTGTCCAAAGACTCTGAAAATACATGGGCAGTTCTCAAGCCCGAGATATACTCTACGCTCATGGAGTTCTTCTCCTCTGGACAGGCTCTTTTCCGGAGTCAAGAGGAGAGGGACAATGCTGGACCGCAGGATACGAAGATTCTTGATACCGACTCGGAGACTGTTGCGATGATTAAAGAGTTGCTGGAGACGAGAGTACGGCCGGCTATCATGGAGGATGGAGGGGACATTGAGTACCGTGGATTTGACGAAGAAGGGTCTGGCACTGTGAAAATCAAGCTTAAAGGCAGCTGCAGAGGATGCGATTCCAGCACGGTCACTTTGAAGAGCGGGATTGAACGGATGTTGATGCATTATATTCCCGAGGTCAAGGGCGTCGAACAGGTTTTTTATTTCCTTTTTTCCCGACTCAGCTGTTACTGACAGCCCCACAGGTTCTTGATCAGGAAGAGGAGATTGCCTTGGATGAATTCCAAAAGCTGGAGAAACGGCTCGAGCAAGATACCGGATCCAAGTCCAAGTAGGTCTTTGCCGGCTGCCTTCTTCTTACAGCTTATGGTCCTCTCTTTACCCGTAGCCTGGCACAGTATATGTCTGTGTAGATTTCCCGGGTTACATAGGCACAAAGTTTAGCCTGTAGTAAATGCCTTGAACTGGATCCTTACATAGACGTACTCGTAGCACATAATCTGTATGTTATTATCAAACTCTCTGTATTTTTGAAGACAGCCATATAAAAAGGAATGTCGTAAGATCTCCGGGTCGAAGCGGCAGCCCAATTTGAAAAGGTCTGATGTCGAGGAATGAATTCAAACTCCCATCTTCCGTTCCCATCTATTATCATTCTTCCTTCCCACCATGGCCACGGCTGATGCTGCCACGTCGAGAAAGTATGTCCTCGCATCGCGCGCCTCGCAGCTAGCGCAAATCCAGACGAATATGGCCCTTGCAGCGCTCGAGGCACTCCCCCCACCATCGGACTCTCCCAAGCCGACATTTGCTACGTCCTTCATGGCGACAGCGGGTGACAAGAATCAGTCCCAGGCCTTGTTTCTCATGGGAGGGAAAGCACTGTGGACCAAGGAGCTCGAAGTAGCATTGAAGGAACGAGACGTGGACATGCTTGTCCATTCCCTCAAGGACGTTCCCACCGTGCTTCCGGAGGGCTGTATCATTGGCGCCATCATGGAGAGAGAGGATCCGGTGGACAGTCTCGTCATCAAAAAAGGCAAGGAAGACGTATGGAAAAGTCTGGATGACCTTCCAGCTGGTAGTGTCGTTGGCACGAGCAGCGTTCGTCGCGTCGCTCAGCTGAAACGAAACTTTCCCAAGCTTAAATTTCTCGATGTGGTGAGTGTTTCCCTTTTTTAAATATCGTGAATGTAAATTGATAGTCTTGGTAGAGAGGGAATTTGTGAGCATACAATTAACTACTGGGTCTCGTTCCCTCAATTCGCGTTCCAGGAATACCCGATTGGCGAAACTTGACGCTGAGGATGGACCTTACGCTGCCTTAATTCTAGCCAAGTCCGGCCTGGTGCGCCTGGGAATGGGTCACCGTGTTACAGCAGATCTCACCCCTCCTACGCTGTACCATGCCGTCTCCCAGGGTGCTTTGGCTATTGAAATTCGAGGTGATGACGCTGAGGCGCTAAAGTTGTGCGAAGCGATCACCCATAAGGAAACTCAGATCAAATGTCTAGCAGAGCGCGCATGCTTGAGGGTTCTTGAGGGAGGTTGCAGTGTCCCTGTGGGGGTTGCTTCCACCTTTGAGGACGGTGCTCTGACCTTGACGGGCTGCGTAACATCGCTAGATGGAAGCGAACACGTCGAGCATACTCTGAAAGAGCTCGTGTCCTCTGTAGCGGAAGCTGAGGCCCTTGGAGCGCGTCTGGCAAAGATTCTCATTGAATCTGGTGCCGGAAAAATCTTGGATGCTATCAATGTTGACCGAGAGAAGCGAACGAAGGAGGCAGAGAAAGCAGAGAAGGCAAAATAAGAAAATTTAGAGAGTGAATTATAATGTAAAGTAGTGGCAGTGTATTCCTTTGACATGTACCCTCATCACTAAATGCCTCGGCGGTCCGTATTATGCGTTCTTCTGTCGCTCCTTGGTCTTTTCCTCGTTGGAACTGTCGTCGTTCTTTCTTCCATTTCTTCTTACCTTGCTATTGACCCCGACGCGTATCTGTCCGAGCACAGTGTGCCTACACTTCGCGGTCATGACCGCTGGAATGCCACAGAACATGGCCGGGTAGAACGGGTACCAAGGTTACTTCATCAGACGGCCAAGACCGATATTCTCTTAGAAAAATGGAGGTCGGTGTCGTTGCAGTGTCGGAACCTAATGCCAGACTAGTATGTCTCTCGTCCTGGTACCACCTGTATCAACTAACCTCTAGACAGTGAATACATGCTCTGGACAGACGAATCCTCTCGAAAATTCATCAACGAACACTATCCTTGGTTTCTACGGACGTACGATGGATATCGTTTTCCGATACAACGCGCAGACGTAATCCGGTATTTTGTCTTGTACCACTACGGAGGTGTATACTACGACGTCGACATTGGCTGCAAGCGTCCACTAGACCCACTTCTCACATACCCTGTCATTCTCCCCAAAACAATCCCAGTCGGCGTCTCCAACGACCTCATGTTCTCGACAAAAGGGCACCCATTTTTCGCCCAGGTTATCCACAACCTCGCCACCTTTGATCATTCCTGGTTTCTCAACTACCCCACTGTCATGTTCTCTACCGGACCCATGTTTCTTTCCATACAGTACACTATCTGGACTTCCTCCCACGCCGCCGCACTCAGTGACCCCATCCGTATCCTACCAAAGTCCCTCTACGGCAAAAACGCCAAGAACGGTGAAGCGCCGCATTCGTTTTTCTCGCATTTCTATGGCTAGCAGCTGGCATGCTGATGATGCTGCATTCATTGGGTTCCTCGGTCATTGGGGTAATAAGTTGATGTTAGCGGGCGTTGTCTTCCTCATAGCTGGGTTAGGGTTCATGGCATTGCCTATTAGACAGCGCAGGCAGGCTATGCGCTTGATAGGTGGACTCTTTCCACGATGGATGTACGACTCTTCGTTGAGTGACAGAACGAATGATCGTCCTAGGCGTCAACGCGGCGTTCTCTTTTTCCTGCCAGTGTCCATTCAGCCGCATGACGTTGAATTAAATTCTTCATTAGAGGAGATGCGTCTGGAGAAACGCCGGCACGTTCAGGAGCCAGAGCCCGAGGGATTGCCGAATTACGGACCCGGGGAGTATGACGGTTCGACACGATTGTTGAGCTTGACCCATCCTCAGGATCCTCAGGACATTTAGAGCATGTATTTATTTCATTTACCCTTGTTTTCTTATCGCTATATATGACAGAACTGTAAGGGAAACGAGGAAAGTGGACTGAACGTATCGGATGGCACTTTGAACGCAATGGTTGTCGAGAATCAGCAGAAAGTGTCTTGAGGCTGTTTCTTCGAATCCGGGTGGGTACTGAGATCTGAGAATTAATCTGACCTTCGTCATAGCCTGTACTCCCATGGAACAAGATCAGGAGCCCGAGCTTACAAAGTCAGGCCTCCACACTGCGCAACCAATGGGCCGCGGACTGCGGTACGACGGTCTCAGAGATCTCTCGTCATTGGATTATTGCGTGGGAGCAGAGTCTACCTACTATGAATTCCGTCCAATTCATAGCACGAAAGGCTGGTCTAGTGCAATACTGACCACCCGAGGCTCATCTAGATACGCAGGACCACTGAAAATGTTTCGAGGTATGCGGGAGGGAACCCCTACATGCCCTGTCCTACAATTTAGGATAAAGTTGAAAGTGCTGCATTTTACGCTTCGAGATTGACTGGATCTATCTGTGCATACATGATACAGAGCGAATGACGCGTCGAAGTTTCATCTGCTCGCGCATTTCAGGCATAGGATGGGGAAGCAAATTATGGCAAGGACCTTGAGGCGTCGCGCTAGAGATAGGCGCGAAACTAAGGAAACTATATTAGTATAGTACCTAACTGGCCTGAGAGCAGGGCTATCGCCAGGAAGTGGCGTACTATGTCTCTGCTGAAACCATGACTACATTTCCTCCAAAGCTTGTAGAGACAATCGTATATGAGGCCTGGCGCTCTGAAATTGCCTTCCTCCATCCGAACGTCCTTCATGACCACTCGGCACAGAATTAATGTCAACGCAATCTCGAGAAACTCCAAGAGCGAGTAGCAGAGCTCAGTTAAGCATCAAAGTCAAGAAACAAGAGAAATTCGTCCAGGAATTATCACAATCGCTAGAGTGTGCCCTGCAGCATCGAACAGACAGTATGGTTATTAAGTTGTGCCGAATTTAAATTCCATTTTAGGGTGCTGCATGGACGACCTCCGAAGCAAACAAGGGCCCCCTGTGTAAACAACGCGAACTTTCACCATTCCCACCACCACGCTTTGGTCGCGTAATATTCATCTCAATGTCTCCCATTGATGAAGCACACAAAGTTTTGAAGGATGTTTTCGGTCATTCCTCTTTTCGATTATCCCAGGAAGCTGTACGTTACTAGGACCCCTTATTCTGTTCACCAGTCAATTTCTTGATACTCCAGGTGATTCGTCGTCTTCTTGTGGAGAACGAGAATGCTTTGGTACTCTTTCCGACTGGTGGGGGGAAGTCCTTAACCTATCAAGTCCCAGCGCTTTGTCTAGACGTGAGTAAATCAAACTGGCGGCGAGGAGAGACGGTCTTAACGCGTATTTCACAGGGATTGACGCTGGTAATCTCACCTCTAATTGCCCTGATGAAGGACCAAGTGGATGCACTTCGCGAACGCGGTGTCAAAGCCGCCAATCTTGATAGCACGCTGGACGTGGAGGCGGCAAGAGTCGTGAAACACGACGTTATTGCGAACAAAATTAAACTCTTATACGTCGCTCCAGAGAGGCGAGTTTTCAACTTTTCAACATTCGCACTTCTAAACGATTCGATTTAGGCTCAATAATGAGGGTTTTCTGGAGATGATGAAGCATGTAAAGATATCCCTGCTTGCTGTGGATGAGTCGCATTGCGTGTCTCAGGTGAGTTACACCAACTATGTAACCCTCCGGTTATTGACTTATTTCTAGTGGGGTTTGAGTTTTCGACCTGAATACCTCAAGGTCGCGCGCTTCGCCGAAGAAATGGATGTCGAGCGCGTTCTGTGCCTTACAGCAACAGCAACACCGAACGTAGCCAAAGACATCTGTGAACAATTCTGTATTGATCCCAAAGCTGGGCTATTTGACACGCCAGTATACCGGCCGAAGTACCTTCATTTTTGCTAGCATATTAACATATGTTGACTTGATCATCTCTAGCCTCTCCTTCCAGGTTGACGTTGCTGACAACTTTGCTCAAAAGATGGAGTGTCTCGTTCCGTTCCTCAAGAAGAGGACTGGACCGGCCATTATCTATGTGACGCTGCAGAAACAGGCACAGGATGTTGCGGATGCGCTCACGGGGCGCAAATTAGATGCTATGGTCTATCATGCGGGACTCCCAAGTGAACAGCGAGCCCAGATACAACAACAATTTATGGCTTCGGACAAAGGGATCGTGTGCGCCACCATCGCTTTTGGCATGGGAATAGATAAAGGTATGGGTCACCCGTCTCCTTGTCATTTTTGGACTGATATTATGAACAGCCAACATCCGGCAGGTGGGTCACGTTTGATTGTTTTGTTATATCTCTAACTCTCGTATGCAGGTTGTCCATCTCTATATGCCAAAGACGTTAGAGAATTACAGTCAAGAAGTGGGGAGAGCCGGTCGCGATGGCCTTCCTTCCACTTGCTTGCTATTCTTGTCTGCCCCTGACATCCCCGTCCTTGAGGGTTTTTCTAGGGGGGATACCTGCAGCAAGACATCTCTGGAGCTTTGGATGCAAGAGGTGGCTCTCAAGGGTCCCTCGACTGATGGGACTCTTGACTTCAACCACTACCAACAGTCGAAGTCGTCCGTCTTTTTCACTTTATTTTTGGCGCATTGTTAACCTGGTCTTAGGTATGACATGAGGGTAAGCTTTGTTAGCCTGGCCGATTATATACTCATTGTAAATGTTGCCAGGCTTCGATTCTTGGGCTATGCTACGCCCAGTTAGAACTCCAGCACAAGTACATTCGGGCGGTGACACCGTTCTATGAAATCTATGATATCACATTCCGCGATACAGAGGGTATGAAGCAAGTGAAGACGGACTCGTCCAAAGCGGCGAAAGCTATCAGGGCTAATTGGCAGTCCAAAACAAGCGGGTTCCAGGTACGGTTTGTCCTGTATCAACTATGGGACCAGGCACCTGATGGGTTATCGTTTTCAGATTAACATGGTAGAAGCAGCTGAGCAATCTGGGTTATCTAGAGAGTCATTGGCTAAACAAATATCCATGTGGGAGATCGGACGTACGTGATGTTTTCTTCTACGGTTGGTTCACATAGACTGACCCTTACGACAGAATACATTTCGACCAAGCCGTCGCAAGTTCGGATGGTAAACTCTCAATGCTTCTCGTGTGATGTGGTTAATGATGAGCCCGTTTAGCGTTATCGTATAGTGACCCCTCTGCCCACAGAGGTATCCAAGGTCTCAGCAATAGCCCATGATATCCATGCTGGGATGGTTCAACGTGAAGAAGAGGGTATTCGAAAGCTTCAAGAGGTAATAGAGTTTGCCATTAAGCCTGAATGTTCGTCAAACTTCATCTTATTTTATTATCCGTTTAACCCTCCTGCCAGGTCTAGCTCATTCCCTTGCGACCTACTTTGGCCACGGTGACGCCGTTCCCAAAGGACGCTGTGGTCACTGCACGTTCTGCAAAACCGGCACCGGCATCGTCTTCAAGCAAGGCGTTAACACTACTCCCGACCCTGCCCAGGTTCAGGCTATTCTCAACGCATGCCCAGAGCGGGACGACCCGCGTTTGCTCGCGCGTATGGCGTTCGGGATTACGTCGCCGAGGCTGACGGCGGGCAAATGGAGCACGAGCCACCCGCTTTTTGGAAGCATGGTAGATGTTGATTTCAATGAGCTTGTGGAGGCATTTGATGCCGAGTGTAAGAAGGTCGACTATGTGAGCTTGACCGTGCCAAAGACGACGGCAGTGCCAAAAAAGAGATCAGCGAGTACGAGGGGAGGAGGCGGACCAAGTAAGAGAGCAAGATATACTCGTCGTTAGTTATCAGGTGAGGGGATAATGTCATGAATGAGGGAACCAGTGTTGACCTAGACATCAGTGTAGCACTCCACTTTGCCTTCTAGTCTTCAAGACCAAACACTGATCCCTCTCTTATTCTACTTCTCCAGTCACAATTCTTGTACTTGTACCAATTACACTGACTTTGCCTCAGTCATTACAAGGCTTTCATGCTTTGTTCATACCTACCTTACGTGACCATACCTGATATACCTCTCCCGGACAAATATCTGAGTGAGGGAAATGCCGAACGAGGACTCTCAAGCCTGGCCATGGCCGAGGAGTGTGCGTCGACCTCAAAAGGGTATCTCGAAGGGCAGATACTCATAGGAAGCTTGTACTGCCATGGATAAGCTAAGTAGTAAAGCATAAGCCAATTCCATTGCAAGTAACGGCTTTATCTACGAACATCTACCTAATGCATAAACTCAACCCCGGCGAAGATTTTGTACCCCACCCAACCACGCAGAATGCTCCAGAGCTGCATCCTCCAGTCTGGCTGAACAAGACTAAGTATGCTCTGCATCCCCGCGAGCGCTTGTACGTCCCTGAGAAATGGAATACAAGTGACTCTATAAGCGAGGAGACAATGATTGTTTTGACGAAGAGCAAAAATGAAAATTTTGGTCTTAAAAGGGAAATTGACTTTGTTCATGTTTGGCTGCGGCCTTGATATCTGCCTCCTCGGAACCGGCTAGTACTCGAAGCTGAACTCTCATCCTTAGCTTTCACCTCGATCTCTTTTCTTCTCTGATACTGACCCTATGGCTTCCATCTCTGCTAGAAGATTGGCGAAAGAGCTACATGAAATCAAGACAGAGGGTTGTCCAGTCGGTATGCATCTTGATATACTTGCTGTTTCGGATTCAAATACTGAAGGATATTGATATGTAGGAATAAATCTCCTACAGGCAGATGACTTTGCAGCATGGCAGTTCACTATAGAGGTCATGGGAGAGTCGCTCTACCAGGTCTGTCACCATACCCGCCGCCTCGAATGGTGGATCGACTGATGTTCAGACGGGTTTCCCCTAGGGCGAAGTTTTCACTCTGCTTTTCCGGTTCGATAAGCACTACCCGATATCATCTCCAGCTGTCCAGTTTGTTGTCACTGATGGAAAGACATCACCTGTGCATCCGGTGGGTATCGACCTTCGCTCCCTGTTAACGATCTGGATCCGTTGCTAAGTAGGGCATCTCTAGCACGTATACTCCAACGGACATGTGTGTTCATCTCTTCTGATTGCGTCAATGGTGCTCATTTAGTATGGAACGTAGATTTGCGCGTCGATTCTTGGGAACGAGTGGTCACCCGTCCTTAGCGTCATTGCCGTGTGTGTAACATTACAGAGCATGCTGGCATCTTGCAAGGTAAGTGCAACGCATCTTGTTACTGGCGTTATTCGCTTACGCCGTCATTTAGAAGAAGGAACGGTAGGCTTATCTGCATCCTCTCAGCCTCTTCATTGAATTTAACGGCTTCTTCCTTAGTCCGCCAGATAACGACCGCTACGTGCGTCATGCACCCGAGAACCCGAAGAAGGTGCGTGGACACTACTGTTATGGCATTGTACGTGTAGCCTAAAGAATGCTATTTTAGACTCAATTTCACTACGACGGTGAGTAGCTGATCAACGATACGAGTTGATCGCTTACTGACAAGCATTTCATCGGGGGCTCTCTAGATGACACGTACGTTACTTTAACCCTTCTCTTCGTGCGACATCTGACAGTTAAAATAGGGTTTAAATACACATCAACCTCTCTCATGACTATGCGGGCTGGATTTTCATGTATTTTGTATCTATCACACGTTCTTTGCACGTATACCTTAAAGTTCTAACAAGCAACGCAAGACATCGTTCTGAGCGGATTGTATTCTCATAAGTACAACAATTGGTTTACATATTTCGGGCTGGAGCATGATGCATGGATGTTGACGTGAGGTCAGAAGGCTTTCATCAATTGTAATGGTACAACAGAATTATATCTGCAGGGTTCGTCACAAACCAAAAATAATATCGCCATAGATGTCAACACGGTTTGGTGAGTATCACCGATGCTATTTCCCACCACAGCAGCACGACTTGGCGACTGGAGCGGGGATCTCGGGAGCGGGTGCTAACGATTCTGCACGGCTCGCCACCGCCTTCGTTGTTTCCGTTTCAATTGACTCTCCACCGTGTTCAGAGCAGCATCCGTCACACGCCTTTCCACATCCACACCTTCCATTGGGACATCCGCACTGGCCGCCGCAACATTCCAGCTTCGGCAGATTGATGAATCCAAATGGGCCGCCGCGTTCCAGGGACGCTGATGGGTAAACGGTGAGGTCCATCGGATCTATCTGCACGCCCTTGCGGGTAGTCGGTGGGGCTGGAAGAGCAGCAGCGCGTGCAAAGAATTGGTGAAGGTAACTCGGCCCTGCATCCAGCCCAGGAAGGGCGATCCCACTCCGATTATCGACGCAGTGACCACAGGCTTCCTCGCCGCATAAACCATGTTCCTTGTTAACGTGTTCAGGACCGCGGTGCTCGGTACATCCAGGACAATTGCAGGAAACACCACAGGTGCACCCAGAGCCAACGAGTGAGGTGATTTCACTCAATGGCGGCATGGTTTCAAATGTAGGAACATCTACGCCCTGGAATTCTGGAATATGGATCGGCGGAAGCTCCAGCCTAGGTGGATCCACATGCACGTGCTTCGGGCGCTTGTGGTGTGGGCTGTTGGGTCTGGATATTAGTCTTGCTTTCCCACCAACTTTCCTAGCTGGAGGCGGAGGTGAAGGAAGGGAAGATGAAGCTATGGGCTCCTGGGAAAACATTTCAGCAGCGCGAGCGAGTGCAGTGAGACCGGCATGTTCATCTGTTTCAGCATTGACTTGCGAGGAGTCCGAGTTTCGGCATTTGCACTTCCATACACTCTTACAAGTGCAGGGGTTCAAGAGCGAGTCCACTACAATAGGTATAAGACATTGAATGTGGTCTACGTAGCGTACGCAGTCACCTAGTTGCCGTGCATCAGGAGGTTTCGATGAGGTTGCTTGAGATGCTTGAAGGACGTCCTTTAAACCATTGGGTAGAGCAGGAACGATAGGAATAAATCGACGAGCTACGAATCTCGTCAAATGCGGAAGTATTGTTCAAAAACTCAATACATACATTTAGTGTATCCAACCACGGGCTGGCTGGGACCAGCTTCATCCTTATTGTTGCAATTGCACTTTGAATGCACACGTCTCGACTGTCGTAGCTGGCGGCAGCTTTCGCACTGTGACACTGGACGACCTTTTTTCTTGATCTCGAAGAGAGGCCTGTCTGTATGATGGCAAGACGAAGAGCGGTGACCCTTAATGCATGATTCGCTGCGGCTGGAGCATTGGCAAACAAGATGGGATATGCCAAGATGAGGCGGACGTACCATGCGAATTTCTTGTTGTTCACGAATACCTTTGCAATGATCCCATCAGCACCAGTATCCTACTATACAACAAACTTGCGTACCATGGTCTGTGCGCCGCGGAAAGACGACCTGGCTAGGATCGTGGGGAAAGGAGGGCCAATAAGACCTGTGATGGGCGTAAGGCTATTAAAGACCAAACGGAGGTGGGAAGGCACATCCCGTGGGAATATTACGTAACTATAATCCGAATGCCGCGCTCAGGGGCTACTCCACGTGATCGGAACTCGGCTTGACTACCGAGGACTACCGTCACGATCTTCAAGCTCGAGTTTGCGGCTCCCACTACTGTAGATTTTCCGCCTCGTGGTCAGTGAAGTCCTGGGAGATCTTGGTCATGCTGCTCACTGGCGAGCACTATATGGCTCAGTTTTTTCCCTTACTCTCACCGCTTCGACTTGCCGTTTATCATGCACCCTACCGAAATACCCGGGCGAGAAGGCCACCAATAAGTACGTTGGCGCTATGCACGTTTCATGCAATAAACAAATCCCGCAACTTGGCCCGTAGCGAAAATAGCTCTCATTCTGTAAGGGTGCGTAATAGATTTTTTTTTCACCCTTTGCGCCCTTTACGCGACTAGGGTCAGTTAAAATTGGACACCATTCATAGGCTGATCCTGCTGACACAGCGTGGATTCTGGTCTAGTCGATTTTGTATGGCATATGCACCATTTGACCTCCAGCTTCTTCCAAAGCGCGTTAAATAAGGTACTCCGGATCCCTTCAACATACACGTTGTCCAGAAGTGTGTTGGTGCGTGCAAGTTGGCTATGATTAGATTTTCATCTCTATTGAGATAAACTTTAGACTGAATCAGCAGTGATTCAATAGGATACGAGAGACTTCCACGGCGTCTTCATATCGTGGGGAAGAGCAATTTGGACTCACTATTATTCCCACCAAAGGTGCCATTCTCTGCGGTACATGACTGTCTTCCTCTTTCGGCAGGTCCCGACGGCAGTGAATGATGGGTCTAAAGACGGCCGCCGGCCACGAACTGCGCAGTTCCACACACTGGCGTTGCTGCGATAAGGGATGTATGTCCTTCTCTAACGTACGTCTATGCATTCCTATCGATTTGTGCGCCTTCTTTTCTTCTCGGCGGGATGTGTCTTGGCCACCCAGTTCCCTTTTCAGCCAGAGTCAATCGGCTGGGATTTGAATTTCCTGCCAAATATAAATGCTACAGGGCATCTCGTATTTGACACCGTTAACTCCTTCCTACAGCATTGGCCTAACACGCGGTACCGTAATGGTAAGTGAAACATGGTCTATTGGCTAGTGCAATTCCGTTTCAATTGTTCGTATGTCATAGGTCACAGTCTAGTTCCTGGTATCGTACCTGTTGGGACGCTCCTCTATCATGGCCGCGCCGATTCCAACGTTCCGACCGAGCCACAGTGGGTAGCTACAGATCCCGAGCATTCATACGTTTTTTGTCGTGGGAATGCAACGAACGGATGCTGGCAGTTGACCTTAGTAGCTACACGTCCACTCAATGTCCTATACTTTGATGGAAGTGGGGCCGCGAAATTGGTGGATGGCCCTTTAGAGACTCAAGATATCGTAGCTTGGGGTCGCGTTGCTCCCGAAAACATCAGGGAAGAGTATAAACGGATTGCAGATCTTTGTACATGGGGACAGAAGTTTGGCATCGATGGCTTTCTTAGGTATGCTTCCTGTTCATCTAATTTCGATGCCATAAAACTAAGTTTCCTTAGGATGGAAATGGACTTGTAAGTCATCGTGACCCATAGCTTCTGAGGGTCCCTGATGTTCTTCTCCAGCGAAATTATGCTCTGCGATTTTACCGATGGTGTCGAGGTGCTTTCGTTCCTTCAATTGAGCGCCGATAATCCCCAGTTTCCACGGCCCCCACATCGAGGCCCCCAGCATTTCGAGGCTTCTCCTCAGCCAGGAAGGCGTCCAATTTTCTCTCCGTCAGTGACTCTAAGTCACTTTGAGGTCCTTCATGCAGGGTCATGGCATAATCGATATCCCGGCGAAACACGCATACAACTTGATCTAGCACGTATGGTATCTTTCTATGATACATCTATCGCTCCGAGCTTGATTTCTCGCCGCTTTGGACAAGAGAGGCTTCACCATCACATCGGAGGGGCCTCTCAATCTGACATTCGGAGGGCCCTGAATAGATTGGAAACAGCGGTGCAAACACCCCATGGGGGGGGCAGCGGCGTTGATTGGAAGACCCTGGTGCAAGTGATAGTTGACCGCTATCAAGATAGATTCGAAATGGTGCAGTATCTGCTTAACATGACCTCGTCAGAGAACAAGATGCAGATGGCAAAGAAGGTACAAACCCAATTGCGAGTTATGTTGCAGCCGTACTTGCTTCACTCTGTCGCACCCTCGGCTCCGAAAGCGGCGTCGAGGATCTATTCCTGGGCGGTTCCGACATACAAGCTCTGTGCGACGTCACATACTCAGTACATTGTTTCTTCCCCTGTTCTGACTTCTAAATTGACCGAATCAGAACAATTAATACTCGGTGCGGTGATGGAAACCAATCGCGAGATATGTCGCGTCATAACACGGATGTGGGCTGAGGGCGTTTTGAGCGGTTTTGATGACATGCTTCCGTATTCTGTGGATCAAGTCCAACAGGCGGAGAGTGTTCTCTCGGACTGGAAAAAACAACTTGACATGTTGATGGGATGGCTGGATTGGAGTGTTTGGGTGAAGTGTGAACCTGCTTGTGGGCCTGAGGTATGCAACGTTGGTTATCGAGACGGCGTTAAAATTTTAATATCCGTGTTTAAGGAATTTTGTTATCTTCCGACATGGCCATTCTTTGGACGGACGTTTCCTGGCTTTCCTGGGGGTGGGGAAGGGCCAGAATGGCGTAAATCTCCCGGCAGGCACCATATCATTGTGATGGAAGATGAAGGTATAGATGACGGATGGGAACGACCGGAACCGAAATGTCTTCGTCGATTTGAGCCGTATTCGTTCTAAGTAGAGGGTGCCATTACAGCGTTCATTTATGCACATATAATCATTGCAGATCACATTAAGTATGGATGACCCAGCGGCCTCGCGATCTTTGCACGATGTTGGTGGCGTGGAAAGTCTCCGTGATTCGGTTGTGTATCAGAAGAGAAGGCGGTCCAGGGTTGATTTAGTCCAAGGTCGCGTTCCCATGCACATGGACGCGAACCAAGGAGAGTTACTTCGAGAAAATGAGGGAGGAGGCTCTAGTTCTCTCCAGAGCATTGCTCTACGAGATTCCATTAGACTTATTAGTATAAAAGTAGATGCGATATATGCTACGATATATAGATACTATGATGACATTGCATCGTTTCGGTTCATGGAGACCCGAAAGAGCATCGCCGTTACTTATCATCATCGGAGGAAGAGAAGCAATTGCCCTGCATGAGTTGAGAAGTTAAGGCCCTGAGTGGCGGCCTTTGATTTTTTTTAGGTCCAGAGGAATGCACAGGTGACCTGGTGCTCCACCGCTGTCGCACTGAACGACCTGAAGACAGCGATGGCCGACACGGTGCCATCCACCGAGGTTTGGTAAATTTATCGGTGTGAATTAATTCACTCGTCTGGAATTTTAATTATTGTCTTCGGGTTATCCGCGTTCGTCCGGATCCGTCGTCACTGTGATCGCCCCTAGGTGCATTGAAGAAAAATATCCAGTACTGGATTTCAAGTCGAGTAAGAAAAGAAAAAGGTCCCAAGTTGCTACTGACATACTGAGCTGTCGACGGAGAACACTAACTGTAGCCAAGACCAGCTGTGCAGGGTCGCCCTGGGCCTAGAAGGTGTGGTGTTTAGTGACGTCACCCGTGTGAACATGCGGAGTCGGAGCTGGTTAATCTGAGGTACCTTCAGCCGCCCTTTCCGCCCTCACGCACTTCCTTTTGAGCTTGCTCATCGTCGTCCACGACGTCCTCCATGGACTTTTTTTCTGCTGCCAACGATGCGTCGGCGGTCGCACTCACTCAGAATGATACCTTTGCCCAGGCCATAGCATCCAGCTTTGGCTCTTTCACTGCACGACTTCCGGTTGCTGCTCCTCCGTCGTTCAGGTCCACCTCGACAACAAACCCAACGTTGCATTCTAATAACTTCCATGCTGTTCAGCACGGCGAGCTTGCTAAACTCGTCAATTCCCCATCCGTGTTGTTCATTGACATTCGGCCCCATGCTCAGTTCGCCAATGCTCGTCTCCCCAATGCGTTGTCATTGTCGGTACCATCCACGCTGTTAAAACGTCCAATGTTCTCCTTGGACAAGCTCGCATCAATGCTTTCTTCTACCTCTTCACGTTCACGATTCCTTGGTTGGAATACATCAGCCCAAATCGTCGTGTACGACGCTGACTCTGCGTCGCTGCCCGATTCTTCCAATATCCTCGGCCTTCTTAGAAAATTCGCCAACGACAGTTCTGGGTACTCTGGCCGGCTTTGTTGGCTGAAGGGTGGCTTCCAGTCTATATGGCGGGATCGAAGAGAGCTTATTGACCAGCATCCCTTTGGTGCCCGATCCTGCGACGACGACAGCGCCTCCCTCAACGTCTCTCAATCCTAATCTTTTGCCAACAGCAGCTTTCCGCGCGCCAAAACGACAGTCGCCCTTGTACTCATCCTTGCGAGCTGGCATGTCAATGCCATCGCTTCCCCATCAACCGTTTAATCCTTTTTTTGATACCATCCGTCAAAACATAGAGCTATCGCATGGCATTACAGAACGTATTCCGCTTAAGCTCACTGCCCATGCAAAACAGCGGATATCTGATCTCCCATTCTCATGGCTGCGCGCCATTGCACTTCCAACAACATCTGACCTCCAGACGGATGTCGAGGAAAGCATGGAGTCCCTCGCGATGCAGTTCTACCGTATTGAACTTGCGGAGCAGAGAAGACTAATGGGGGTTATGGAACATCATTCACGGGAATCTACTGTACAGAACTACAGCGAACGCAAGGGTGTGCCTGTCAAGGCGTTCCCTTTCAGTATTACTGCGGGTGTAGAAAAAGGTGCAAAGAACCGGTATGATTTTCTTTAATTTTTCTATTGCATAACGTTAATTGGTGGTGTCATAGATATCGTCATATCTGGCCCTTTGAGCACGCTAGAGTACGGCTTCATTCCGATAAATCAATATCTCCCCTTCCTTCGTTGGACTCTACAACCTCTTCCGATGCCTCGCCCGAATTAACCCCCTCCTCTTTTACTACTGTTCTTCCGCCATCCAAAGTGCTCCCATCTCGGTCATCCTGCCGTGAGGACACTGACGATTATGTGAATGCTTCCTACGTGCAGCCGCTATGTACTCGCCGACGGTACATAGCCACGCAGGGTCCCTTGGAAGCCACTTTTGTGGATTTTTGGACGTAGGTGTCAGGTTCTAATGGTTTTTATACATATGTCTAACAACTTCAAAAGTCTCGTTTGGCAGCAAAACGTTCACGTTATCGTCATGTTGACCCGAGAAGTCGAGGGCTCGACCGTGAAATGCAACTGCTATTGGAAAGACGGCACCTATGGTCCCCTTCATCTTCGATTGATCAGCCGCGAGGGAAAAGAAGATGTTGGGGATAATATACCATCTAAGCAAAGCGGCGGCTTCTTCAATTTCCGTGCCGAAGAGGAAGAGAAGTCTCACCCAATCATCAAGCGGACTTTTTTGCTTACTCACTCCGGATATCCTCACGCCAAACCACGCCGAATCGTCCATTATCAGTATCTGGAATGGCCGGATATGAATGTTCCCGACGACCCTCGAGGGATCCTAGAGCTCATCAAGGAGGTAGGGAGGGGTATGGAAGAAAGCGAGCAGAATGGGGATAACCTCAATATCAACGGATCTGCTGCAGACCTATCGGAGGTTGACTCGCGTACAGGTATTTCGCGTCAAGGACAAGGGATCCAGCCGCTCCTTTTGCATTGCAGTGCCGGTGTGGGAAGGACTGGAGGTTTCATCGCTGTCGATGCCGTCCTGGACGGAATTCGGAGAGAGATTCGCAAATCCGTTGAGGACCAGGTCAGGACTGCCGAAAATAAAGCAGTCGACGACCGCACCGACAGCGATGGTGATATCGTGATGGACGAGACCGGGCAGCGTACTATGCCTATGCCGCCTAACAAGGGAGGAGACGTGCTACACGTTCCTGTTATCGATAGCGGACTGCCTTCCTCTGCCACAATTTCACAACGAGAACCAGAAGGGGACGACACAGCTACAAGACGATGGGCCGAAAACTTGGAACAAATTGACAGCGCGTATACTCGCGATACTGGTGATTCCGAAGGCAGATCGTCTTTCGAAACTGCTAGCTTGAGCACCGCTTCGTCGTCAGAGGAATCCTCCTTTTTCCCCCAGACCGGGCCGAAAAACGAAATCAAGGAAAATGATGGTGAGATTTCACCTAATGCGCCGAGTAGCGGATACACAACTTCGTCATCCTTTGTTACGACGATAGCTTCCGAGTCGAGCAGCAAGGACGGAATCGTTGGTGCTACGAGGAAATCATTTCCCAGTTTGAATCCTGCCCCTGGTGTCGATTTCAAGGGTCTACTGAACGCACGTCTGGGGGAAGAGGAAAATTCTCGCGCGCGGACACAGTCGGCACCGTTGGCGGGTGTATCTACCAATGATGGTTCTGCGACTGGCCCCTTCACTTCAAGGAGTCTGTCGCCGTCTGGCAGTGATGTGAAGGACGCTAAGGACTTAGCTGCACAATCGACCCCGAATCTCAAGCTTTCTTCAGCATCCACAGCACGACCCATATCTGTTGTGGCTTCTACTTCAACAACGAATGTCGACTACAAGGATCCTCGTCCGATGCATAGGCCTGACTCTCCGCGCTTGTTGAGTACCTACGATGAGCCGCTATGGGAGGTCATTCAAGACATGAGAGAGCAGCGGATGAGTCTGTGTCAGAGTCTCAGGCAGTACGTTTTTGTACACGCGGCTGTCATTGAGGGTGCTCTGATGGTGGTCGACGAGGAGAAAGAGGCTTTGGGAGTGGACAATGTTGAGAAGATGATTCATCAGCAGAACTCATCTACTCATAGCAAAGCTATGCCGTCATCGGGTCCAGTGTTTGTCTATAACGATATATTAACAGCCAGCTCGTCTTCCCATGGGAAGAGAGGCGCCAGTCCGACTGAATTATTGAAGGAGGACAAGACGGGGGAGTTGAGAATGTCGAAAAGGCCCAGTATCAAGAGGAAGCAGCGGAGTCACGACGGTGAAATGGCGGTATATTCTACTGCTAGGGAATCCCTCGGTGAGAGGCTGACACTGCCCACGTTCGAGATAGGTAAGTGTTACTATCTTACGGGACGCCGTCAGTGCTAATATTGGCCCTCTAACATCATTAGGGTGATTTTCACGTCTCTATGTCTTGGCGTCTGTTTCTTCTTTGTCGTGTTACTCAAGCTCGTCCTGTTCTTCTCAAACAGCATTTTCCCCAACTAAAACTCGCATCAGTTTTGTATATATCTCCACCACCACTGAACCAATTATGGCATATAATCCTGTGATAGGATACGCATGTATTTATTTCTCTGTTGTTGTTTTCAATTACTCATAGTATCTGTATCACTGCTTATCGAGGAATCACTGTCTAGCTAGTCGTATAATTAATTTCTGGTTTTGATAAAGCACATTTAAAGACTAGGGCCCGTCGCAAGCGCCAACGGTGACCTTGCTTAATGCGGGAGCCTTGGGTCTGAAGTCGTGATTGAAGCAGCATGTATTCTAGTAGACTCATTCCACTTTATGTACTATGGCAGGCCCAGGAAAAGATGAGACTTGTTTTCCGATCGCGCCCATGACTTATTCGTTCGGAAACATGACTTCGAAGGCTTCATATATAACACCACGGCACCACCCGATTGCTGAAGAGGTCCCAGACGCGCCTGGGGGGCATCGTTAGTCCCTCCCAGGTAATCTGGCCATCAACTAGTGCTTCTTCCCGTATTTCTAGGTCCATCGCTTCACAGGTGTGCAGTAACTCTTGGACGTAATTCAAGTCGCGGTCAAACATATGGGGCGGAGATAACCATATGCGGTGCCAAAGTCATATTCGTCAGAGATGTACGCTTCGAGAAGAGACAACAGGGAAGGGGTAAGGTTGTATTTGGTGCCAAGAATGATGTTCAGCGTTTCCAACAGTCCATCAACACCCAGGCTGACACAGGGGGTGTCAGCGAGGGAGGACTCTATGGCGAGCTTTCTACCCTTATAGACTCGTTGACTCGGGACTTTGATATCTTGGATCGACAAGCCGTCTTCAATGGGAGCATTGATGGTGACATCGGAGAGCCTTGACTAGTATTGCAGATAGGTCTTTCTCGGGGATTTTCTATGGGCTTTTTCAGCTGCATACCTTCTAGTCTTTGCGTGAAGGATCTGTATAGCCGTCACGATGAATAAACCATTGTCGCAAGCCCAAATACTCTGACCGTTCTAGTCAAAACGAAGATTTAAAGTGGAAGGAAAGCGATGGCACATACCCTGGTCCATTATTCTGTCGTAAATGAAGTGTTACTAGTTGGATGTTCAGGGAGAAACTCAGGAGGGTGTGGCTGCAACGAAGTTCTACCTTGCCTTGACTCAGTGTGTGCTTTGTTTGGCTTCTTTCCTTCCTTTCATCAAGCGCCCTTGGGTCACAAATACTCCGTTGACATTGGGAGTAATTGAATTGGCAACGTTGCTGTGTTACATTACTCTTACAGCGTTTTGTACACGGGACTCGAAAAATGCCAGACCACGTCTTCTTTACGCGTTGGTCCACATTGGCAGACTCGTCTCCCCGCCACTTCCCGAAATACGCCGCTAGTGCCCGCTAAGGTAAGCCCGAGGTTCGAAACTCTCATCAGCACATCCCACAGCATAAGGATGGTGTGCCTATCTCGATACCACCGCCAAATATAAACTCTGCATGCGGTTTTTCGCCTAGTCTCGGAGGATCAGGTAGCTGTTGAGTGAGGTAGTACAGCACAAACGACTATGTACCGAGTCACCGATCAGACTTTGTTCCTGCATGCTGTGTTGTCATATAGCCTTGCACAGAGTGGCATGCGCGACATTTTTAGCGCGAATATCACCACGGGTCATGTCAACGATGTTGTCCTGGATGGAAAAGACAGGAAAGATGGGTGTACAGCCAGAAGGACGAGTACATATGTCGTCGAGATGACCCCATGCACCCCGCCTGCAAGCTGCACCCCACCGAGCCCTCCATCGTACCCCAGCCACCCTTCTCACTAGGCAGTTCCTCCAAGTAGCGCTCCAGCTTTTCTCGCTTTCAACGACCCATCCTCATCAAGCAGTGTACATGCAAACGCCGTACCCGTTATCCCAGACCAAATAATCACAATGTCTGGCAGAGGCACAGACGAGCTTTCTTGATGGGCGATGCTGGGATAGACCAGAAGGGAGTGATGGGATTCGACGCTGGAAGACTGCTTCATGGTAATGAAAGTGACATATTGCTCCCATCCTAATCTAGCTCTTCCATCCTTGAATAGGGAGTGTTGAAGGAACTTTGGATACAAAAGACGTCAGCTCTGATCAGAAAAGAATGGATTAAAAGATACTTGCTGGTATACAACGATTGTTACTTGATAATAATTTGACGTCGGGTGCACAGATGATGTACTTGGATCTCTCGAAATGTTCATTTTGGAGGTCCAAGTACGTTATAATTGTTCCTCTATGGCTGAAAAAGCGTGTCTTCACAGAGGAGCATGGTTACATGCAGGTTGAGCAGAATAGTAGCATGTGCACGTTTAAACTCACCTTCACCTGCTAATCCACCACTACTATTACTATTCTTCGTCCTTGAGTGAACAGAGGTCGCCAAACAACGTGTCTGGTTTGCAGAATCCGAAGCTGCAAACTTGAAACCAGATGTATTCCTCAATGGCGTGTCCGACAATATTGATATATGCCATCGCCGTGAAGAGGAACACCTTTTTCAACGCCGGAGGGAAGGGGTAGAATGGAGGCGCAGTTCCCGTATGTCGAGGATAACCAAGTGAATGATGGGTCTCCTAGACATGGGTGTTGAGGCAATTTTTTGTCGATGGTTGATAGCGATAGCCGCCCGTGGCCATGGTGGGGCCAATTAACAGAGACCGGAATTTGCCGCTTCCAATATCCCCTCTTACTGGCGGAGTAGCCTGTTATACTGCTGTACAGATTCTTGCAGAACTCTTACCTACTGGCCAGCATTAGACTACATGAAAGTGCGTGTTACATATCGCTCAAGCGCTCAAGAAATTCCCTTTTTTCCCTCGTCTGACATGTGCAAGAGGCGGAATATTGATGGTACAGAATACGCTAAAAAGCGCTTCCACCGCCTGCGCCTCTCCACCATCGCACTACACCATCTTCGCCTCCACTGACAAAGGCACCCGCCCCAATGGATGTCAATTTGGGTCTCCACGACACCGACCACACTTCTCCAGTATCTTGCACTGTTGATACAGCCGCTCGTGCCGCGATGTCCCAAACTTTGATAGTTTTGTCAGCGGATCTGAGCTGAAATAAGGCGTCGTCAATGAGATGGTGAATATTCTACGTACCCTGACAGAGCAAGACGATTGTCAGGTGATATGTCGACGCTGAGAACCCAAGAAGAATGCCCCGTAAATGTCGCTACCATTCCCCCGGCAGATGTCCGCACGTCATGAAGCACCAGACGTTTGTCTTCAGATGCGCTCAGAAGGAGCTAGTAGAGTTATAGTATGTAAGTGAAGAGAAAAGCTCGCGGTGTAAAGGAAGACTTGCGTTGCAATCAGGAGACCAGACAAGATCCCGAACGGCCATGGCATGGGAGGTGTACGTTGTCGCTAGCGAATTAGTTTCAAGGTCGAATATGTAGATCTGCCCTGATTCCGAGGACAGAGCAACGCGCTTTCCGTCTGGGCTCTATTCCGAAACATTCTAAACATCCGCGAAGCGAGAAATACGTGAAAGCGTACATGGGTACAGTGCAGGCCAAATTTGCTCCTCCCCGATGGCAAGGTAGACAGTCGTTGCCCGAAATTTTCTGAACTTGCCGAGTGGATTGCGACGTTCCCGGAGGCGCCTGAAGAGGCGTAGGTCTGGCAGTTGGGATTCAGGGATACAGACCATGCTTTTCTATGTGAGTGAAAAGGTCGTAAAGCGAGGGTGACAACTCACAAGGCTCGACATCGCCTCCAGACGACCGGTTGTAACTCTCATACTTCCCGACGATGTCCCCAGTTGTGAGGTCCCATAAAGATGTGAGGCCTTCGATGGTGTTGTAGAGGGCGTATTTTGCGTCTGGAGATACTGATAGAGAGACCAGACCGAGCATGTGAGGAGCTGGAAAACCCGAGCTGGGACTGGGAGGCTGGGGATCGCCTGCAGAGGTCCATTGTTTGATACTTCCGTCTGCTGAGACAGATATCACGGTGTCGTTACTCGTCCAACAAATGTCCCAAACAGCGTCGCCATGCGCTAGAAGGGGAGCACCTCAGTGCTAGCTGCATGCATGCGCAGAGGGAACTGACCTTCTGCAGCGTCGTGAGAATGAAGAAAGGCAAGACTCTGTTCTTTTGTTGATTAGACGAAACACGAAAGAGAATTGAGAGCAGAGGGAAGTGCGCGTACTCACCATTTGAATGGCGCGTTATATCGACGCGATTTGAGGTGGTGGTCAAGTCGATCGATTTGTCTATGCCTATTTGAATCCAACGCTACCGTATTGTATGTATCCATTACTTCAATCAACGTGTATATATCCCGAGTCTTGTAGTCTACAATATCATGTCCCCTCAATCTGTTGGTGGGACATATGGTTCTACTAACATCTTGCTAAACTCTTTCAGCTTCTCAGGGCCTCGGACCTCCTCCGTAAGTAGAGGCAATTGCACTATGTGGAAAAACTCGTCGTAGAGTTCATGAGCCTCCCCCAGATACTTCTGTTGCATCTTTTGTCGGACACGGCAGTGCTCGCAATTTGAGCCTGCTCGAATATATCAGAGGGGGGTTGCACTAGTAAGCAGGGAACAACGCACTCTTCTTTGGGAAGAGAAGCTGATTTACGACGATATTATGCGTGTCAATCTCGTAAGACGTTAGTTCTTGCACCAAACGTTCCGTTTCATATAGCGACAAGAATTCAGATATGCAGACACAGACGAAGGTGGTCTTTTCCTACTAGGGCTGTTAGCACATAAACTCATAACGATGGAGATGAATGCATACAGGATCCTTGAACTGCGTGTTTACTTCTGTAATGACGGCGCGCATCGATTCAAGCTTGGCGAACATATCTTCTTGGGATCCAGCTTCTCCACCCATCATGGAGGACATCTGCATGGAAGGTCAGGGTAACTGTCAATGCGGACAGGAATTTACACGCCTGGTTGATCATGGGTCCAAATCGTGACCCTAGACTGCTCAATTTCCCTAGGGCCTTCTCCAGCACTGTCGGGAACGAGAGGAAACGGAGGGTATGGCCCGTTGGCGCCGTATCGAATACTATAACTGAATATTCCATCGACTTTACGTGCCTATATCAAATGATCTTGGTCAAATTGCAGCGAGACGACCGGTATGAAGGTTCGTACTTCATGATTTCAGCGAAACTCATGGCTTCATCGACACCGGGAATGGCAAAGGCAAGATCCTGCATCATGGACCCCATCATTCCATTCGAATCAGCTAGCATAAAAGAGTGTAAATATCAAATCTACAGAGGTTAGGCGAGGGTCATACATTGTTCTACCATTTCCTGTATTGCACTTGTCGGGTCGATCTCCATTGCGAAAAGATTATCGAACCCATTGACTTTGGTAGCGTCTTTGGAGAATTTCTGGCCAAAGGCGTCAGGACAAGTTGTGTGCAGGATCCGTTGACTGGTAACGTATCAGAACTGTTGAACGGCCGCGTAAGGGGAGAGAACGTACGATGAGAAGGACCGACTGGCGACATTTTGCTAGCTGTATAGCCAGCGAGCACGATGTCGTCGTCTTCCCTGAATCGACTTAGTTTGAACTTGATTTCCTGAGGATAACAGTTCCGACTTGCCTACACCACCTTTCCCACCTAACGATTACGGTAAGTGATTGGTTGTAACAAAAGATGAATAGGACTTGCCGCAGAATATCCATTTCAGAGTCGTCTGATCAAGGACATTCTGAAGGGTAGGAGGAAGAATTTCGGTATCCATAGCAGGTTTAGCAATAATGAGGTGGAAGTAGCAGAAATATACGTGACGATCGAGGCGACGTGTTTGTTTGCTTCTGTCCTTCTACATTCATCTCGACTGTACTCGTCGCTCCGAGAACTTTCTCCGACTTTCTTTTACCTTCTACCATGTCGGATGGGCTGTCATTCAGAGGTACACAATTCATGCCAGATTGGCAATTCAATGTAGCTGAAAATATCCAGCCCTGCAGCTTGCGAACGAGCAGCGGAACGCGTATGGTCTCCGGTACCATGATTTTGCTCGATACAGGTCAGACTGCATGTTTCTGCATCGTAAATATGCGCTGAGAATTGTTCAGGAAGCATTGTGCCAACAGGACACATCGAATTCGGTCGACTTTGAAGATGACCCATGGCAAAGGGAGGGATTTCAAGAAGCTTCCGCCATTGAACGAAGAGAGTATGAAGGACGGACAGTGAGATACCCTTGTCATTGTCTTGATACTCACAACTCAGAGAACTGAATTTCAGCCTTCAACTACTGCTCATGGAGGCCGAACGCGCTTGGGCATATTCCCAAGATCTTGTATCGCAATCCTTGCAACCCACAAATGTCGGGAAAGCCCATACACTCAGGCATAGTGCTACAGGACGATTCCGTCGCAGCGTCAACTGGTCGACCCAGCTCCTTTCTCACTGCCAAGTATTATTTGCCTCGTCTCGGCTGTCCGCAGAAAGCCTACTGGAGACCACTATCTATACGCTCATTCTCAATGGTCGCTTCCTTCGATATCGCGAAGACTTCGAAGATGCTCTCATTCAGCTTAGTGTGGCGAGGCACTTGTTAGATGAGCTAGCCGCCGCTGCCACGACGAGTCGTAATCAAGCTCTCGCTGTCTTGTTTGCGGACGAAATCGGTCCAGAGGTTCGGTACTGCGCGCATGAGCTAGGCCGGGAAAAATCCTATGATGTCGATGGAATCGTCTCTGAACTATCGTCAAGGCATAAGAACGCCCTGGTAGAAGGCTGTGATAGTCTATTGAGCAGATTCAAAGCGGAGGAAGAAGCACTGAAGCATGTCGAGGGAAAGAAGAAACTGGAGACTCTGATGTGGGAAGGCGAACCTGTGCCTGTGCGTAATCCAGAGCTTGTCGATGTCTTCCTCAAAGTGCAGGAGGCCGAGAAGAAGTTAGACATCTATGAGGAAAAGAAGGTCAAGATGGGCGACTCGAAGAAGAGCGTGGCGGCCTACGATGCGATCCTTCTAGCTCTTAGTGACGCCGAAGATGTGGCAAGGAGGCTGAAAGAGGCGCAACAGGTAAGGGTCGCACTTCACTTTTTGGAGGATTCTAACACTCTTTCCACAGTCAACAGGATCAGCTGCATCTACAAGTAGCGGGACGCGCGATATGCATTTCCTTTACGCATACACCATATTTCAACTTCTATCGCGGCGTATCCAACGAGACTTCAAGCTTGTCAAAGCTTTGCTGGCCTCCCCATCCACTCCTTCGAGATCCCCGTCTAAACCTAGGCAGGTTGACGCCAGAGTGTATCCTGCTATTGTGAAATTGCTGGATACTATTATGCAGGGTTTAAATCAAATGAGGACACTGAGCATAGTCGATGACAATCCGGATTTGTCATCTGGTGTGGACGCGAGAATCTCTTACACAAAAGCCAGCAGGTACGCTGTCGTGCATATTGACATGCTTGGATCCTCATACATCGTTTTGCAGATGTTTATACCTTGCTCGTTGCTACGTGAATGTCAAGAAGTACACAGAGGCACTGACCCTTTTGCAACATTCAAGCATCCACTATTCGTGAAACACAATCCCATATCTCACTGTCGAACTCGGACATTGCCGAGGTCGCCTTTTTCCCACTTTCTCAAGTTGAACTTGGTCAACTTGAATCCCAACTATCATCCGATAGTCTACAATTCAAACGGGACTGGTTTGCTTACAATGGCGGCTCTGTCAATACAGATCCCAAGTCCTATAAGAAGCCAGCATTCTTTAACATTGCCTTGAATTACGTGGATCTGGACATGGATAGATTGCTGCAGAGAGCAGGGAAGGAGTCTGCACCTACGCCTGCTTCTGCTCCTGCCCCCCCAGCCCCTACGACCAAGGTTGAGCCTGTGGCGGACAAGAGGCGAATAATCGAGGATACGAGAGCCGCGACGCCAGAACCTGCTCCAGCACCCGCTGTTCGTGGTGGATTGAGTAGTCTACTTGGTGGATGGTGGGGCAAGAATTGATGTATGAAAAATGGTTATATAAACGAATACACATGCAGTAACAACGATAGCTAGTCCAAAAAAAAATTAAAATGGATTGTATGAAAAGTCATGGTATGCTTAATTGAAGAACTGCAAGAAAACGTGTCAAGCTCTCAGAGTCCGAGACAGGTGGCAGCAAAACCTACTTTGTTGGCCTTTGATTCGGGAACATCATCCGCTTCTCCTCCCTTCTCTCTGGCCTCTTCGTCGCTGATCAGACTTATTGAACGTCCAATATTTTGGAGCTCCCTCCAAAATTCAGGATTTCCAGGCGTGGCTTTGCATTTCTTCTTCAGCTCTAGAAGAAACCTTAAATGTCGTTGATGATAAGCCTCGATACCTTAAGGACAGATAACGGACTTACTCGTTCCATGCATCAATCTCATCTTCCTGAAAAGACCGTAGAGGTTAGACCAAAACGTAGCATGGTTATCGTAAGAGCCGCTTACATTAAGACACGTATCCCTCATAGCTTTCATGCACTCAATCAACTCATCCGTCCGTCGTGACGAAAAGGGACGCATTACGATCTCCGTAACGACGAATGCAAGGTCTTCTACTGCTTTAGTGACCAAATCCTTGGCCACGAGGTTCTTCTGGAAGTCCTTCAACGGGTAGATAGTTCCAACGATTCGACCAGGCTCTCTGCCAGGATCTACTTGAGGCGATATAGACCTAGCGGGCGTTGGAAGAGGGTTGCTACCTTTCTTCGGCGGGGCCTTGTCAAGCAGAATTTCCTCTTCCTCAGATTCCTCGGTTGCACTGTCATCTTCGTTTGTTGTCATGTTCTGCTCCTCCTTGCTCGATGAAGGGGTAGGTTCTTCGACAACCCGCAACTCGGATTGAGTGGTAGTCGTTGGGGCTTTGTGGTCCAAGAGCAGCATTTCCTCGTCGTCGTCGCGCGCGTGAACATGTCCGTCCTTCCGAGTCCGAGTGACTTTCTTTGGTACTGATTGTATCGCCCATTAGTAGTAGTAAACCATAGTACAAGATAAAATGACTTACCTTCTCTGACCTTAAATGCAGCCTTGACACCTTCAATGGCGTCATGTGCCCGCTTGACAACCTTGCGTGGTGGCTCAAAGTACTTCAAGAGCTCGGGGTGTGGTGGTGGAAGAGGATTTGTGTCTAAATCGGAAACAACTGCACAGTGAAACATGGCTTGTTTGACGCGGTGAATAGCTGGATTATAGGAATATCGTGTGTCGAACCATGGTTCTCGGTTCCTTGATCGCTTGTGAATGTTTGAGACTTGGAAATATGAATGACTTACCCTTCATCGTTTTTCTCTCCCGCTGCCATAACGTCCATAGCATCAACAAATTTATCCATAGCATCCAGTTGTTCTTCGGTCGGCAGATATGGATGTTCTGTGACTACCTCTCCCCTCTTGTTCACGAGGTGGTCAAGAGATGCAAATGTGTACTTGCGCACGTCATCCGCGAAAGGCATCTGATAAAACGATTCTTGTAAATCTTTTAGTGTAGTCACCAGGCGAACTACTTGCCGGCGCCCAAAGCAGACAGTCCACTTTATCAAACATCGTGGGGGACAGTACACCCATCTTTGGGATCCATACCATCCTTGGTTACCCATCGAGCAATCGCCATGGCACCCTTTTCGTACATTGCTTGCACAATAGACGACAAAGCCACTTGTTGTTGGGGTGAAGAGGGATCAGCCCAAACATACTGTATTTCACCCATAGTGAGCTCGCGATGAAACTTATAACCATCATTTAGCACAACGGAGGATAAATGCTTGAAGTTTGAAGACTCACTTTTTTCTTTGGAAAGAAACCAAGAATTTCGATTCCCTTCTTTGTGTGCAATCGAGGGAACTGGCCATCAGGGCAGGGAGCATATGATGTTCCATACTTGAACCCCCGCACTAAAGTTTCCTTGTCGACAGACTCCATGCCCTCCGTGGGATCTTTCTTTTTGGAACCGTCGTCAATTTCCTCTTCCTCTTCTTCCATTTTGACATCACCATCCTCATCTTTGTCACGCTTATCGACAAAATATTCTGTGCTCTGTTTCAGTTGGGCATAGCGCACGATTTCTTCACCATTATGTTCTTCCTGTGCCTTGGGCTCTGCATCCCCACCATCGGCCTCTTCCTTCCTCACGGAGAATTTTTTCCAGCTTTTTGGTCGGTTGACGGCTGTGCACTTGCTCGTTTTGACCAATAATTCAAGGGCCTCTTTCGGGCGCGTATCTACATCACCCACTCGGAGAACAGTGCCCATTAACACAGATTTCGTTTGCTTGATATCTGGGCGCGATATATCCTGCAAGGCATAGGCACAAGTACCCAATACGCCATTTTCGACGCCATCGACGAATTGCTTGTAAAAACTCTCGTTCACCCGCTAAAGTAGGTTCTGTCAAAGCTGAGAAACAGAAATAATGGATCAAGAACCAGCCTTGATATTTGACTTGTCTTCTTCCACATAGGGGAATTCTTCGTCATCAAAATCGATACCGCTACGCTGGATGATGGGCATAGAGAAAATTATAATTTTTGGGTACGCACACTATGGTCAAAGCGATATCCAGGTCATTAAGTTTCTTCACAGTGGCCTGCCAGTCTTCAATTTCTATTGGGTTCTCTCCGTCTGTCACGAGAACTATTTTGCGAGTCCATGTCTTCTTGGAACTGAGATGGTCTGCTTGAGTTTCTATGCCGACAATGAGGCAGTCGATGGCTACACCGCGCCAGGATAAACAAAAGACCGACGCAGAAATATGCACACACTCACGATCTCCGGTAGTGTCAGAAGGCTCCAAACGGTCCAGCTTTGCAAGGGTCGCGGCATTAGGCTGTGCAATATGAATATATTCAGACACATTCTCATATCCGCCGTTTTTCTGATTGACGATATTGTCCGTATCTTGGCTGACATTAGAGTTGAATTGGCGGTGTAGCTGTACTCCACGTACCTTCTGATCCAAATACAATAACGCCACACTGATCTGTCTTCCGTCCGTTGTATATCTGACCCAACCTGAATAACCGAAACGCGGCAATCAAGACACACGTACCATTTCTTGAATCTTAAGCTTCACGTATTGGAGTCCCCATTGTAGATTTGTAATTTCGGCCGTTCGTTCTTCGCCATTAGGCCCCTCGGGGAGTTCGATGGTCCTTGTCTTTCCCATGGAATTAGAGATGTCCACTAGGAACATGGTTACGGTGTACTAAAGAGAAATTAATATGCTGTTGAAGTAGAATCAGAACATGCTCACTCCTGCTCTTTCAGCGGGCATGATGGTGGTACTAACAAGAATTGAGTCAACCGTGTCACCGGCGTCGGACGCGGCGGTTAATTATCTCACGTGATCGACAAGTCACCCTGTCACTGTGTCACATGTAACGCTAGAACGTTCGGCGTGACAATAGCGTGACATATCCTTTCCTGCCACACATTCGAGGCTTGTTGACGCGACTGATTGCTGCAGGGCACGCGGACGGTAATGTCGGCTCCTATGTTGACCAACGGCCTCCCTCAGAATATCTCACCACATCACGGGCCACGACAGCCTGTCATGCAGGAGCTGCAGCAACTCATTCTGGTTCGTCTATTGCCCCTTGACATATTCAGTACATCCCCTCATCCTGCTTTCTAGCGAGCCAACTTTCTTAAAAAGAATCCCAACGAGCAGAAAACACCTAATGAGCTCGAAAATCTGGTGAAATACATCCAGAGTGTCGGCAGTCAAAGTGGTAGGTCACCACCCTCTCCTTGCCGCCCAAATTTATCTCATCTTTTTAGCTCGAAATCATCCTCAAGCTGCGCAGCAGCAAACACAGCAACCACTGGTCAGCGGAAATGGTATCACTAATGGTTCTACGACTGTCGTTGTCCCTCCAGTCCCCCCCCACACTCCCGTATCCTTCACCTCCGACCAGATAAATGTTCTTCGTGCCCAAATATCAGCCTTCAAACTTCTTCAGTCGACATCTTCCTGTACCCGACAATGTACAGCAAGCCATGCAGATGCACAATGCCGTTGCTGTCGCAGACGAGAAACGGCTTCAGTCCCCCGATTCTACCTCTCGAGCGGCTGACGGCGCTGCGAAGGTGCCGAAAGGCGAGTCAGGGACACCAGCGCTCGATGGTGGCAAGTCAGAGGAACCAGAAGAAATAGAAATCGATCCCGCCGATTTACCCAAAGGACCATTCCTCGAGGACGATGTCAATTCGGGTATATACCCTTATAACGCGTATAGACACCCTTTTTCCCACCTCAAGCGCGGTCCCGAGACTGATAAAACCATGTTTTCCACTCGATTACAACGTCTGCTTGTTCCTACCATTATGCCAGCTGGCCTTGACGCTAACCAGATATTGGCCGAACGTGACCTTTTCATTGAAAACCGCATCCAGCAGCGAATCAGGGAACTGGAGGGCCTCCCTTCCACGATGGGCGATGGAGGCTTAGTTCCAGATGTCGACATTGATGAGATGGTCAAAGGCGAGAAGGAGAACACTCTGGCGAATGACGCTCATCTTGGAAGTCTTATGCATCCGAGTGCCACATCTCATGGTAAGCTCCGCGCCATGATAGAGCTCAAGTCGTTGCGTCTAGTGGAGAAGCAGAGGGCCATGCGCGCTCTCGTGGCTGAACGACTTACCCACGGGTCTCTCCTTCCGCTCAACCGAGTCGACTTCAAACGCACTCGAAAGCCACACCCCAAAGATGCGCGTATGACCGAGCAGCTCGAACGAAGGCAGCGCACCGATCGCGAGCGACGTGCGAAGCACAAGCATGTCGAGCAGCTCAACGTTATCACAGCTCATGGACGCGAAGTGATCGCTGTGAACCGTGCTGCTCAAGAGCGGGTTCTGAGAATTGGGCGGGCCGTGTTGAGCTACCATGTTCATACGGAGAAGGAGGAACAGAAGAGGATCGAAAGGATTTCGAAAGAGCGTTTGAAGGCGCTGAAGGCAGATGATGAAGAGGCGTACATGAAACTCATTGACACGGCCAAAGACACTAGGATCACACACCTTTTAAGGCAGACGGACGCCTACCTTGATTCTCTTGCTCAGGCCGTCGTTGCACAGCAGAATGAAGGTGGTCCACAAGAACACTTTCAATTTGAAGTGGAAGATGGTCCGGCCACAGAGGCTACATTCGGTGCACAGATTTCAGAAGACGCCAATGAAGACAAGGCTAAGGTGGACTACTACGCTGTTGCTCATCGCATATCCGAGAAGGTTACAAGACAGCCTTCTATACTGGTCGGTGGGACACTGAAAGAGTATCAGTTGAAGGGGCTGCAGTGGATGGTGAGCTTGTATAATAACAGACTGAATGGTATTTTGGCAGACGAAATGGCGCGTTTTTCCGATCCTCTTCCTGCGATCAGTGACCAATAAATATTTTCTAGGGTCTCGGAAAGACGATCCAGACTATATCCCTGATCTCGTTCCTCATCGAAGTCAAACGTCAACGCGGTCCTTACCTTGTTATTGTACCTCTTTCTACCATGACGAACTGGTCGGGAGAATTTGCCAAGTGGGCTCCGTCCATCAAGACTGTGTCGTACAAAGGCAATCCAGCTCAGCGTCGCGCTTTACAGGGTGACCTTCGGGTGGGGCAATTTCAAGTCTTGCTTACCACGTATGAGTACATCATTAAAGATCGACCTCATCTCAGCAAGTTAAAGTGGTTGCATATGATCATCGGTGTGTATATTCAGTCTTCTCCCCATAATCCAGGAACTGAAAACTCTGGTCTTAGATGAGGGACATCGTATGAAGAACACTCAAAGCAAACTTTCTCAGACTCTCACTACTTACTACCACACCCGATACCGCCTCATTCTCACTGGTACCCCCTTGCAGAACAATCTTCCAGAACTGTGGTCTTTACTGAACTTCGTCCTTCCCAAAATCTTCAATTCCGTAAAATCATTCGACGAATGGTTCAACACTCCCTTTGCTAACTCAGGAACGGGCGACAAGATAGAATTGAACGAAGAAGAGGCTCTTCTTATTATCCGTCGTCTCCACAAAGTGCTTCGTCCTTTCTTGTTGAGACGATTGAAGAAAGACGTCGAGAGTGAGCTACCAGACAAGGTCGAGAAGGTCATAAAGGTCAGGATGAGTGCTTTGCAAAGTCAACTCTACAAGCAGATGAAGAAGCATAAGATGATCGCAGACGGAAAAGATGCTAAAGGGTACGTCATAGATTAAACAAGTATACAGTAAGCTGACGTCTCCGTTGTCCAGCAAATCGGGTGGTGTGAAGGGTTTGAGCAATGAGCTGATGCAGCTGCGGAAGATCTGTCAACATCCTTTCTTGTTTGAAAGCGTAGAGGACAAAGTCAATCCCAGTCAAGTTATCGACGAAAAACTTGTTCGGACGTCCGGGAAGATTGAGTTGCTCAGTCGTGTACTGCCGAAATTCTTTGCAGCAGATCACCGAGTATGTATGCCATCGTATGAAACTTTTCAACTTTGATTGATGTTTTTTCCCCAAGGTTCTCGTCTTCTTTCAGATGACTAAAGTAATGGATATCATGGAGGACTTCTTGAAAATGATGGGATGGAAATATCTTCGGCTGGATGGTGGCACCAAAACAGAAGAGCGTGCATCATATGTTCAGCTGTTCAACGCGAAAGATTCGGAGTACAAAGTATTCATTCTGTCGACAAGGGCCGGTGGCCTGGGCTTGAACTTGCAAACAGCTGATACGGTTATCATGTTTGTATCTTTATTCTATTTATCTTTCCTGTTGAATGCTTATTTTGGTTTGCAGCTTCGACAGTGACTGGTAAGAGTCCGTCTTTCCTGTGTCTTACAAAGCTGATCTTGCCATTAGGAACCCTCATGCTGACTTGCAGGCTCAAGATCGTGCACATCGTATCGGTCAGACCCGTGCCGTGCTCATTCTCCGATTCATCACAGAGAAGAGTGTGGAAGAAGCCATGTACCAGCGTGCTCGCTACAAATTGGATATTGACGACAAAGTCATTCAAGCCGGTCGTTTCGATAACAAATCCACCCAAGAGGAGCAGGAAGAGTTTTTGGTATGTTGAGCTGTTCTTCCAACCATCACCTCGTTCTGATTTTGTTTGTAGCGTTCGATCCTTGAGGCCGATCAAGAGGAAGAAAATGAAGAGGCTGGCGACATGAACGACGAAGAGCTCAATGCTTTGATCGCTCGTAGCGAAGAGGAAGGAGAAATCTTCCGACAAATGGATACTTCGCGTGAGCGCGAAGCTCAAGAGAATTGGCGGAACCAAGGAAAGCGCGGCAAGGCACCACCTCCTTTGATACAGCTCGAAGAGCTTCCTGAATGCTATCAGACCGACGAACCCTTCGAAACTAAAGAGACTGAAGAAATATTTGAAGGTCGCGGTCAACGTCGCAGGAATGTTGTGAGTTACAACGATGGCCTCAGTGATGATGCATGGGCGAGGGTAAGATCCTTTCGATACCCTCTACGTTGTATGGGCTAACGTAGTATTATTTTATAGGCTCTGGAAGACGGCGAAGATCTTGAAGATCTTAGCGAGCGGCCGCGAAAGACGCGAAACATCGCTAAGTTCATGAGAGAAGGAGAGGCATCTAGTCGAGGGACACCCGTCTCTGACTTGGACTCTCGACCGCGTAAAGGCCGCAAAGGCAAGGCCAAAGCTCAAGATTACGAGGCTGCAACTGGTTCCAAGCGGAAGAGGGGGATGAAAGCGATGTCAGTAACCCCATCCGCTGCAGGGGATGACGAAGACGAGGACCGAATAAGTGTAAATTACACTCTTCTGCTCTTGTCTTCTTTTAACTTATTTGTACAGAAACGCCGGAAGACGAAGACGGGGGACATCTCTCCTGCACTGCGTGAGCGGATGAAGAGGGCATTCGAAGAATGTTACGATGCTGTGTATGACTGCGAGGCTGAAGATGGTCGGACACGGCGTGATTTGTTCCTCCAACTCCCAGCTAAGAAGGTGTGTCTACAATGCGATTTGACTATAAAATATTTAACAGCTCGTATCAATTAGACATATCCGGACTATTACCAACTTATCTCCAGGCCTATCTGCATGTCGCAAATCCAGAAACGAAGCCAAAGTTCGTTCTACAAAACCGTACAGCAATTCAGGGATGATTGGAAACTCATGTTCAACAATGCGCGGACCTATAATCAAGAAGGCTCATGGGTCTATAATGACGCGGAGGAAATGGAGAAGGTCTTTGATGCTGCATACGAACGAGCTATAGTTGGTTCGGGGTTACCCGGAGCGCCATCATCGGGATCGTACGATTCTGCCTTGACACCCATGGACGACGACGAACGACCACCACCTCCGGTGCGTTCTAGAAGTACTGGTCGCAAGCAGGTCATCAGCGACGAGGAGGCTGATGATCCAGAGTACCTTACTCCAAGCGACGACGATTAATGCATTCTTTTACTTTGTTCTTGTCCGATCTTTGTAGCGTTATTGTAAACCGTATCCTTGGATTTAAATCTATATTTGCTGTCAGGCTGTACCTTTGTTGATACTTAATACTTGCTTTTCGTTGTAGTTAGAGTATCGCCCATGAAAATGTTCACATAAGACATGCCTAGTAGAAATATTCAGGCTGCTCATAAGGTAGAGGAATAAGGTCTATCAATGCTACGAAATCCATTCGGTCAAGCAGTCCTTCGTTGACCATGGCGCCTAGAAGCTTTCTCGTCCATACACGGCATCCGTTATGAAGTGACCGCTCATTGAACTGTATATCAGCCGCCAACTCCAGCATTTTCTCCCTCTGATCTCGTGTGAACGTGCCAAGCTCGTAAGTTTGTGATTCCTGGGCCTTGTCCCTGACACGCTGTTTGATGTTGGGCTCAACGTAGTAGAACCTATCTCCCCACCTCTCCAGCTGGATGATTTGGTGAATCAATATGTTTGAGCCAGCTGTGGACGAGCCTCCGTTGTCCCAGAAAATCCAGACGTGACGTGGTGTATGCAGCGAGCCCGATATTGGGCCTCGCGCTTGAAGATAGACTTTCTTCTCTGACTCGTCATCGGGATACTTGAGCGATAGGTCAGTGACGTTCGAAGTAGGAATCATATTTCTGGATGAAAGTTCAATCATGAGTGCCCCAGTGCGTCACGGGTGAAGTTGAAGTGCTGAGAAGGAGAATCCACATTACCTTGGACGAGTTGCTCGTTGAAACCGAAGACTGCTGGCACGGAAGCGATAGCTGTTTAAGCGTCAGCAATGAAAGTATGATACCCAGAAATCATTGGAACCTACCTCGCACTGCTACTGACCAAGATTGAGAAGGGGGGAAAGAACTACCCAGCGGGACACTGCCAGAGACGCGTCCTTAACAAAGGAAGCCAGTGAAGCAATAAAGCAGTGGCAACGGTCAGTTCTCGTAATGAATACCCACGGTAGACTGATATAATCACATTCCTTCGCATAGGGTACCTGCAGAAATAGAGAAATAGATCCGCTGGATCTGGGGGACAAGTCGTTTAAATTGGATCGGGACATCAAGGCAGTACAGTGCGCCAAAAATAGAAGCTTTGCGGTCCGGTTCCAATTCCCAACTTGGCATGCGCGATGTTGGTTGGAACTCGTCCAATGGCACTGATATCTTCATGGCACTGTCGTCTTTACCGCGTCTAGAGATGCCGTGCACGACAAGGAGGCGCTGGCAGATCTTTTCCTTCACTGGACTGAGCGATTTGGTAGTACTTCCAGCTTCGACGCCTCACTTCGGACCGAATCCTCTGCTAAAGCTAAGTTAAAGAACGGAAGGCACAGAGGACGCATATGCTTTCTTTTTCGCATAGGCTACTTTCGGGGCCTATCTCGTGCCGGATATTTCCCTAGCACGGCGTACACGCACAAAACGTTGAATATCTTCGGCATCTTCACGAGTCCTCAGGTTATTGAGCGCCTGTTAGAATGCATCGTGGGCTACGCCCTATCAATCACTTGATGTAAAGCTAGAGCTCTCCGTTACACAGACACGCACTTGATTCCGGCTATCGCATGCAGCTCGCTGACGGCGGCTTCTGATGCTCTAACAGTGCTCGGTTCTTTCTTTGCCCTGCAGGTTTCTTTCTCCCGCGACGCAGTATCCCTTCTCAGCGTGTCTCTATCAAATGGCTTGTGAATTTTGTTCATTACGGCTTCTATCTATGCATCCTCCGTCATGCCAGTCTAAATGGCCAAAGATATGACAGCAAGCATGAGCGGCCTCATTCTTCTCCATTGACACTGTGCTAGAGGTCAATACATGTCAGAACACTAGTAGTACTAGTCACAAGCACCCTCTGGCCTCACGCACGTCAATTTTCGACCATTCAAATCTAATTGTAATCGCGACCGAGTGTCACTTTCTGTTATCTCTATTTATTCTGCAGGCCGATGCTCTCAAGCTTCTATGATGCATTATATGGGTAAGGCGATATCTTTCCGTTCCGATCTACCCGTTTCCGTTCACCAAGACGAAGAATCGTACCAGAAGTGGAAGGATCAGGGGAGAAAGCTACTGAGTACTTGGCCGCTTCATCTGGAACACGGATAGAAAAGGCATCACATCGACTTCTTTTGGCCATATGCCCTTCATACTTGGACCTTAAAGAGTCGAGATGCAAGGACTAGAAGAGAGCAGGATTGAACTTGATCCGTCACATACATTGGGCCACACGGTATGATCCCCTTTACACAAAATGCAGAATGAATCGAACGACAAGAGCGACAAACCCCGTAATTGACGGACGTGGTCCAACAGTGGTGGAACGGCAGCTTATGGTCAGCTTCTATCTCGATGCTTGTTTCCTCTGGCGGTGATGAACAAGTTAGAGGTCCTTCCAAATTCTTTCTTCGTCGACTTGTCGCCTACTTTTGCAGCAATGCTGCTACAGATAACCGAATACCTTTGCCATGGCGGAATCTTCTATTTTGTGTCCTCGTGTACGCAGTACCGGTGACAGAATACTGCTGCGGCATAATCCCATGATACATGTATCAGTAACGACAACCTGGTCTGCTTGTCAAAGACTGGCGTCTCAGGTATTCCAGAATCCAGAGGCAGGTCTCAAGGTGTGTTCACAGGTACCTTATGCGTATTTAAAACTGGAAGACCAACGGAGTCCATGGTTCTCGCAAGGAATAGTGATCATTCTCAAGATCCTATCATGCATTCTGGAAAGGTGGGCGAATAGATGTTGCGTAGAATGGCGCCTGGACTTGACCTCCCTGCACGCTGAACGTAATGCGAGCGTTGAGCTACTCGCCTTTCTCTTCATTAGACATCTACCACCGATAATCGCTTTTGTAGTAACATAATGTAGAGCCCGAAAATTTGGACTTCATTGCTTACGACCGTTCTTTCATCGACAAGTGATAAGTCATTTACATTTGACGAGTCTGATAGTAGGGATGAAAGCTCCAAAAGTAGTGCCCTACTCTACGTACGCCTGCCGTATCTCTCCCCGACTGGTGTTTTACAAAAAGCGAGCGAAACATTCGACAGTTAAATAAATAAAGAATGTGGAGAATAGTCCTTGGTAGGGGGTAACAGCAGCCAGTCTCTACGTGGACCGTACGATATTAGAAGCAAGTGTAGTATGTAAATCAACACTGGAAATACAAACATAAAAATAGCTGAAGGATGGATAATGCTGTAGTCACCGTGAAGTCCTTGACCGTCTTCCTCCAGAAATCCTCGAGTTCTCGAAACGCGAGCGCACATCTGCGTAGCCCGTCCGGTCAACGCGATGGACGTAGTAGCTCCCTCCCCCAGGTCCCCAACTCACATCACCGCTCCGATACGTCTTCTCCTGCACATCGAAAATAGCGCTCATGTCATCCACATTCCTCTCTGTCACTCTTGCATTGACAGCATTCACAAACGGCTTCAAGCTGACAACAATGGCGCCTTCCTTGAGATCGAGGAACTTGGCTCGGATCGCCTCGTTTAGCCGTTCGTCAAAGACCTTGTTGTCAACCAGCACAACATCGGCTTCCTTCAACAGCTCATCTACCCGCGAACTCTCGAGCATGTCACCCTCTTCTACCTCTATGTCTCCCAATGATACACCCCACATTCGACACCGGGTCGCGAAATGCTGAACCATGTTCTTTGCGACACCTGCAGGCGCAGGCATAAGCTCTATCCCATAGCTACGGCACCCTGTCTGAAGGCTGGCCTGGACGAGAATGTTCCCCACTCCACTTCCCAAATCGATGAAAAGCGAATTTTGGTCTAGATTCGTGTTGGCAAGGATGTCGTACACGAGACTGGGCATCAATTCGCCATAGACAGTGCTCGAGAAAGCCTCGTACTGTTTAAGGCTTTGTACATGGGGACCGACACTCCGCTGATAATTTTCTTCCACGACACGAAGCAGCACCTTTTTCGGGATATTGGACCATGTTGAGACAGCCGTTTTGAGCTCGTTGGAAGGTGTAGGGAGGAAAACGTCACCCAAGAGACTAGGGCTCAGCAGACTAGGGTATTTGAGTTCGCGAATTAGACAGTTGATCTTATGGAGAGTGGTGGAGAAAAGAGGACCGTCCCGTATATGTATTGCGCGTTGCAAATATCGGAGAAGATTCCCATAAGGACCTTCAGGGTATGGTGTAGTCGGCGGCGACGGTCGTTTGGAGTGGGTATCAGAATAATAATCGGAAGGGAGAGTGCCGAATATGGCCTGCTGTTTTGGTGTCATGTAGCAGTCGACGATGGTGTATAATGACCTCTCGAGATCCATGATTGGATTGTAATGATCCTTGTCTTTGGGCTCGAGGAGAATAAACTCTTCACAGGCGTCCTTATTCGGGTATTCAAGTTCGCCAGTTGGTGGGTGAATAGGATGTGGCTTCCAAGAGTAGTCTTCGGGGTCTTTGGGATTTGAAAAATCTGCCATTGTCGAGGGATTAGAAAGAGAAATCACACGGTAGAGCTGTCACGCACAGGCCTTGTATGTCCGCATAAAATCCTTCACAGCATTCAAGGACGATACACAGGGTGTCTTCGCTGGGTCTCCATCGGCCTCAATAGAGCAGTTGCGCGTCTTTCCGGTCGTACATTGCACAGCAGATGTCGAGCGAGACCGATAGATAGGCTGCTGAGGGAAGGCATCGCCGCTGTCTGACCCCCAGTCATCATCCGAGTCTGGCGAGGCGCGTTTGCGTGACTTCTGGTTGGGTTTCGCAGACCTAGAGCGCTTTTGACTACGAAGAACGTCTGTAGGACCTTCTGAGCTCTTTCTTTTTCGCGACGAAGATGAGGAGGACGAGGACGAGGACGAGGACAGCGGTGACGACGCGAGCGATGGTGATGAATGGGGCGACTCTTGGTACTGACGCGTTGAGTCGTCGGGCGGTGAAGAAGAGGATATCATTGGTGAGTAGTGTGACGTGTCTGTGGGAGCCGAGCAGTTGGGGAACACCGTTACGGCGAGGTGAAGCATTCCCATAGCGGCTGGGTGGTGAAAGCAAAAGAGCTGGATGCAGCGTGGCTGTGCTCTGTCCATCTTTTTGTCCACGTGCTTGGTTCTTCATTCATTCCTTCTTCAGCTTCCCATCCGACTTTTCTTTTGTTTTATCACAGCCCTTTCATCATAAGAAAACAACACTATTTCTTGTTTTTTTGTCGGTTTATTATCCCTGGTACTTTTTACAAGGCCATATATCAACGTCATCGCCAAACACCGACAATTGGCCAAATTTAGCAGTCCTTGTGTTTTACTTCTGTCCTCTTCACACGAGCTTTGAAAACATAGAGATCTTTTACCTTGGCTCTCAGATATTACCGGCGCAAGATACCATCAGATACAGATCGACTATTATAGCCTGAAAGGGTTCGGATAGCTACTCCTGATCCTCGCGCTGCGTCATATGAATGGCAAGAATACTTACACTGCCTCAAGGGACAGCGTCGTGGCCAGCTATTTTAGTTGTTCCTCTGATACCGCGTCGGTGTACTCTCTAAGGATGCTGTAGATACAGAATATGCATCTTTCCAACAAGAGGTCAACCCGAACGCAAACTTTACAGGATTGACCTAAATTCAGACGGTGTCAGGGCGAGGTCACTGAGCGGGCCGGTGATTGCCTTTTAACCAATCATCGCCAAACATTTCATATTTCACTTTTTCTTCCCTCCTTCACGAAAAAGCTTATTCCTCAAATAATGTCTAACGATGCCTTGCTCAAGCCAACAAAAGACACGATACCCGTAAACAATGATGCTATACCCGTGGACGAAGTAGAAAAGAAGAAGAAAAAGAAAAAGCACTCCGAAGGTGATTTCAAGTTTAATATGATTCCAGTTGTTTCTCAAGCTCAGAAACGACAGGCACCGTGGAAGAGAAGTTCAAGAAACGGAAGCATGCTGAGGATGGCGATACTGACTGTGGGTATTCCGGTCATATATGAATTGACGATCCTGATTTCTTACAGCCAAATCTGAAAAGAAGAAAACCAAGCATGCCGACGTTGAAGAATCACAACGTATGTCAAGTCCAATTACATCAGTTTATGGTTAACGTATCTGCAGTAACGGAGGCCGTTGATACCTCAAGTAAGGATCGTACTGAAAGTGAGTCTTCCTTTCCATCTTAAATGCCTCATCCTGACTGTCTAAAGGCAAAAAGGAGAAGAAAAAGAAGAAATCAAAGTCTTCGAAGGAACCTTCACCTGACCGTACGTACGGTGTCTACACTATTGAGTCGTAACTCATACTTTTTCAGAAACAGAAACTGCAGACTCTTCATCAGCAGACAGAAAAGAAAAGAAGAAGAAACGAAAAAGAGATGAGGCGTCCAACGAGAACGCAGAGGTTTCAGAACGTGCGTTATCGAGCACATACATTCTAGTATTCGACTTCTCAACTTTCCGTCTAGATCCCGTAGAGAAAAAAACGAAGAAGTCTACCAAAGTCGAAAATACGGCAATGGAATCTGACATTACTACTTTCCTTACCACGAACAACATTACTTGTACGCCATCCATCACACCATACCTAACCTTTGCCCAGCTCCCCATTCCCGACGACCTCCGTGCGCCGTTGACCCGTTTCCCTGCTCCCACTCCCATCCAGGCCTGCGCTTGGCCCCCCGCCCTTGAAGGACGCGACGTCGTCGGTATCGCCGAAACCGGCAGCGGCAAAACATTCGCGTTCGGAATCCCTGCTCTCGCTAAATTGATCCACAACCCGCCCAATAAAGACGGCGTCACGACTCTCGTCATGGCGCCCACTCGTGAGCTCGCTATGCAAACCCACGATGCGCTCGAAGAACTCGGCAAGCCGTTTGGCATCGGCAGCGTTGCTGTGTATGGTGGAGCGCCAAAGGAGGCTCAAATCAAAATGCTCCGGAATGCGATGCGAGGAAAGGGGAACAAGGTGACAACGAGAATTGTTGTTGGCACGCCAGGCAGAATATTGGATTTGATTGGAGAAGGGGTGTGTGAATTGGGTGGAGTTGATTATCTGGTCTTGGATGAGGCCGACCGGATGTTAGATCAAGGGTTTGAGAATGCCATTAGGCAAATTATTTCTTATACAAAGAAGAATGAGGAGAGGCAAACGATGATGTGTGAGTTTTTCTCATTTTTTTTTCGTTCTTACGGTCCGGCTGATATGGTTTCTGACAGTCAGCGCGACGTGGCCGGAATCAATCAGGCGCCTTGCTAGCACTTTCCAGCGTGACCCTGTACGGGTAACTGTTGGTAGCGAAGATTTAACCGCCAACAGCCGAGTGGAACAGAGTGCAGAAGTTTTTGATGATGAACGAAGTAAAGAGTGAGTCACCGCTTGTCTCCGCATGCTGTACCTGACCGAGCTCCTCACCTCAGTACCCGATTATTGAAGCATCTACGTACAATTTTGCCCAACAAGATGGCGGGTACCACGAATCGTGTCCTTGTTTTCGCGTTATACAAGCCTGAGGCTTCTCGCGTAGCTGCGCTATTGAAGCGTGAAAAGTACCGCGTCAGCGAACTGCACGGGGACATGAAGCAACCGGCTCGAACGGCAGCACTAGAAGATTTCAAAACGGGCCGAACCAATATCATGGTGGCAACAGACGTGGCTGCTCGTGGATTAGATATTCCTGACGTCGGTGTGGTGATAAATTATACATTCCCTTTGAAGGTTGAAGATTATGTGCACCGGATTGGACGAACTGGTAAGAGGTCGTCGTTGTCGGATCCTGTTTTCTGACACTTGTTTTTTCCTAGGTCGCGGTGGACGTACTGGCAAGTCTATAACATTTTTTACAGGCGCAGCACACGAAAAGTCGCTAGCTGGTGAATTTGCAAGGGTGTTGAGGGAAGGCGGGTACGACAACGAGGAGCTCCGGAATAAGTTCCCGATGACGATTAAAAAGAAGGAGCACAGTGCGTACGGAGCATTTTTCAGAGACGATATAGAGATGCCAGTAGGGAGGAAGAAGATTGTTTTTTAGAAATGTTTTGTTTTTAGATATACATAACATTGATGACATCAAAGACCCGAAACCGAGCCGCAAGTCCCCCTGTCTGGGACACATATATCAGGTTCCTCCGGACTAGCATAGCATAGCCAGCTGCTACCCTTTCCCTTTCCGCGGCTGCATATAGCCAACCAGCCCGCTTCCCTTGACCATGATGGGCCTCTTCAGCACTGCCAGTTCCCACATACGTGCAGCCGCAACAGGTAAGCGCGACGACGAGGGCGTCCCTACCGACACAGAGCCAGACGATACTTCCATCCTGTCCGTATACAGCTCTTTTATCGACAGAAATGATGCTCACTGTCCTTCAGAGACGAGAATGAAGGCTCGATTATCACTTCCCTCATCTCCCAATTACGGTATGCTCGCCGTCGTCGTTCCCTGTCTCGAAGGAAATTGAGGCTTTCGCAGCGTCGGCATGGACCTTTCAAGAGTTACCTTTCCGACTTTCGTCCTAGAACCTCGCAGCATGCTCGAGCGCATAACCGACTTTATGTCCCATCCAGATCTTATCTTCGGGTACGCCCCTTAGCTGCACAACAGAATATCCATTGACTTCGTGGAATAACACAGCGCAGAAGACATGGAGGATCCAGAAGAACGCTTCTTACGTGTCCTTCAGTACTACCTCGCAGGATGGCACATCAAGCCAAAGGGCGTCAAGAAGCCGTGCGTCCCTTCTTCTCAAACATTCTTTCCTCACATCGACCGCATACAGCTATAATCCTATTCTCGGGGAATTCTTTCGATGTCGGTACGACTATCCAAATGGCACCCACGGATACTACATCGCAGAGCAAGTCTCGCATCACCCGCCGGTCTCGGCGTTTTACTACATCTCTCCTGCCAACCGTATTATTATCCTCGGTGAGCTGCGGCCCAAGAGTAAGTTCCTGGGGAACAGCGTGTCGACAACGATGGAGGGCGAGAACAGGATCTTGCTATTAAGCAAGCCGGAAGATGGAGGTGCGTTTCCCTCGTTTCGTTCCTGCACCCGGGCTGTGCTCTGACATCCAACAGAATACGTGATTACCATGCCCAACATGTATGCACGCGGCATACTATTTGGAAAGATGGTTCTAGAGCTGGGGGATACGTGTATTGCTAAGAATGAGAAACACGGGTTATATTGCGACCTTGAGTTTAAAACCAAGGTATGCATATCTCTTTGATTTTTCCTTCTTCCTTAACGGCATCCAGGGCTTCTTCTCTGGAACATACAATGCTATCAGCGGCAAGATCCGTCGAAATACAACAGAGATTGGCGAGGTGTCCGGGCGGTGGAGTCATGTTATGGATTTCAAGAGCACTAAGGCCAGTCTACGTCATATTTTACGCCTGCTCCTCTCTGATCGAGCTCCCTCTAGACAACGACAGCGGCGCGTGTTGTTCGACGCCGTTAAAGATGGGCAGAATATATCGCCCAAATGGGTTCCTTCTGAGGAAGAGCAAGAGCCCAACGAGTCTCGCAGACTATGGAGTGATCTGACAAAGGCTATTCTAGACAAAGATATGGAGGCGGCGACAACTGCAAAATCAGCAGTTGAGGACGCACAGAGAGAGAAGAGGAAGACCATGGCACATCATGGACAGAAACACGTACCAAGATTTTTTATGCACAAGAACGGGAGATGGGAGCCAAAGATTGAGTATGCATCTTTCAGACTCTCTTCTTGTACGCGTCAAGGTATTGACAGTAAACACAGGATTCCGGCAGATCCAATTGAAGCAGAGCGGGTAGTGAACGTGTGGCTGAAGCTCGCTCCATCCGCTCCGCCCACAGAGAAGACATAACGACTTCGTCCCTCCAGTTTTACACATCAGTTCCGGGTTACCATCTGTTGTCACGATATAATTAATGCACGCTTATACTTACACACTGACATAGTAATGCAATTCCATTTCCGAGTGTACAGTGAAAAGAAGAGGGTATTTATGTACAATCAGCAGTGAGGTGGGTAATAGAGCTTGAAAGACTTGGGGATAACGTATATATGTGTGTAAACCAATGTGTTAGCCAATGATGAAATGGATGGTGATGCAAATAGATAAAAGCAAGACTGAATGTAGGATACCGACAACAGGGATAGCCATAGATGAATGAGTGATAATGCACATGGATGATTGACAGCGTTGGAAAAGAGGGTCAATGAAAAGAACCTGTCTGGAAGATTTATGTCCACCAGCCGTCTTCGTCTACAGTTGGCGCCAACGATACAGTGCTCGGTGTAGGCGAAGGGGGCGCTGGTAGCCGAGATTGTCGTTTGGGTGCCCCTCGGCTTAGGGAAGTCGGATAACGAGAGGGGGCAGGTGGGTAGGTTGACGAATGGACCGGGACCCCATTACTCTTTGGCGCATGCATCGAGTCCCATACCGACGGCTGAGGAGGAGTATGTCCATTGGGCGTCACCGATCGCGAACGACTATACTCTGTGCTCGCACGAGAGTCGGGACGCGGTACACCGTTCCGAGGTCTGGCGGCTGCTGACGTTTTGATGTTCGCATTCCTAGATCGCTCGAATTCGGTTTGCATGACTTTGATTTTGGCTTCAAGGGCGTTGATTTGTTCGCGTAAGCGAGTCTCTCGGTCCTGGGCAAAGAATAATACTGTCAGGAGGATATAGTGGTGATGAAAGAGCACGTCTACCTTCGCCAAACGTTCATCCGCTTCACGCTCCTCTAACTGCATCTTCACCAACGAGTAATCGGTATCCAATTGAGCTTGAGTTTGTTCGGCTTGGTCCAGCATCGTCTGCGTGTGCTCGAGCTTGCCTTCATATTCTTTGGCACGATTCTCCCACTCGCTAGCCCGCTGTTGTGCTTGAGAGAGACTTTGGCGGGCGGTAAATGCCGCTTTCTCGCTGTTGGATATCCGTCCCTCTTGGTCCTTGAATCGTTTCTGCAGCGCCGAGTGTTCCCCTTCAAGCAACTTCGACCTATCACGGATGCGCTTAAGCTCCTTTAACTCTTCGTCGTCAGACTGGCGCATAAGGTTTGCAACCATCTGAATTTGCTCCGAAGCTTGACGAAGGCTGTCCCATTGACTCGAGTTCGTCGTAAGATCCTCATTTTGCCTGCGAAGAGCGGCGATAGTTTCCTCTGCCAAATCTTTGTCACGAGAAGCAAACGTCACTTTCAGTTCAAGAGCGTCAATCTGATAATTGGCATAATATGTCAGGCGTGTCATATGTTAAAACGAGATGACGGCATTTACCTTGGTCTTTAGCGTCCTTTTATCAAACAGCAGCTCTTGATTAGCTTTTTCAAGCTCAGCGATTCGTTCTTGATTAGACTGTGTTGCAACATCGGAAGATTGGAGGCGTGAAAGAGCTTTCGCTAGAGCATCTTGCAATTCTGTATTTCGAACTTCAACAACTGTGCTCTCCTCGGCTTTTGCCGTAGCAGAATCCTGTAATTCCTTCACTTGGGCCCGTAGTCGATCCCGATCAGCCTCCACAATGCCTAACTTCTCAGAAAGCATCTCCTTCTCAACGCGAACTTGTCCATGCGCGCCTCGAGCTTTGGCGACCTGGACTTGTAACTCGGTGTTGGCCTTCCTGAGGTCTTCAAGTTCATGTTTGACTACATCTCTCGAGAGCGCGAATTCGGCATGTGCCTGCTGGAGCACACTGGTAGCTACAGAGAAAGATTCCGGAAGAGCGTTGATCTTTTGGATGACGTCTTTATGAAGCCCCAAAATTTCGCCACTCTGTTCGGAGAGTGCGCGCTGTTTGCCCGTAAGCTCATCCACGACCGATTTGATATGGACAATGTTCTCATCCGGAGCAATCGGTTTATCCTCGACTTGACCTTTCGACATCAGTTCAATCTGACTTCCGATATCTTGTACTGCAGACAAAACATTCGAAGGAAGACCTGTCATGACATCCACAACATTACTCTGAGCCGACGACAAGTCTGATTGCAGAGAAGCAAGGGATCGTTGTCCTTCGACAAGTGTCGACAACGTGCTGTCGATGCTCTGAAGTGGCTCTAAAAGACCCGAAACGCTATCGGTAACGCGACTCGCGATGGTGTCCACTGTCAACGTCTTATCTCGGTTAGCGAGACGAGCGTCAAGACGCTCAACGACAAGGTCAGCGACTTGCTCCTTGATTTCGAAGGCGTCGATTGGTGCGATGGCTCGGGTGACAGCAGATGTGAGCTGAAGGCTGATGGCGTCGGTGTCAACAGCAGGGCTAGGCTCCTGCAGATTTGACAAAAGAGGAATTAACTGGTTAACAATGAGGCCAGCCGTCTCGCGTTTATCTGATGCAAGATCAATTAACTGGGATATGTTGGGTTTGACTGCTTGAGAGAGCTTCTCGGACAGATAGTCATAATCAACAGCGTCCGGACGAATGGAGCTGAGAACAGGAGACAGGGCAGATACTATAGCATCCACAATGGCATCTCGCTCTCTCGCCGGCGCTGCTCGTCCAATAGATTCCAAGCGAACCGACATTTCTGATATCGCCTCATTGACTGCCTGGATAGTGCGGGTACTATACTGCTCCAGAGCATCCGGAACGACCGGATTCAAGATAGGACGTCCTTTAGAGAAGCTCTGCGATATGTTGCTAAGCTCCTGCTTGAGATGGGCAAGCGTTTCAGCATGGGACTGTTCGATGACGTCTTTGATCAATTGGAAATCCAATTCCCCCCGCGCATCCAACTGAGTATCTTCCAAACTACGCGTGGCGGAATCACGGAGCTGAGTCCTGAATAGCGAAAGGACCTCACTTATCATGGCTTCTGTATTGGGATTCAATGTAGACCCTCCTCTGATATCACGACGGAGGACGGCGATCTTTTCATCCAACAGATCCTCGATTTTATGCAGCTCGAACCGGCTCGTCAGGTCCTTATTAATGACCGATGTCTCTGACATGGATGATGCGGTAGAGAAAGGATGCAGAGCATCAGGAAGCGATGATCGTCTCCGGGAATGGCGTGTAGATCCAAATACATCTTCAGTGGGCGACACCTGCCTATGACCGGGATCAGTAACCAGTCGGCTTCGGGATACTTTGTGCGAGATGGCAGGAACACTAAGATCATCCAACGAAGGACGAGAAACGTGTTCAAAGATTTCGCGAGAACTGAGCCGTGAGCGCACGGCTCGGCGGGTACGTTCCTCACCACCGTTATTGACTAAGGCTTTGAACAAACCGGCGGGGACGGTATTGTTCGATACAGTGTGCTTGAAGTCCAGCGGTATTGGTGCCCGTTTGGTTTTCGAGCTCGAAGGTAGTTCAAATGCATCCATTTGGGAATCACCGTACTCGGCGCGCGCAGTACTCTCGTCTTGTAGAGTTTCTTCAGCAGGTTCCGCAGGGGGTATCGGTGGTAAGGTTGCAGCAGCAGAAAAGCCAGCGAATGTAAATGGTTCTGCAGACGGGTTGGCAGAGGAATGCGCAGATCTATCAAGACGGGGTGATGGCATCTGATGGAGACCCGGAAGCGAATCAGCAACCGGCGGGAACTTGAATGACGCCATACTATCTCCTTCCTCCATAGTCTCAGTCGATCCGTGGCGTCTACGCTTTTCGCGGCCTTGAACCCGGAATGGTGACGACTGATCAACAGGGGGAACAGGGAGCGGTCGGTAAGGCTCTGCCACAGGGAATATAGGACCTGCAACCTTGAACGTGAAAGCACTGGGCTTAAATTCTTGTGCGCCAGCATTGAGAGTTTTGCCAAAGGATGGTGCACGCGAGTGAGTATGGTCACCAGAGCCAGTAAATGCATCAGGTTTCCAAGAACTCTGAAGCGGAGCGCCGAAAACGAAGGGTTTAGCATTAGGATTAAGACGGGGAATGGCTGGTTTGGGTTCAGGAAAGTCAGGTTTAAGGTCTGACGGGTGGCGCGAATGAGCTTGGGCTGGGTCGTGAATAGAGTGTTGTCCAGAAGGTAATCGAGAATGGGGAAGGGGAGGAAGAGGTCGAGACGAGCGTCCGCTCATATTTGAAGGGGGACGTTCATAGTAATTATGCACGCCAAGATAAACTTCGTGGTCATGCAATTGCTCTTCCTCACTGGGATTTGATATAATATCTTCCTCACCAGATCGAGCTAATACCATAGTATTCTCAGGCGGACGAGGGAAGTTGGGTATGCGTCTCGGCTGTTCAACATCTTGCTGCAAAGCCCGGCGACGCGCTCGTCGCTCAAGACGTTGCTGCCGTGCCCTTTCCTCGTCTGAAGGATTTGACCATTCCCCGATGCTCTGAACGAAAGATGAGTACAGAGACAGAACAGATTTTGGCCACCACACACCTCGTCGTCCGAACTTTCGAGGCCCATAAACACGTCCTCCGATCCCGTCCATTCTTCGACGCCATCTAAATCATGCTTCTCCTCCATGCTGTTGTTTCCGTCGGCTATTGGCTCCAAATCGGTCCTTTCGTTCAGTCCATCAGCATTGAACACACCAAACGACCTGAGAGAAAGCGCAGCCGATAATTTCGACGTATGTCTGGAATGGCGCTGGCTCTGTGAAGCCGTTGTCAAACCAGCGTCCTCCGTTCCCCGGTCTTCATCATCATCAACCTCTTGATCAAAGCCTTCTTCATCGGAGTCAGTCTGAGTCATGTTTTCGTCTTCTGCAGCTTCCTCTTCCTCTTCTTCCTCTTCGGGGATATCAAGGCCAAACCCTCTATTAAAATCTGGCCTGCTGTCGGGGCGACTAACGGATAGAGGTGGAGGTACCAAAGATGGAAGTGCAACAGGGACTCGGCCTTGAGGAGCATGAATTTCGCCGATGCCAGAAGGGCCAGGAGAAACACGCGGCGAACGCGAGGGCATTTGATCAGAACCTAAAACAGCATCGTGTCCAAACGGATTCAGCGCGGCGGCAGGCCCGCTGTTGTAAGGATATAGGGGTTGCGTGGGTGGCTGGGCCAGAGACATGCTGTGGCCGTGTCTGTTCACCATAAATCTTGGTCCTTGTTGATGTGGCGATGGTGACATGCCAAAAGACGGCTGAGGTGAAGGGGCCAAAGAATTATTGGATGACGCGTTTTGTGATTGCTGGAGTTTGTTGAGCTTGAAGAGCAGAAGGGCAGGATCTGCAGGAGAAGATACCTGGAGCGAACCATGAAACTTAGGGTATACGCAGAATGATAAGACATACCGATGCCGCACGCGCATGAGGTGCATATATATGAGGTACGTTGCTCCCTGATCCGCGCTCTACGCCCAGTTTCTCCAGTTTCTCTTCTATGGCCATTTGCTTCATTGTGTCCCAAGCGCTCTGTTATGCCAAGTCAGTAGAGATAAAGGGAACAACGTAAAGATGGTCTAACCTTGCCTGGTAAAAAGACATCAATGGTTGGTGGAATACCATATCTCCAGTCTTCCGAGGGGTATATCTCTACTGAGTACGTTTCTACCGCGGTGACGTCAGGAAGTGGCAGAATAACGGGATCGCTCAAAGGATTCCTCGCCCACGGAGCGCGACCGACTACTTGTCCATTATCTCCGATGATATCCTCCTTTGGGAGATTGACAACAATCTTTTTGGGTTTTGCTTGTGGCGCGGGGGACGTACTTGATCCAGTGGCTGCTACTGCAGCAGGGGGTATTGGACTGAGTTTACGATTCGGCCCTCCTAAAACGGCCTTGGGAGGACCTCCAATGCTAAGCTGTCTCCTGTTTCTGCCAGGAAAAGGATGGCCTCCAGGAGGACCATTCATCATCATGGATGGCCGCGAAAAGTGGCCGCCCATAGGCGTCATGGGGTACCCGCTGGGAGGATGAATGCCAGCAGCAGCCAGTTGAGCAACGCTGGCCTGTCCGGCGTGGTGGGTTGGTCGACCTTGGGCAGACGGAACTTGAGGGAAAAAGTTTTGCATGGGAGTTTGCATAGGAAGAGGAGGGTGAAAGCCCTGCTGAATAGATGTCGGTAGGGCTGGGGAATACATCGTTTGCATGGGCTGCTGCATATTGAGCGAGGCCGGTATATTGAGCCTTGGCAAGGCGTCACGATGCCTCGCCATGGTCTACGAATCTTGAGGAGACAGCGAGGAATAAGGTGAGGGTGAACGAGTCGGACGATACCGACGGCGGCACGACAAGAAGTGACAGGTGAAAGCGTCGAAGATGGTGGTCGACGACAAAGGGTATAATGAAGAAAAAGGGCTCCGAGCGACTTCAAAGGCGAGCAATGCCGGCAGACCACTGCACGCTATAAGTACAACCCGTTGTCCCACCACCAAGCCGTGGTCAGTGTCGCAAAGGCACAGAATATACACCACGTGCTACCACGTTCTCAAACAATATCACTCACTGTCCCGGCGAAGACATTCACTGTAGCGTTATTTAACATTAAAGTTAGCAATGTTTCTCCTTAAATACTCCAGCTTCGATTAACGATTGGTGTACCGAGGACAATAAGTAGGAATCCAAGCACCCTAGTAACAATGCCTACCCATTCGCTAACTGCGGGGTTGTCGGTCAAGTGGCCTTGACGGACACAAGATGAGATGGTAGCAGGTTTAATGTAGCCATTGGGGTACATGCGGTGTACACCAAGCCTTGAAAAGCATGTTGGGCTCCCGAATGGTAGGTTCATCAAAACGCGAAGTTATCCCAAGTGTAGCACTTCCGAGTCGGTAGAAGATACCTCGCTTGATGTGTTCTTTTGTTCTAGAAGAGAACTCGGACGCAGAAGCGGCTCCGAAAGAATCAGAATTACAGCCATAGCTACTTAGAACAGGTAGAATATATGATGTCCACATTGGCTTCGATAATTGTCCAGAAATGCGCATACTTATAGAGAAGGTAAGATCGGCAGGAAGTAAACCTAAGCGAATCCGATATTCGTACCCTACGTCGGCTGGTGTGAGATTTAACGTATTCCGCTTCCAACAACGGAATAGCACGATTAAATTGGGCAGGGTCGTGCTATGTGCCTCGAGTCGTGGTTGGGAGGGCGAATATACGACTGTAATTGAAGGGATAAACAACCTGTTCGAGTCTAATAGATACTAATCACTGTCTTCAGAAAGTAAATTAAGAAACGTCCTTCTCAAAACTAGCACTCCGTGTCGTGCTTAACTTCCGCATGACCGCATCCGTTGGACTCGATATCATTTCCTAGGCTCACACTTTCCATGAGAATAGCGGATCGCGGGCACGTAGCCGCTGTACTATCTCCTTGGTATAATGCCGGTGTCCTGGTGGACATGAGACCGGCTGTAAAGGGAGGAAGAGTCACTGCTGCCAAGTCCCTCGTCGCCTGCTGCTTCTCGGACCATTTACTACCAGCAGACCAAACGGTGGCAAGCAACACGGCGATGATTTCGAAATATACGTTGGTTATGATGATGTACGTGGCGTCGAGAAATAATTGAGCCTTGAAAGCAAGGACAAATTGAACGAAGGAAAGCATGACGGGAAAAACGAAATTGGAGACAGCGATCCAGAATAAAGTGCTGATACGTTTTGAATAAGAGGCTGTGACGTGGTCAACTTCAGCGTCATAGGGTAAACCGTACGACTTACTCGGCTGTTCAACCCGACAACCTACATGTCGACTCTGTCTGAGGCGATAGAGAAAAATCGCCGATGCATACCTGAAGAAGAAACGTCAGAGTTGACTCCTATACATCATATCACGACCTACGCATTGTCGAGCATCTGCAGAAACCACTCAATTTTTTCGGAAGGAAGTTGCCATGACTGTTGCGCAACAGCAATAGGATTTCCTCCCGCCAGGATGGTAGGAAACCACGTAACCCAGTATACCAAAATGTTAACAAGCCGGGCAACCTTCATGCAACACAGTGGAATGTAAACGATCATGAGAGTCGACCGAGATGTTCTTCGAAGAGGATACACCGTCAACACCCTAAGCACTAAAATTGATTCGGAGAAGAGCGGCAAGGCATTGATGAAAATCGTGTACGCGATGACGGTTGTGCCAGCTATTGTCAACTCTGGAGACAACATAGTCGTAAGCTACGAATCCACATGGATGGTTCAGCTGGAGTGTAGTCCATGAGGTCAATGACGCTCACCCCATTATAGTAAGACAGGACGCCCAAGGCTAGACCCATGATAATAGATGCGACATTCAGCATGAAGATAGGTGTTCGCCTCAATGACTTAGAGGAGAACAGAAACAATGTGAAGAGAAGTGGAATCAAAACTGAAGACCATGCTGAGGTTAGAAGTAACAATTTCAGAGAAGGGCGAATGACTGCGAGATAGTTAAGCCCGGCAGGAGGCGGAGGATAGCTTGCAGGAGTGGACGACATTGTAACAGCTTTGAGTCTGCATCTGTAGAAGTCCAGCACATTTTTGTACTAAGGTCGAGGATAGTTTAGTGGAGGGTACAAGCGTTTCAGGCTTTGATGTCGTCAGTACAGTTAGACTCGGGAAACGTGCTACTGAGAAGTCTGTTCTTGAGCGCATCATATCGAGTAAAGCAGTGGACCGCGGATCCTGTAAGTGCTGGCATGCGATGATGATAATGAAGAATTAGAAGATGAACAGCGGTCGTTGTCTGGTACTTAACCCCAGAGCAGTTCACAGAGGCTGATGATCGGGACCCACACTACCGCGCTACTGAGGACTGGGACTGATGTATCATTGATATTTGCTTTGTTGGCATCGTAAACGCGTGCGATACCGCATGCTGATATCAGGTAGGGCAATTCTAGGAGTGAGAAGAAGGGTCACATATCGTCACCGTACTAGGTACGCCGCCAACGCGGCAGGCTGGGCCACTTTTGAAGTACAGCCCCACTTCCGGTATCCTGCCTTGCATAGAACATGGCATACCGTATTGTGATATGGCATTGGGGGCCAATCGGCAGTGAATCGTGGAAAACTTGACCGTGCAATGACCCAAGGGAGAATCCGGTTTGTTTCAACGGAAAAAGTCTAGCATTTCAGCATGTTTTAACAGCTAAAGTTAGGACTACTAGAATAGAGAGATCTTGATTCGATGTACAAGCTACACGCACATCTTTCAGATAAATAGCGCATCAACAAAGGCGCTGGTATTGAGGTCGCTTGGAGTGATGAAGATGCGTGTAATGAAACTTTTGTGATCCATCTGAAACTACCGTCAACGATCCGAATCAATTTGAGGCGGAGACTGAACCATCTCACATAGCTGACGACGTTTCAAAATCGGCCCCCCCTCCAGAATCCGGGTCGACATCTAATACCTATCTCTCATCAAGTCAAACTACTACTACAGAGTGAGTTCAAGTGATTGACGCCTTGACTTCCGCATTTTGACGTATGAACTCACAGGTAACACCCGGTTAAAATGTAAAAAGACGGAACCCTCTGAATCTTCCTTTGTTTCTGATTCTTGACTACCTTCAGCACATCTTGCACTTCAAGTGCTTACTTTCTGATGCCAATGCATGATGACTTAAATGTCAACGCACTGGGCGGCAGCCATAAACGCGCCGCCTACGGCCACGTGCTAATTGTGGCAATTTAAATTTAAAATCCTTTTTTTTGTACGCGTTTAATTAGGATTATTATTTTGTCTTGGCCACTCTTGTCACTGCGCTTCTCTTTCGTGTCATCCCTCATTTTGCACGCGGCTCGTCCCCTTGGCCAGCCCGTACTCCATGGAGGAGCTTACCTACATCATCCATCATGTCTTTTTACCTCCAAAGTTACCTCACGGAGATGATCGAGAGTCAGCAAACGATATCGCGCTCTGTCGCGTCGTCCTGGATTCTGCGAAAAGGTTCCAGGTGTCACGTTCAAATTCAGACCACTGGGAGTCAATTGTAAAGATGCTCAGAAAATTCAAGGCTTCGCAAAAACATGGAGCTCTTTCACCCGCAGAGGTAGAGGAACAGTTATCAGAGATGGTAGATGGAGGTACGGCGCGTTGATATCCATAGCGATGACTGCTAATGCAAAATATGTTCCAGATGTTTTGACATACTACATTCATGCCCAAAATGCGGGCGTCATCTTTCGGATGGTGGATGATGAAGTCGTCTTTGAGTGCTTCGAAGCCGCCATTCCCAGCGAGCAAGTGATGGCCGCCGTAGGAAAGCTCATACGTTCTTTTCCCGGTCCCGCAATCTCGTTCTCATCAGAGCTGCTTAGCGACCCCGACTTCTGTCGTGAGCTAGCGTCATTCCTGGTACACATGAGCAAAGATATCCTGGATCCCGCGGCTAAGCTGCCGGAAGATGGTGGCAGTACCAACGCACAAGAGAGGAGAGTCCCTCATCCTCGCTACATCACCCAGCTCCTCACTGGCATCTTGTATGGCCTCGAAGGAGGTTCCTCTGCGAATGTCCATCGCTTTACAAAAAGGATAGGCGATGATATTCTATCAGACAGAACTCAAGCACCCTGGCGACGTTCACCTTTGTGGCTCGTCCTTCGCGTTGCTTTGCAATCGAGTCTTTACGAAGGTTTGTGGTTTTGTGTCATCTCCAATTTCGGTCTTATGCCCCTATCCAGGTGATGGCCACGCGGAATACAAATCATTCATGGCGTTCTTTATGGCCGGAATCCTGGAGCGTGCTCTAAAGGAGAATCTGCGCGACAACGACCTACTCTTCTGTATGAGGGCGAAGATATGTGGTCGAATCTACAAGCTTAGCACTGCTGCTCCGCAGTTTGTGGTTCAGCGTGTCGAGGACATCGCGAAACGCGTGGAAGGTCTTTTACAGAAGAAGTGGAAGGGGATTCAAAACAACCAGGAAAAGTCGTCGCGATGGGGGCCTGATAAACTTGATATCGTGGCCGATACGACTCTGGCCCTTCCACAGTCGAAACCAGCCGCCAAACGAATACTCCAATACGCTGCCACGATCCATACGCCATCTGTGTTCCAGGCCGAACATGTCCCTCGCCTTCGAAAGACGCGTAATTTCCATGACTTCACTCGCGACAAGCTCAGCGGGGCTTTTACAGCTGACGCACGCGTTGCGTTAGCCGATTTCGAGTTCTGTGTCCAAAACTATCTGGATGTCTGGTTAATCCGCGCTTTGACGGACGCGTCGTCTTCTGCCACTCTTTCCGTTTGTGTGGAAGAGTATATGAAAGCTGCAAGGAATGCGTACGCATCAAACCCAGAGGATGAATCGATCATGATTTTAACTCTAATGGATCTATGGGTTGCCATGGACAAAGTTGCCGTGTCTCAATGCCCATTGTTAAGCGAATACTCTCCGGAAATCCCCCTTGATCTTCTTCAGCCGATTCTTCTGCGCAAGTCAAAGACCTTTCAACGTCTGGGAGAAATATATCGGTACCTGCGGCAACGCCACGAATCTGTTATAGGCGGAAGCAGTGTATTTGATACCCAGGTCACCGACGACAGCTTCGCTGTGCGATACTACAATTCTCCTGATGGTGATGGGTATCAGGACCTCAAAGCGCGGATCGAACGTGACGCCAACAAGGAGCGGAAGCGGGTGATCCAACAGATGAAGTCTAACCATACCAGACGCTCAAACCTTGTCACTGAGGCGGATGGATTAGGTCATACCAAAGTCAAGAAGACTATAGGTCGAGGTCGCACTCGGCGAGAAGAGTACGTGCATGATACGAATGCTTGTCGCAAATGCCAGGCGGAAATGGAGATTCGCACTATGAAAACAGAAGTACACGAATGGCCACTTCCTCCCGAAAATTCTGTGATGGAGAAGCTCGTCCTGTTCGAGATGGTACCCCCCGAAGTGTTCAAACATTGGAGATCGACGACATATTCCATTCTTCATGACGTCTGCATCCCAATTTCTTCTCGCAAGAATGAACGTGCTCGTCCTCCCGTAACGTTAACTTCATATCGTCCCCTCCAGGGCTACATCCAAGAAGCAGATGGTCCCGGAAAAGTAACACTGGCTTCCTTGGCACAACCCCTGACTAAGAATAATCCGTACCATGCTCTGCCATGCTCGGAATCTGATGTCTGCCAACCTAATGCGCTGAATTATCGCCTGTATGATGCAGATGGGGATGTTTGGATTGACGATCCCTTCGAAAGTTGTGATATTCGGGATCTCTGTACCCTTCGCATCACTGCGGACGGCGTATATGACGGTCTGACATACGCAATCCGGGATACAACCCATTCTTCAAACGAGGTCATCGCAAACCAATCAGATTGCCCTCAAGGGCTAACCTTGCACGAGTACGAAGCGTTCGGTAGTTTACGGGCCGGGCCCAGACTACAGTGGTTTAATATTGCTAGAGAGCTGAGATCTCGTATACTCACATTCAGCCGTGACCCAGTACATACGCTTTTGACTCAAAGCGCGTGGCAGGTGGGCATGGTGTCCGATAACGGTACCTTCCAGTGGCACCAGGAGTTAACGTCTCCCGACTTCTGTGAGCTCCTTCTGACAGAGCTAAATGATCTGTTAGGGAGTGTTGAAGCCAATTGGCTTGAAGGTGTCACTGTGCGGACGATCATTTTGCTGACTAGTCGAATGCTAGCATCCGCGGCATCTACTTCAGAACCTGCCGTCGACTTGGCGTATCAGTTGCTCCGTCGGGCTAGAGGGATAACATTTTCGTGGATGCGCCAACTTGCCAGCAAACTCCAAAGAGCAGAAGAGGAAGACGCCATCCGTGATTTTCAACGACGTGTTTTTGAGATAGCGGCGACGTGTCGTTGTACCTACGATGTGGATCCTATACATTTCGCCAATCTCCTTCAATCTCGCGAGGACGTTACTATTCTGATTGAATGCGCGATCACAGTCTATGACAACTCCCCTGATAAACCACAGGCTATGTCACAAGATTTCCAGAGGTTGTTGAAGCGGGATGAACGTCTCGCTTGCTATATTGAGCCATGGTTATGCAAGAGATTGACTACAGGAACACAGGGCTTGAACGATGCTATCAAGTCTATATGGCCAGGATATCGATCAAACCTTCAGTGGAGTATGGTCGAGGAGCCCAATGAACGTTGGATCACCACAAAGACCGTTGCCGACGCTAACCAACAGGCGCAGGAGGTGCACTTGAATCTGTTGACAGGCTCGCTTCTCATCAATGGAAAACCACTTGGTCGTCTTCCACGGTCTATAACTGGGCATGCGATGTATACACGTATTTTTGGTTCAGTGGGTCTCTTCTGCTAATGTGCACGAATGATTCGTCCTAACCTTTCCCTTTTACAGAAAATACTTGACGTCGTTCCCGCCGATATGCCAGGTACTGAGTTTGCTTGTCGGTGCCTTATCGCGGATTGGCAGGTTGGTTCAATACTTCCTTAGTTTACAGAAATGGGAACTGAACTTGTGTTAGGTCTTCTTGGGACTGGATGACGGCCGTCTCATCGTGCGCACCAAGAAGGATGATCAAGTCCTGGAATTGATATCTTATCACGAGTTCAAACGAGACCTACCGACGCCCTTCGTCGAGGATTACGGTCATTGGCTTGATTTAAGCACGCACGAGATCGAATTTAGACCACTTTCCAGTTTATGGAAGTCATCTCCAGCGCACTGGCAAATTTCGTCTCTCGATTCGAATCCCAAAATGACCAACCCATCTTCGCACATGATCGACATTCATAGCCCTACCTTCTATATGGTGGCGTCCCGACTGAAGGCTCTAGAAGACCCTGAGTTCATAATCATCACATCACCATCCGACTCTCCTAATCAATTCCACGTTGAACTCCCACGCTTCCAGCTGTCCTTTTTCTTGAACGCAGATAAAGCCCTGGAATGTCAAAACCTTCCTGAAATGCTTATCGACGACAATCAGTCGGCCGGGACTCTTTTTGGACTCAACAATTATCTAATCCTTCGCTCCAAGGATGATTATGATCTTCCTCGTTGCAGGCGCATTCTCATACCATACGGAGAGGTTCGCTATCAGCAGTGGCAAGACCACGTCAGCATTTCCATTGACCGTGGTTCATCCCGAAAGGTCGTCTATCACGAATACATGATCGACAGTGACATGGGTTGTCTGGTCAGCCATACGAGTTTGCCCGGAAAGCTGTACCAAATTTACCTCCATGCACTAAGCAGTTATTGTCTCCCGGACCCTTTGACGCAGCAGACGGGAACAGAAGAAGCTCTTCGCGAACTTCAGTCTGCTGCATGCTTTTCGTTCCAGTCGATCCAGAAAGAAGAAATTGCCCTGCTGAATAAGATCGGTGCCCTGACTCCGCGTCGCTCGTGGACTTCCAAATCACAAACCAGCCACCATGTTCATTGGCAAGCCGGCGTGTCGACTCTGTCTCAACACTATCACTTTTCTAAGCTTGTCGGATCCATTTTGCAGCACGTACTTGCTATGCAAGTCTTTGCAGATAAGCCAGATGGTGACATCGAGAATAAAGATCTTACGCCGTCCCGCCTTGCACTCCGTGCAAATTTCCGTCTAGCGGCGTTCTATCCTGAGGAGTTTTCATTTGCTCTTTCAAAGAAGAGGGATGTGGTTCATCAGTCTCGAGATCTTGAGCGTGAGGATGAGAATATCTCGTCGAACATGTCACGCATGGTACAAATTGGGCCGTCCGCCCCAGCGCAACCCCCGAGTCTACTAACTAGGCTTTACGAGTGGAACAATATTGGACCCTCTGACAGTGGCGTGGACTTTTCCTTCTCTTATAAGAGGCACTGGCTTGGTGCATCATATTTAAAACGAAACTGGATTCCGTTCATCTACTCAGTACGGTCGAGTCCGCAAACCCCCGCGTCTCTCAAGAGGCGTCGCTGGCAGTCGATCTTCAGTTTCTCCGCCCTGGCATATTGTGATGATGAATTTCGACCTATGATTCCCTCACTCTTGGCATTGGTGGTGCCCTCCAATGTGCATAACATACAGATCGATCAACCGTGGGCGAAGTCGGCTTCATCGCTATATCTTGATCTTTCAGTTGGAACGAAGCCTAGCCAGACAAGAGTGAAGGAGATGATTGTAGAGATGACTGTGTCCCTGCAGGACAGTCCTGCTGGAGAGCTCAAGCAGCGTGCTACAGAGGAGTACGATGCATTTCGCGACAGGAGACGTTTGGCGTACGAGAATCTTCAGACGCAGCAAGCCCAACAACTATTGCAGCGTCTCTTCCGCGCGTGGCCTTGCGAAGACCCGACCCTGACCACCCGCCAAGCAGCTGATTTCACTATGTTTGACGTTGCTACAGCCATGGTGAAGGTGAAGCCCTATTTCAGAGCCTGTTACCACAATGACCGCGTAGTGAAGGTCATGAGCACAGCACAAGCCATTGTCAATGATGCGTTGCTAAATGCCATGACAGAAACAGTGCCACAGTATCGCTTCAACCCCTGCACCGAAAGCCATAAGTCTATGGCGTCCACTATATCTATCTCTCGGTTATTTACCAAAAGAGATCTGACCACTGCCGACGCTTTCATGGTCCCATTCCGCTCACTTGATCTTTCCAATTCCACACGTGCGCCATCAGATACCACTGAGCTCGGATCTCTCATCAACGAGTTCCAACAAAGCTCCGATATGTGTAAGAAGCTCTACGGTAAAGATCTGGAGGGAAGTCGGCTGTCATTGCTGTCTCAACCTCCCGCGCCATCTATGCCTGCCTCGATTCTTTGGACGATCGAGGATGCTGAAAATTATCGCGATGAATGTCGACAGTCTATGAGGCAAGCACTCGAAAATATTAAGAAGACATTGACACACTGCTCTTCTCGTAATCAGCGCGCCCTTCAGCTTGCTGGGAAATGGCCACGACTTACTCCCAGGTCCATTCTGCGTCGCATTCTGACGGTTGAAGATATTCCGACAAGCAGTATAACAGAATATGCGTTTCTGTACTTGGAGTACCAACGGTCCCAACGGTTACTTCGTGCAGTCATCAACGGGAATACCACCGAATTTTACAAGGAGGAGCGTAACCACACTGTTACGGCCGTGACTTATCCTGAGTGGATATTACTCCAGGTTAGTTACTCCTCAGTTTGCTGTAGCCTTATTGATAACATCTTTTCTTTCTAGGTGGAGAACGACTTCATCTGCCGGCCTATTCAGACCAAGGTTGCCAAAGAAATCATCTCACCCTCGTCAAAGCAGAATTCTGTCCTCCAACTCAATATGGGAGAAGGAAAATCTTCGGTTATTGTTCCCATGGCTGCTGTTGCTTTGGCGGCGGGGGAAGCTATCGTCAGAGTGGTGGTGCTCAAGCCCCTTGCCAATCAGATGTTCCAGATGCTTGTTCAGCGTCTGGGAGGACTTTTGAATCGACGCATTTTCTACATGCCCTTTTCTCGGCAGCTTGACGTTACCGTTGAACGAATCGAGCTCATTCGCAACTTGTATGCGAAGTGTATGGAGGCGCGTGGAATTCTGGTCATCCAGCCTGAACATATTTTATCGTTCCGACTGATGTGCATCGATCGTCTAATACATGCACCTGTTGATCCCGACGAAGAGGACGTAGAAACCCCGTCCGCTGCCTTGCTGGACTTACAAGAATGGATAACCGCACATTCTAGGGACATATTGGACGAGAGCGATGAAATCCTTCATTGCCGATATCAACTTATCTATACTATCGGACAACAGCGGCCTTTGGAAGGCTATCCCGATCGTTGGACGACAATACAACAAATTTTCACCCTCGTCGCGAGCTGCGCTCGAGCCATTCAGGAAGAGTTTCCTCTCGGAGTCGAAGTCCGTTCACGGGATGGTTCTTTCCCATTTTTCCGTATCACTGAACGCGAAGCCGGCGACGCTTTGGTGGCCAGCGTCTGTGAAAAGATTCTCAACGGGCAACTCCCAAATTATCCGTTTTTCTCACGACTTCCCATCGATGTCGTACAGACTTTCATCAGTCAGCTTCACATTGACAAGGATCTAGCTCGAGCTATCCAGAATCAATGCTTCGAGACTAATACATGGCGTCTTCTTCTTATGCTCAGGGGATTATTTGCGCATGGAATTCTTCACTATGTGTTATCCTCACGCCGCTGGCGAGTTGATTATGGTTTGGATCTTAGTCGAAGTCTTCTAGCGGTACCATACAGGGCCAAGGATGTCCCCTCCCTATTGGCAGAATTCGGCCATCCCGATGTCGCCATTTCTCTGACTTGCTTGTCCTATTACTACAGCGGATTGACAGAGGGCCAACTCGAAACTTGTTTTCAGCTCCTGTTCAAGCAGGATGACCCGTTATCGGAATACGAGACCTGGATTAAGATCAGTCACTCCATACCAGCTCAGTTGCGTCATCTCAGTGGGGTTAACATCAAGGACAAGGAGCAATGGTCGACTTACATTGTTCCCCTGTTTCGCCAAAACCATGCTGTTGTCGATTTCTTCTTGTCGCAGGTTGTGTTTCCAAAACAGGCAAAGGAATTCCCGTCAAAACTCTCCTCCTCAGGATGGGATCTTGCGGAGAGCAAGCCCAATGTAACGACAGGCTTCAGCGGCACCAACGATAACCAATATCTGCTGCCCACATCTATTCAGCAATGCGACCCCCTCAATCAGCAAAGCACGAATGCGAAGGTCTTGACGTATCTTCTGCAGCCCGAGAACAATCATTATATGTGTTTGCATAATTTACATAACGGAAATAGCCCAACTGCCCAAGAATTTCTTGATCTTCTAGTCCAAGAACAACCTGAAGTACGGGTACTGTTGGACGTTGGGGCGCAGATGCTCGAGCTTCGCAACGAGCAGCTGGTCGAACATTGGCTCTCTCTACGTCCGGACTTGTCGGCAGCTGTGTATTTTAGTGAATCGGACGAACTGATGGTGCTGGATCGACGCGGTAGCACAGAGCCACTGCTGTTGTCCCCCTTCAAGTACCAGCTGGACAAATGCCTGGTCTATCTTGACCAAGCCCATACGAGAGGCACAGATCTCAAGTTGCCTCTTACGTTCAGAGCAGCAATAACGTTAGGATCGAAGGTAACAAAAGATCGCCTTGTGCAAGGTCAGTTTGTTCTCATTCGAGCTTCATCATGTACTAATGCGTTTCGTATAGGTGCCATGAGAATGCGGCAGCTGGGACAGGGACAATCAGTGATGTTCTTCGCGCCGCTTGAGATAGACCAAAGAATCAGGAAAGCAGCGGGGAAACCTGAATCAGCGGCGTTGGAAACAACCGACGTTTTGCGATGGGTCATGATTGAGACGTGTGACGATATCACGCATCATGTTCCTCACTGGGCACAGCAAGGGTTAGACTACATCCGGAGGAGGGATGCCTGGGACTCTTACATTGCTTCGGAGTTGGACGATCACCTTCTCAACCCTTGGATTCAACCAGAAGGACGCTCTCTCGTGGATTTATACTGGGTGAATGCAAGCTCTGCGACGACAAATACATCTCTCATGAACATTCCCGAACTTCGAGACCGTTGTCGGAAGATTGGCGTCACATTTGTATTCGACAGCAACATGGACGAAGAACAGGAAAGGGAAGTGAGTCAAGAAATAGAGCGAGAACAGCAGATTGAAAGGCCGGCAAAGTGCAAACCCGCGACGCATTCCATTCACCGCCACGTTCGTAGTTTCATCGAAACTGGCACCATTCGCTCGAACTCTACCTTCGTGCCGTTATACCGTCCTCTCAGAGGCCTCGAATCGTTTAGCGGGGACGCGTGGGCGTCTCGGCTATTATGCACCAGTGATTTCACGAGGACTGTCGTACGTGAGGATAATGTCACCGTACGGGGAAGGTTCCAAGATCCCTCTTCGCAATTCCTGAGATCCGTTAACTGGATCGTGTCTTCCAAGAAGGGCGACGAACTGCGATTGGTCGTGCTCAGCCCATTCGAGGTTAACGAACTGTTGCCTACTATACGAACCAGCAAGGTCGTACGTCTTCATGTTTACGCACCAAAGGTGACTTCGACGACAAAGCCATTCGACGATCTTCAGTTCCATTACTTCCCCCGGCTGCTCAGTCCTCTCGACGTGTTCTCTGTCGATAGCCATATAGTGACGCAGCTCAATATCTTCGCAGGCCAATTATACGTGACGGATTTCAGCGCTTACCGTACGCTTTGCTCATTCCTGGGTCTTCACTTGGCTGGAGAAACCGACGGGCTTCCATTCCAAAGCGATGGATTCATCACGAAGCGATACCGTTCACAAGGGGGTCGACACGACATTTCTCCCTTTACGAAGAGCCCCGTTCCGTTCTTGAAGGAATTGTTTGGGCTACGGAGGAAGGGCAACACGTATTTGTCCACACATATTGGCAAGTTGCTGCACGGACACTCATTGACACCAGAATCGTTTTCCTGAATTTCGTGAGTTTGTCGTTGGTGCTCAGCGGAAAACTTACTGACAGCCGTTGTAGTGCATACTAAATCTGCGTTTAAGGATAGCCCAGGATTAGGTTGCTTATAGACTAGCAGTGTTATAATTTTTAGTTCCGACTTACGTTCTCAATTCTACATGTAATACTATAGAAGTAATGGAATCGTCCAAATTTGAAGCGCTAGTAAACTGCTGTGAGAATTATTGATAGATATCTTTATGACTCTCGTCAAGCTTTCGGATCAAGTATTCACAATGTTGTCTGATCCATCATTTCTTCCGCTAAATACAGGTTGCTTCTGTTCTTCACTACGCTAATGCTTCCTTCAAGATGTCAATGATTCTCTGCACTTCTTCCACCGTATTATAATGAACCAAGGATATGCGGACGACACCGTCATCTACATCGAGCTTCGGCCGAAGTCCATCCACCAGGCTATAGGCGTAAAAATGACCATAGCGAATGCCAATCTGAAAAATAAATATACTTATTAGGACAAAATTCCAAATGCTTGAGAGACAACATACTCCGCCCTTCTGGTCAAAGATCTTCACGACATCTCTGCTCTTCATTGGCCTTTCACCGACAACGACAAAGCTTATAGTCGGCACTCTCATCAGCCCCGGGTACTCTTCACCTACTACCCGGACCCCTCTGGCTTGCTGATCAGCATGGGTTAAATATGCCAGGAGAGGCTCGACCAGTGTCTGCTCATGCATGGCTATGGCTGCAAATGTGGCTTTCAAGTCGTTCTCCGGGGTCAGCGAAAGCAAATACGGGATCACCCCAGTGGTCCCATAGACAAGCTCATAACCAGGTCCGCCGATCTGGAGCTTCCCCGCAGAGTGTTTCACGTCGAGGAAATGATGGACGATGGATGAGAGCGAATACTGGAGCGCTTGGGAGCGGATGTATAGAGCAGATGCGTGAGGTCCATATACCTACAGTGATAGGATCAGAACTAATAGAAGGGTGGCGAGCGCCCTGTTTCATACTTTGTAGTATGAGAATACGCAATAGTCGATATCCCAATCTTGCACATCGATCAATCGATGCGGGGCATAACCGACGCAATCAATTGATATCTCGACCTTCGCGGCGCCCGCCTCTTGAGCGGTCAAGCGAGCCGCTCTGACGATCGCCTTGACGGGAACGATAGAGCCTAGAATATTGGAGCACGCAGTAAATGCGATTATCCGAGTACGAGAGGTAATCAGAGGCAGGAGGTCCTCGACTTTGAGGCTGACAGAGTACGGGTTATTGGGGCTCGTGGGAGTGGAGCTCCAATACTTGAGGACAGCCCCCTTCCGCCCTGCAAGTTTCTTGAACGGCCCATTGTTCGCTAATTTGAAAGTAAGGAACCCATGGAGCTATCAGTGATCAAGATAGACCACCTTCATGCTCCCCTGTCAAGATAAACTCGTCCCCTTCATGGATATCACCATCGAGACCGCGAGTGAGGTTCTCCATATTGGCCGAGGAGCTGGATCCAAAGACGATCTCATCCGGGGATGCTGCGTTGATTAACTTTGCAGCATCTGCAGGTGCTTGAACGGTTACTTTCTGGGTGCTGAGCACCGATACGGAGTAATCGGCGCCTAGCTGGACGTTCGTATTCAGTAGATAATCGTATACTCGGTCCGCGACTCCCACGGCGGTCTGAGAACCTCCTGCATTGTCAGCAAAGATGAAGCCTGATTTGAGGGCCGGGAACTGGCTACGGGCCTTGTCGACGTCGAGAGCCATGGAGTAAGGAGGAAAGAGATCCGAATGGGGAGGATGCCTGTGAAAAAGCGGCATTTTTGGAAAGAGTAGCTATTTGCCATTAACTGAGCATGAGAAGTGGTTATTTATCATCATGTCTAATCTCCCGCAGCACAAAGGTGGAGGACTGCGGATGCAAGTTAGAAAATCGAGAAACGTGGAACATTACACGACGCGCAGAGCACATACGGAGCCGGGAATAGAGGGACAGGGAGATAAAAATGTCAGCGACTATCGGGCCGATGTTCCGATTTGATGTTCCGCTTGTTGCTTTGCTACGATTTCCCTCGTTATCGCTTTATACTTGGAACATCCCTGTAGTTGCATGTGCATCCCTCCATTCGTTGCTGAATAGAAGATTCCGAGTCGGTGGGCTGATGTTGTGTAGTACCTAGCCTCGAAGTCTATCGCCATCAGCTTCGATTGTCGCTGGGATCAGTTACCATTGCCGTAATTCCTCACACGCAGAGCCTAGAGGGCCTACGCCTGCCTACGCGCTTGGAGACTCGGTGTTTCGTTCGAAATCAAGACGATATTGAATGCGAATCAGTGACCCTTCCTGTTATCTCCACCATTCGCTACCTTGCTCCAGGCTCGGTGTAGATTTACGCGTGGTACTTTGCAGTTACCGTCCTTTCATGGTTTCCGTTTTCGTTCGGGGGTTACGTACCTGAAACGACTCACCGGTTGACCAAATGTCACGTCTGCTTTCACATGCCGTGTCCTTTTCTTACCCCAATTCCCCAATTCCTTGGTATATATATCCTACCATGGACTCCAGGGACACTTTCCAAAGTTTGATTTTGGGGATCCACCACGACACGCTTTCCTCAGCGTACTCTTCGCAATGGCGAAGATATTGTCGCCACCGTCCTCGCCTCCGGGCCTACACAGGGCGATGTCAATGATGTCCTTTGAAAACCTCGTCGCGTTGGCAAATCATCAGGAGAGAATCAAAGAGGCGCGACAGATGGTCTGGCGGGTCAAAGGGCAGCCGGTCGTCGAGCTGGATGATGTCGAGTCGTGTCTGAAGCATGCCGCCATCGGGGGGTTACGTGAGTACTGCTGTTCTGTTTCAAGGAAATGGACTGAGCTATCGTTCGACAGGATCCGCCACACTTGCGTTTAATATCAGAGCCGCTTTCAACCTTGTATTGGCCTTTATGCGCCTTCGATCGCTTCCCAAGTAGGCCCTCTGGACTTTTAATATCTGTAACTAACCCGTTTCTAGAAAGAAACGGTTACCTTTACTTGTACACGCCATATTTGGGACCGATACTTGGCGGTTCGCTGCTATGCTCGGCTCTTTCACGTCAATATACAAATTCCTTCTCAATGCCCTACCAATACTACTTCCCGAGACGAGACTATCCTCGAGCCACCTATTATCCAATTCGTTCTGTGAAGAAGACATGGAATGCCTCGAGAAAAAATCTCTCGAACTTGCTATTACATCCGATACACGTCGCCGTCGTACCGCTAGGTTGTCGTTGAGCGTGAATGCCCAGAAAGCTTGGGTCCGCAAGAAAACGCGGCGATGGCATGCCGCCTTTGCCGGTGCGGTTGCCGGCGGGATAGCAGTCTTGTTCGAGACATCAGGGAGGAGGGTGACTATCGGACAGCAGATGTTCGTTCGGGGGCTCCAGGGATGTTTCAATGCGTACACAACGGCTAAGAATATCAAGATACCCCATGGCGATGTTATACTGTTTGCGCTTATGTGAGTGAAGAGATCTTCGGTGAAGCCCTTCGTATAACTGACTTCCATTCTTCTAGTAATGGACAAATTTTGTATGCGAACTTCTTGAGACCCGATAGTTTGAACAGAGGATACAACAATTGGTACGGGTATGTTCGACGCTTAAATTCTCTTTCTGACCTTTTTGCAGGTTTATAAGAGTATCCGAAGTTCCTCCAGAGGCGTATAGAATAAATCGCGACTTGATGCGCAACCACACATATAACCCTAACGATTTAGATAAACTTATTGCTAATCCTGTAAGCTATTCCTAATCACTTCTTGTCCGTCACTGACTGGATCTCCCACAGAAATACAAAATCACTCCCCAAAACACCACTACACTTCTGGCCCACAAGGACGCTTTCTTTAATGGAGCGTCCAACCCTTCCAAATACATCGCTGATTCTCAGTGCCCTTGCAAGGCTCTCCATCCCGGCCAGACATCCTGCTGGCACGTTCCCGCAGCACGTTTTCTCTACGTAGCCAAATTCATGCTTCCCGTATACGGAGCACTGCATTTCCTACCTCCCGTTCTATTCAGGACCAAGGCTTTCATGAAGAACCCTCTTAAAATTCTCCTAAAGTCTGCGATGGGAACTGCGAGGAGCTGTACCTTCCTCGGAGTCTTTGTCGTTATTTACCAGAGTACGCATCCCTTCTGACACAGAGACAACTCTTTCTGATCGTTACTCTAGCTGCCATATGCTTGCGAAGCTTCTTCCATGAATTCTTCTCAATGCTCCCAGTCAACTCGATGCTCAAGCTACCACAGTGGCTGGTGGACGCCATGTTCGTATCCCGAGCAGCGTATTTCATACCAGGCTTGGCAAGCGGTCTGAGTTTATTTGTCGAGGAGAAGAGGAGGCGTGCGGAGTTGTCAATGTATGTATTGCCAAAGGCGCTGGAGAGCTTTTGGCGCGTTGCTACTGGGAAGGTTCCTGGAGGAGTTCGGACCGGCAAGACTGGAGAGGCCTTGGTAAGTCGTCTTTGTGTTGTCGCGTTTTCGCTTTCTTATTCGCCTGTAGTTGACGGCGATTGGGATGGCTATGGTTATGGTATGTGTATTTGTACGCTTGTGAGGTGGTACGGTACTGATACCTTTGTTTTCAGTGCACATACCAAAATGATCCTCAGCACTTGTCAGGACTTGTGAGACGTATTTTATACCAGTTTATTGGGCCGAATTGATAGCGCCTCGAGTAAGTATTACGTAGCGGGGATATATACCGTAAAATTGTATTATTATGATTGTAGGCAATTTGGATTTGATTTGGATGCTACAAGCTGGTGCCTGAGGACCGCTCTTAGTGGAGAGTAGCTTTATGAAAGGTACGACTTTTACAACGTCGTTGGCAAGGGGCTGTTGATTGGGGCAGAAAAGTGTACGTACCGGCACTTAATTGCATATCACCGTGATATTATTGAGCTCTCATCGGAGTCTATCTATGACAAGTTTCTATTCTAAAATAATCGGAGTAAGTAGTACAAGTAATTATAACTTCGATACGTTTCAACGTCCGATCAGAATAGTACAAATAGCACTGTAATCACCTACTGAGTTCCTCCGATCATACTAAACACAATGGCAAACTCACCAAGATTCAGGAAAATGATTCCGGTGTCAATGAATGTCCGTGAAGCAGCTTGCCCACATGTGTTGACAGATACGTGTTACCCTTTCTCCGCAGCGCGACCAAATCCTTGAAGAACACAACCGGGCTGCTCGTAAAGGGAGAGGGGTCCACTCGACCATCTCGAGACCGATGGCGTTGCAAGATGAACCCGTCACTTTGATAAGGGAGACCGTCTGTTTCTCCCGGTAAGTGAAGGCCCAAGAATAGGCACAAGGCACGATAAGCATGGTAGTCGGTCAGGTACAACTGGCCTGAGAAGATGTTGAGTTGTGTCGCCAAGGTATGATCGACAGTGAAGGGTCTGCCGGCAGCCACAGTTCGGGGGAAGTAATGGAATTGCAGATCGTCAAAGGGTTTTGTCGTCGATGTGACACGTGGGGCGTAGACATGGAGGCGTACGAATCTGCTATGTCGTATGGAGGGCAGCAATTCGTTTACTTCAAATGGACTGAGAACGACGAGTCGCGAATCATTCCCCACTGTGGATGATAGAATCCAGTTCACCGAGCGCAAGGAATGGAATGAAGAATTGATCGGTGCTTGTATTCCCTGGACGGCCATAGTCTCCTCCAGGACCGTCTTCGTAAAATCATATGTGCAAAGCAACCGAGGAGACCACACCCTTGTACCAAACGAATGACGATCGTTGAGCGACTGGAACAAAGACGCGAACGCGGAACTCTGTCGAAAGATGACACCCGTCTCGATGAAATGGCGAACATCATTGTGGAGCACGTGTATGGCAGGTTTGCGTTTCGCTGGTCTTTCGATCTCCTGCTCTCGCTCGATTTCCTGGTTGACTTCTCTTTCCTGCTCTTCATCAACATTGTTGTTAGAAACAAAATTGACACCTAGTTGCTGACAGCGGTTACGAAGCTCCGGTATGTCCATGGCGTTCAATGCTGTAGTTGGACCCTCAGGCACAGCATATAATTCCTTGAGCGAACGACCCTCTGGTTGGACCCAAGGGATAAGATATTGGTATTCAGTGGATCCCGACGCAGTGAAAATGTTCAAAGCATCTCTCCTTCCGAAATAATCCAGCCCTTGCAGTGCCCAGTGAGGGACGTGATGCGTAATGTCGTCCCACGTTTCTGTCATAACCCACCTCAACACATCGATCGTTTCCAGCACATTCGACTCGGATTTTCCTGCAATTGCTCTGATCTTCTGATCTATATCAAGAGGAGCGAAGAACATCACAGACTGTCCCTGTCCGAGCTGTCTCATCCTCATAGCGTCTATAAAAAATGAATTAGAACACGATAGCTGCCAGTATCCAAAAAGGTAGGTTCACCTTGTACCAGACGGTCTTTTGTCACTTTGGAGCCCAAAGTTATGGCTGCTCTGAAGCTCAGAGGCAGCTTAAGGTCAGTGCCTCTGGTGTGAGCTTGATCAAGATATACCAGACACCTGTCGAGCTGGTACTTCAAAGGCGATAGCAACAATGGTTCAGCACTGCCTCTTCGGTTCAATACCATCAACTCATCCGAATTGCTGAAATACACGGCTCCCAAGAAGTCTGTACATAGAGACAGTCAATATTTAGCCAATTGCTCATTCCTAAGTTCAAGCATCTGCGCCCCTACATCCAAGAGAACTTGGATCTTCGGTCGCTCTTGAACTAAGAGATCGAGGAACTCTTGAGCGGTGAGGCTGTTTCCGTTGTGCGGATTGCGTACACATTTATAATGGTTGTTTTCTGACCGAAGAAGGTATGCCAGTACCTTGGCATTGGTGCCTTGCTGACTACGGAGATCGCATTGTTGGATAGACGTAGGCAACAAGTATCGGTTGTCGTTGGTGCCGCTGAAGCCTGTCGTCACTTTCGCCCTGCGCTCCGCAAGATCCCACCCAGATGTGGATAATTTACAAGGAAACTCTTTCGCCTGCTTGGGAAAGACGACTTGCGACAGATAGAAATCATTAACAGCACGATTCCGCTGGAAAAGGGGGACGAGATGATTGGACCATTGCTCCTTATCCTTGGTGTTGACTCCACTAAGATGGGCGTAACGGTGCTGGTACAGAGTCATCGATTTTTGATCCAGGATTCGTATTCTGAGAAAGGGTCGTCTTGTTTGTACAGGAGCTGGAAGCAAGTATCAAGCTGGTTCTCCGTCAGTCCACTGTAGTAGTAGGACAGGCAAGTCAAAGAAATGGCGACATCGGGATGGCCAGATTCTGCCAATAGAGAAGGAACATCCTTAGCCCTATACGGTACCGCTAGCAGACTACGACTTAGATCCAAGCCATAATCTACTCGCCAGCGACGCGACGACAGGACATAGTTGAGGATTCCATGCGCAAAAAGTCCACGCAGTATCAGAAGAAGGCTCCATGTATTGCTCTCTGAGCATTGGCTTTCAATGGCGCGCGCACGGTCAGCGGCGACATGAACATTCGTGATAAAATCCTGCACGACACCACTTGGAAGTCGCGAGAAGAACGGATAGTTCTCTAATTGCCCCCTGAGAATCTTCTGACAGACAGCCTCGATCAAGGCGTCCCCAGCTTCGCGCCGCAGGATACGGAAGAAAGGGAAACAACCGCTTCGTGAGCGCACTTCAACTCCAAGGGGAAAAATTTGCTGGATGATTTCGACGCAGCTTGCCACGAGACTGAAAATTTGTTGTATGGTTGTCCACCGATCAGGGTACCCTTCTAAAGAACGCTGTTGTCCCATGGTATATATGAGCTGATATCGACAGTGGAGGATCTCATCGCTTTCATCAAGTATATCCCTGGAGTATTCCGTACCCATTGTTGTACTTTCAACAAATCGCGAGAAGACTGTTCCTCCCCGGGATTCATCGATGCATGTACGCAGCGATCGATACCCATTAATTTAAACGAAAGTATGTGTTCAGGCTGTGCAACCAATATCCCGCCGGCCTCCATACACCTCGTATAGATGCTCTGAATGAGTCAAATTCGCTCGGGCCCGATGTCAAGCTGTCGAGAAAAAGGCATGTAGAATATACGACGATTCAGAAGTCCGCTCAGGCGCTCAACGAGCAGCTGGAACATCTGGTTGGTAAGCGGCTTTAGTACCACGACCCGCACAAGGGCTTTGCCCTGTGCTAGTGCCGCAGCAGCCATCGGGATGATTACTGACGATTTTCCTTCTCCCATATTGAGTTGAAGAACAGAGTTCTGGCCTGAGCGCGGGGAGATGATCCTTCGGGTGACCTTTGTCTGAATCGGACGGCATATGAAATTATTCTCCAACTGTAATGCAAGGAACAACGATGTCAGCCGAAATAACAGGAAAGCAGAAGAAAATCCACCTGCAAAAGGATCCATTCGGGATATCTATAGGCAGTCACCTCGTTATTGAATCCTTCTCTATAGAACTCTGCGTGTGTAAAAATACCACCTTTGCTCAATACACACGAGTAGTGATAACCAGAGTATATTGGGGATCTACTGAGTGTACAAGCTGTGGTGGTAAAAAGACTACCTACACTAACCGCGCAAGAAAGTAAGATCTAGTGAATTACAAATATGTCAAGATAAGATAACCATCTGATAAGGGTGAGCAACCTCATAGGGCGATGAGGTCACTCCCCTTACACGCCCCCCCCATTGGGATTGCCTCCAGGGAATTCAGAACCAGAAATACCAAGTGCGGTCACGGGTGGTGGTACGACGTGAATCCGTCATCGGACGAAGCAAGGGCGAAGTCAGACCACCTATCATCGGCGGGGAGGCCCAGACATAAGCATTGTAAGGATGCTAAATAGAAGCTATCTGTCCTATTTACATCTCGGCGGGCAGACAAGAACAAAAGGCCCAATAGAGGGATCCTCCAGTAGGGCTGAGGGGAAAAGCATAGGTTATTTACCAAAATAGTTTTTTTACAGTAAATTACATAGTAAATTACAATGTATTTTACCAGGGGGTCCTGAGGGGGGTTTCAACTAGGTAAAATACACAGATCACATACATGTATTTTCACCCACAAAGCAGCTACAGTAGGCTGTAGTTCGGCACAGAACCCCCTGTGTTCCTTATTGGGACCGCATACTGGGTTTCTAATCTCTAACCTCTATGTAGACTCAATTATTCAAAGACTTTTTATAGGTCACTGAAGCACCAAGGGGAGACAATGACATAGCCCCTTGAATTCTTAGGAGACTCTGACCGCATTTGGAACAGCCAAAAAATCATAGGAAAAGTGGAAAATAAATTATATTATCTAATTATGTGACAAGGTATTTTACATAGTAAGAAACCCCCTCCAAGGCTCACAAAATACCAACCGCGAACGCCCTGGAGGTTTTTCCCTCAACCCTACCCTCCAGGATAGCCTGGCAGTCACATGATAATGGAATATATGAATTTGGCAGGTGCAATGCCAAGATTGGCAATTATATTCTGAAAATTTCCCTCAGCTATATCGAAAACTGGCTCATTACTCATGCTTGGGGGTCGCTACTGATAGCAGTTGCTAGCGACCGGAGCTTCAACTGAGTTTTAACTTAACTGGCATTTCCCATTTGGACACGCGATGCCGTTCGCGGACTACAGTTGGTAGTGCTGAGTAGTTTCCTGCTCCTTCCCACACCCGGAAATTTACCTCGTAAAGAATTTATCATCTTGAATGCTCATATCCATAGGATTTTGAAGCTGTAGCCTACCAGTTCATGTACTTTATCTTACTTCATGAAATGGTAACTATGGAGCCCTTTCAGCCTCAGGAGAAGAAAAATACCTAGTATTAGATGCACACTAACTATTGACCCCAAACAAGATCTCTGCAAAGGATGCTGACAGCCATCGATGCTGAATGCGATGGTGAGCCTTAGCACGCACTAATAAATCACTGCAGCAATTGACCACATTTAGCTCGAAATTCAAACTCCAGTCAGTAGCGACTTGGCTGCTACCATTCAGAAAAGACTCAAATTTTATTTTCCTGCCTGGAGGGCTCGAAAAATTTAGGGTATATTTTATGCATAGAAATAAGCTTGAATCAAAATTTTAGGCACCAGAAATGGAATGTCTCCTTTATGTTAAATGAATCCACTACTGAACGGCAGGTCTGCCGTTTGATGTGGCTGTGCTTCAGGCATCAGAAAGGTGCACAGAGCACTGTTTTTCACCACCCTCTTTAAATACATGTTTCTGATACTCAAAATCATTTTAGAATTTACAGATAGGTCTTATGAAGCTTTCATGTGCTCACCCTTTTCTCTTTTTCTCTCTCTCTTTTTCTTTTATTTTTTATTTTTTATTTTTTCTCAGACCGACCCACAAGCATCAGTAGCGAGCCCAAAAACTCCACTCTCCCATGTAAAAAAACATGGTAAAAAACTATTTTTGTAAAAAAAGCGGTGCTTTTTCGCTCAACCCTACGTACTTATTATGTACTATGTAGTAAAGATCAGATGACAGTAATGTCACATGCATTCAGCAGGACACAACGCATGTGGATAAAATGTGACTCACACGACCAGTACTACTACTACCACCAATGAACTAACTGGGTAAGTCGCATGTGTTGAAAATATGATGTGGTACCCTTAGAACTTGGGCCCCGAATTGAACTAAAAAGTAGAGTGGAGCCGTATGAGAAGTGACTAGTGATGGCCCGTCGCATGGCGCTGATCTCAAGCTGACAGCGAAATTTAGTAGCAATTGGAAGCTGGAGCTCAACGAAGATGAAGAATATGTACAACAGGAGATCTACTTTAGGGATATAACAGACGATTATGCATGTGGATATCGGCTATACCTGAAGGTCTAGCATCCCCGGTGTTAAGCTCTACATGTCTGCACTCTATCACAGTTTACTCCCTTGCAGGACACCCTTCTATCAAATCCATAAACAGACAACTTACGTTTAAACATATATGTAATATCAATCCACACATACATTTCCAAAAATCACCGCATACTGAAGATGGCCGATATCAATTTCCCAATGGCAGATGTTGCAACAGGTACGCCTATCTATTCCAAGCATGCACTTAGTGAGCATGAACATTTTCAAAGACATGGAAGTGGTGCAAGAAGAGGACACCGCGTTGATGCCAGATGTTTTAGGCAGCCCCAAGTCAACTAGAGAATGTACGTGCATTTAATTTTCACGATATCTGTCTTTTTCATTGAACCACAATAGATGTACTGAGTAGGTCACTCCTCTTTCCAGTGTAGTGACCAATTTCTTCAATGTTAACTAGTGCCTGTGATGGGTCGTGTGACCACCTATCATGCACCTTGGAACGACGAACATATCAGAATGATAAATGATAGGATTTTGAGCCAGTTTCAGTGTGACACCAAGAAAGAGGTCAGGCGTTTCACACAGCTAGAGCATTTTTTATTTGGGGCAATCGATCGCAAAAAACCTCCGGACAAAGTTTACGATATGGTTCGGAAAGCGCAACAAGATGGAAATTATCAAGAGCTCTTAAAACATCATTGAGTTTCTTCCGTTCGCAACCCTCATATTTTTGCTCATCTTTTCTTGCATAGACTGTTTTGCAGGAAGAGAACTCAATTGTAAGTCCTATATCTTCCGACTTTTCTTATACCCATTGTCTGTCTCCACAGTTGTTTTGGGTGACGCCAAGAATGATGCTTGAGTTGAACCAGACAAGATCCAAGGTACCTCTTTACCGATGACACCGATACCTACCAGTCCCTGATTTCATTTGCAAGGACCAAATGCGGATGATGCTAAGGCGAATGAACTCGAGAGCCAGTCCAAGAACATTCTCAACCCCTTCTCTGATATCCTAAAGGACTACGCAGAGGGTAGGCTTGACTACCACTTTTCATCAACACACAAAGGAAAAGGACCTCATGGCGATGTTCACAATCCGGATGCAGACCAGGTTCATCTCCTCCTTGCTGGCCTTGGTGACCAAACTCAGACCTTGACAGGTTGGAAGACAGTCTTCCGTAGTGATGAAGAGGACACATACAAACCGTTTTCAGTGTACTCTTTCCTTTCCATCCTTCTAGCTATGTTCTGATAGGCAACATTATAGGTCCATTATTGATTTGCCTGGATACGGAAAGACCAGACTGCTATTTGAAGCAGTCGTGAAATACTTTTTTATATATTTCATTTGCTCTAGAGGGAAATCAACTTGGGCAACGGGATCAAGTGATTTAGAATGGATAATACGTATGATCAACGAGAGCAACATAGTTGGGGTGAACGAGGAGAAAATGGTGCAAAGAGCATTTTACATGCTTCTCTATTCAAGGATTTACATTCTACACCATTTCCTGGATCTCATCTTGTGGGATCCCACAGTTACAACTCTAGATGTTCGTCGCCGCCTATTGCTTCTACAAGCATGTCCCCCATGTCGTCCCTTTGATGATGACACCATATCAGATCTCTTCATCCACTTGGTGACTGCGGCAAGCTCATTTGGGATGGAAACACTGCGACAGGGCTGCAGGAACTCGCTGTATAACTTTCACCGATCCATCAAGATGCTTCTGCGTAACAATGACTCTTCTGATTCACAACAAATGCACCTCATCTTCGATGACATAGAGGCTGCTACCAGTGATCACTGGCTTTATACAACCTCAGATGGATCTGCCAAGCAATCCATACTCGGATGCTTTGTCGAATCGTTGGATATCCTTTTAGAGCCCCGAGCAATAGTATCCACAGCCTCTAGGCTCTCCATGGATGTATTTGAAATAATGGACAGCATGGAGTTTGTTCAAGGCCCCCCTACCAGGTTGATTTACACCTCAAAAGTCTCGAAACCAGACCATACTTTGGAGGGTTGCTCTAGTTATATCCTCTGCCATTTGCCAGAGCTGAAAAGGGTCCCTGTTCTTCTTCAGAGGTTTACAATGTGGCTATCGCCTCAGTAAGCGTTTACTGCAATCATTCAGATTTTTGCTTACAGTTTGATTACAAGACCACGACTTGTTGCTAGGCTGCTCGAGATGTATATGGCAGTGAAACACATTGAGGAAATCCAAAAAATTCCATACCACAAGATTTTGTCCAGCACAATTGAGGCATTGACTGGATACCGGCCCATGGATGCTGCATTCTTGGAAACACAAGAGGAGGAAATACCGAAGCTCATTCTCAGTGAATACTTTCTTCCTGGTGCCATGGGAGTGAAGAAGCAGGTTGAACATGAAAGCGGTATGCATCAAATTCTGTTCAATATGTGTCTGACCACTAACAGTGTCCAGATTGTGACTTGATGATGACAGTCTCACGACTTCTATATCGCTGGATTCTTAGCAACCCTTCAGGTCGAGAGCTTTCTCACAATCATGCTTCCAGACTCGTTGACTTCGGGGTCACCTCTCTTCCCCCTATTGTGGCTCGAACTCCATATCAATTTATGAGAGACGTAGCAGAAAGTGTCGCTTTGACAGAGCCTTGCGGTGCACTGTCATTAATGGTGCTTCTTGGCTCTGCTGGAGCAGACACTCTCAAAGCTTCCATGAGGAAGGCGGTATTTGATGTGGAAGAAATCGCAGATGAGGAGGATATCTTCAAGAGAGGCACAATATTGGTGTTGATGAAAAAGCTGGGAAAGGAAGCTGGTTGCACCTTGGATGACATCCTTCAGTTTCACAATGGTGCTCCTCCCTGGACGAAGGAGTGTTATCGTCTGATCTCCTTTGTGAGGAACAGCGACAGCGGTGTGCAAATCCCTGTGCGCGTTACATGGAAGTTGGGTGCATCTCCTCACCTGGGGTTCAAAGCCCGAGAACCTGATGATGTTATGCGTTGGATAAAGGATCCGAGTGGTGTTCCTTTCTTTTTTCCAGATGCATATCATTGGTCAGATGCTCTTGCTATTGTTGAGAATCGGACGACATTGGAGAGGTCGGTGCTGGTTATTCAGGACAGGATTGGAGCAACTGATGTCAAGGAACCGCTCTCAACCTCCTGTTATATGGAGGATAATGTATGTGCATCGGTTGTTCTCATAAACATATTTCAAGACTGGACTTACAAATTTTCATCGCAGTGGTTATCCCCCCTGTTGGATGCTGAGAAACCAATGCTAGGGGAAGTGCAACCCAGAAAACGGGTGAAGTGCCAAAACGTTGCCATCCACTGCCCTAAACGAGACATGACGTGGGCCCCCTTGGTTATTAGCGTTGTCGCGACCACCTGTGATATCTCAAGAGTAGAGCACAAGTCAGATGCCAAGCTGGAGCCGATTGGAATACTTCGTCTTGACGAAATCTGACATTACAACAATCCGGTTTTTTCTTTACCCTAGATGCCTTGCTTCCGATTCGAGGCTGCCAATTTTGGTTTAAATTGCAACAATTTACACATTGGTAGTGTGAGCCGTGATGAATAACTTGTCAAGATGTCTACTAACCTGTGATTTGTGCCTGTAGAGGTTCTGTGTTCCCCGTAACAGTGCTGCCCCGAGTCATTGAACCAGCCACAACAACTCTCATTTTTAATTGCATTTGAAGGAGGGGAGTAGTATGGCATAGCTTAGTTTTACTGCTCCATAATAAACGACCTGAGTATCGTGACTTGCAGCTCTAACTTATCCTTCACGTTTTCAAAGAAAAAAAAAACAGACTCTGCTTCCAAGTTGCACTCGAGCTAGTAAAGATTTTCAGTTAATAAATCAAAGCTTTGCCAGCCCTATGGCTGCCATGCTGACTCATTCTGCTGTCAGATCCCTAACGCTTTGCCAGGCACAAAAATCATACCTTTTCTCGCCATCGCCAGCTACATAATCAAACTCAGAAACATGAATCTTGACCCTTCTTCCTGTACCAGCTTCAGAAGTAGGCGCTGCACCAATGTTTTCGAAGTTGCCAATGTCATGGAGTCTTGTAAACAGCGTTGGGAAACATGTCGAGAGGGATCAGACGAGATCAATTCAGTCGCGGCATGATGGGCTCTTTGATTATGCTCTTCCCTACCTGCGGGCATCAACAGCAAGCGATGTTCTGGTCTATGTCGGCGACCGATACACCATTGCCTCACGATATGTCTTCAGAAGATATATATTGCCATGGGAAAGCCTAGAAAACATGACTCGTGGAGGCTTCCTTATAGAGGTTCATTCCGTGTCAACCCACTCTACTCGCTTCATGACATGGCTCATCGTAACCTTGCTACGAAATTCTGCCCTTACTGTATTGGTCCCTCCATGGCATGATCCTGGGTCTGGCAAAGGGTGCTGTGAGGATTGTCCTTGTGATGCGGCCAATGCAGTCTCACCTGATCCTGAGGAGGTCATGTCGATGGCTTTTGAAGATGTGAAAATGCATGCCCTGCTCCTTCATCATAACCTGTCCGATTCAGATCCACTTCCGCAGGTGGCCAAGGTGTATATGGATATGAAGATTCCCCGTGTCAGAAGAATCCTTATGATGGGAAGATGCCATATAGACGGGAACCACAAAATTAGTTGATTTAAGGTGGTTAGAGATTTTGTGCTTTGGATTATGTATACGCCCTTCACACTTTCTATTTCATCTTCAGGGAATCAGGGTCTAATTTTATCATTGCAGGCCATCTGCCGCTTCGCCAACTCATCATTGGATGATGGTGTAATATGAAGATCTCTACCCTCTCATCTTGTTGTTGCCCAAATTTACATCAGAAACAGCAACGGACTGTACCGACATGCTGCCTCTCTGGCAGGCATTCGAAGAAGATCCCTATGATCACAAAATCCATGCTATGCCATCGTAGAAAGGAAAATTGGCTCCTCCCGGCCCTTCTGCCTCTCCTGCCCCTTCATCATTAGGATAGCCCTCATTTGGGAAACACACCCCAAAACCCAAGACGTTCGACTCAGAGAAGGCTCTTCCTACTGTCTTCAGTCATCGACCCCTTGAACCTGCTCGTAGCCCTCCAGAGACCAGTGTTTATGACTATATTCCCCTTCTTCTTATTTTTGAGTGGATCGCAAAACAATTTACTTGAAAGAAGAAGCATCACGAACTGCTCTCGGGAGAAAAATCAGGCCAAAAATCGAAGAAAGCAATGTATCTTTACAGATTACCACCTATCTGTCGGATTATGTCAATTGTTTGTGTTTCTCTCAGATCTCTGTTTGGTTGCTAACCTATTTTCGCAGATATCATGCGTTCTGGGGTCCTTCAGCCACCTATTGCAGCTGGCATCATCAACAACATTGGTGCACTCCAAGATATGTTAACCCACCTTGGACGAATTGTGAACAAACCGCTTCCACTTGTGTATCAAATGCATCTGCGGATGTCCCTTTGAGTATACTTGTTCCTCCTTCTGGTTCGTCATCTCCTCTGACTGCCTCTGACATTTTTATGAGCAGTTCCAAATCTTTGACAACTTCAAATACCTGACGATCCCTGGAACGGCATTTTTGTCCTTCCTTCTACTCAGTTTCCTCGAGATTGGCCAGGAAATGTATGTAAGACCACTGTTGAAGAAGAACAGGTACTCATTATTCCATCAGTGAGAATCCATTCAATTACGATCTCAATGACCTAGTCCTCGACGTGTTTTGCCTGTCTATACAGCGAAAACTTCAATAAATTGCCGCCCACTCGCTGCCAGACCCTGCTTCCTTCATCATTACTGCCTGGAACCAACCTTTCGCACCTGGAGATCAGCGTACTGCAGCTGAACTTGTCAAGGGTGAAACAGAATATAGACATGCTGAGGACGAACACCAAGGGTTGGGAAGCATCAAGCAGACGCTTCTGCGCAGCTGGAGGGGCACGGATGACTTGACTAGAGAGAAGTAAAAGGCGTGATTCTTCAGCTGACTGGTCAGTTATAAAAGGTTGGCTGGTTCAACCATTCTGGGGAAGCTATTTTATCAGTAAACTGCTGCTGTTGCATAACATACGCGATACAAATACAAGGGAAGACGGCTAAGTCGGCACCGCTTTATGAGCTTGAAATTAAAGTTTTCTTGAACCAATCCATGGTCTGCTGCAAGGTGCCTTCATATGCCTCCTTCACATCAGGATAGTCGATGTTCGAGTGTGCTGCAAAGCCATGGGTCGTGCCTTCACAAAATATGTTAGTAAGAATGCTCCGGTGACATGAAAGACTGACCTTTATATTCTCTGAACTCATACGCAACTCCATCCTTCCGTTCAGCTATGGCTGCCTCTGCCTTCAATCGGAGGTCATCTAAGAAAAATATCAAAATTAGATGTTGACTGCAACATTGTTACGGTTATTCTTTTCTTTTTCTTTTCTTTTTCTTTTCTTACGCATTCACGCTTACTCTATGCTGCGATTTTGATCGGACGTTGCTGCGGCACTATCTTTAGCCTACGCAACGTGTATTTAAGTAGAGCCTCAGCTGGTCTAAACCCCAGCTTCGGCTAAGGTTTATTCTACCTAACATCGAAACTCCGTTCTTCTGACTAAGTGTCCATCGACTTACGTCGCCTTTGACTTGTTAGTGCATCGTCTACCGAAGTGCGAGTAGCGATCCTAACCCGATCTAAGTCGATCAGAGTTAGTGGCTTACATTTAGCCGAAGCTCGATCTACGTTGCTCAGCGTCACTTCTGAGAAAGAGCGCTGCCCAACTCTTTTATGAGAAATTACCCCGCTTGACCAGAGAGGTCATCGCCTACGTTCGTGTGGACAACCCGGTGCTTGTCAACGTACAGCGAGTGGACCGACGGAAAAGCACTCACCATTCATCCGATACACTACCTCGTTGCACTAGCCTTGTGGCTAATACCCCCTCGGCTACTCCTTCTGTTGTTAGTGATCGAATTGATTGCTGAATTCATCTACCACGACAATTTACTCCTCGCAGTCTTCTTGACTGTATACTTTACCCTCCTCCTAATCGGACTCGGAATATCGGCAGCGTTGCTAGCAAGTCTGCTAGTCGCCCTGTACACGCTATACCCGCGTCTTGTTTAGGAACCACGTATCCCAACACGAAACCCTTCGTTCTCGCCCTTCAGCTCGCCTCTATCTTAACAGTTTTGCTGTTAATAGTAACGAGCACCCCTCCCGACGAGACCTGCGAAATCTCGTTAATGAACGGTTCCAATTACGAGACCGACCTTAGCCTGATCATCGCTCTTCTCATTGTTCTAACCATTCTTGCTGTCTACCAGCTTGCATGGTCCATTGTCGACTTACGCCACGGATAGATTCGCGGACGAATGCCCTGGTCCGAATCCATTCTCGCCGTCTTCGCGACTTTTATACTCTTTTTCTTGTCCATTACTTTGTACCAACTTCGCCGTTGCTGCCAGCGGGGACAAATCCGCGCACAACTTCCGCTCCACTATATTCCCAGCGCCCCGGCGTATCCACCGCCGGTGATCGACATTCCCTCGGCATCTCAGCAGACAATCGAAGATGTCGGATCCAACGCCTCCGGGGAACCTGGAGGATCCCTCTACACCTCGTCGCGACCCAGCTCGCGATCCTCAGAGTCGAGCACCGACTCCTACAGAAGCGCTTCCAGCGCAGCAGCAGGTTCAATCGACATCGCAGATACCGGGGGGATACTCCTCGACCGAGGAGACACACCCTTACCAGGTCTCTTCGACGTCTCTCCAGTCGAAGGCGAGTCAAGCGCCGACGGAGCCCGAAGACAAGACACCAGGCATCTGGTCGAGGGCGAAGAAAGCCCTGACACCGAGTTTGAAGGGGACGAGCTCACCGAGTGGGAAAGAACCCGGCTCGACGACATCCTCAACAACCTCTATGCGAGTGAGGAGGAAGATGACCCCGATACCGGAGGCTCCCACAGCGAAAGAACCCACTCAGGGTGGGGACACAAAGGAACGTGGGAGGAGGTCCGCAATCGAAGGATCGAGGCGGACAACGCAAGAGATCGCGCAAGAATGGCGCGCAACAGAGGTCGCCGAGACGACTTCTACGATGATTCCGGAGAGCTTAGCCTCGGAGCCTCCGCGGCTACCACCCGTCCAGCTCAGCCACAGCCTGTTCCAAGGGCCTGGCCAACCAATAGAGGACCCCCGGTCGCCTGGTACCCCGACACCAGTTGGGTCTACGCAGACGACGGGGAAGAGACTCCTGTGGCCAGAGAGTCGACCCGCGGAGAGCCCGACCCGATCCCTGAAGAGTCCGAGGCCCCAGAGGTCCCTTCCCCCGTCTCCTCGCACGAGCAGACGGGTGGGGAGCTTTGGGGCGAGTTCCCAGACCTCAACGACGAGGAACTTGGAACAATTACCGCAGCCGAGCGAAGCGCCGGAGTTTCCGGCTGGGAACCGACCGTCTCGTCGCGAGCCTTCGCCGATCCCGTCCCCCTCACCCAGCGTCCGTGGCCGCTCCTTTATCACACGTACGTCGAGTCCCTCCGACTCCCTCGAAATGCCCGGGAGTCCCCAGAAGTCCAGGCCAGAATGGACCGAGGGCGAGCGCACGATGCACGCATCCGCCGCGCCGAAGAGGATGCCCTCTACGGACCCGATGGCTTCTGGGATCTCCCCCTCGAGCCCGACGCCACCCCCGCCGAGGTGGACAACCGAATACGAGCGGCCGCCGTCCGCTACACAGGATATGCCCGAAGAGCAGGAGCCGACCTCGAGGCCAGAGCCAGAGCTTGGAGAGTCTATCAAGAGGAGATCTCCAACGAGGACTCTGACATCGGGAGATGGCGGCGAAACAAGGAGCTTGACCGACTCGCCCGAGAGAGGCAGGAGGCCAAGGATGCCAAGTCGTCCGCCCAACCGGACCCTCGAACCAACGGTAATGGCGGCGGTGACGCAGGTCATGATACGGGGACCGACCCCGCGACCTGACATCTTCAATATCCTCCCATGGAACGGGCTCTACGAAATCATCATGGAACACATGGAAAAGGACCCCCAGTGGTTATTCACTGACGCGGGGGTCGACTATCAAGCTGCAAAAAGCATGGGGGACGTTTACCTCATGAAAAACATACTCGAAGTAGAAACGTGGCATCGAGCGGCAATTATATGGAATATGGTAAATCCGGACGCGCCCCAGCGGGGGTGCGAACCGTATCGACGACCCCAACCAATGCCGCCGCCAACAGACGTAGAAGGCTTCTTCCCTGAGGGCTTCTTCGGAGGAGCCGGGGAAGACGACGACGATTACGCAGACATGGGGGCAGGGCCCTCTAACCAGGACAAGGGAAAGCAGTCCACGGTCCCGCCGGAGCCGCCGAAACCGCTATACTACCCAGGCCCCGCGGGTTATCCCCCACCTGGGGAAAACAGGAATCTACGGTCGGTATCGCGGCCTCCTAAGGCACCGGTACCCCCTCACGTACCATCCCCTCCGGACCCAATTCCCCCCTGGCAACTTGCCCCAGGGGCAGTCAATAACCCGTGGAATGACGTAAAACCCAAGCTGGTAACCCAGCCGGAATATTTCACCGGGGTTTCCTCGGACATCACGCGTTTCCTCCATCACTGCGAGGTCTACTTCGCGGTGTTCCCCATGTACTATAGCATGAACGATCAGGGGCACAACCCCTATCGTATCACGTTCGCCCAGGGGTACCTACGAGGGGACGCGCAGCAGTGGTGGGTGGATCAGTACTACCGATACCGGGACCCGCAAGGTCATTGGAGGTTCCCCACATGGGCGGAATTCTCCGAGGATCTCCGACGCGAGTTCCGTGAGGTGGCGGAGCTTACCATCTGGAAGTCCGAGTGGAAGAAGATCCGACAAGCGGATTTTAAATCCGCAGTCGAATTCTTCGCGAAGTTCGAACGGCTAGCCCACAAGTGCGAGGAGTTCGGAGACGAGAAGCAGATGTTCGAAGCAGTAGAAGCGGCGATAAGGCCGACAGTGCGAAACACGGTTATGCATGGGGACAACGAGCGCCCCACAACCTACGCCCAATGGAAGGCGCGAGTCCTAAGGATCGACGCCAATTACAGGTACGGAGTAGCCCAAGGACTGGGCAGTAAGTCCTCCTCGAACCAAGGCGGTTCGGGTCGAGGCAATCAATCGAAGGGAAGCGGGTCGGGTTCCGGGGGCGATAAGAAGGACGCCACTGGAACCACCTATGGAGGTGCCGGGCAGCCGATGGAAATCGACAAGTTACGGTCCGACAAGCGATGCTTCAAGTGTGGGAATACTGGGTGGAGTCCGAAGCACAAATGCCCCGACGACAAGTCGAAGTGGCTTCCCGTCAAACTCCCACCACGCAAAAAACCCAACGTCGCCCGCCTCCGTCAATTGCTCGAAGAAGCCGTAAAAGAAGAGAACGGTAAAGAGACGAAGATCGAGGAGGTCAAGGACGATAAGTCGTCAAAAGACGAGCCGGCGTCGAAATAAGCGATTCGACGACGTCGGCCAAGGACTTAGTTTTCTACTGGTGCGCATTCATGTAACTCTAGCCGGACTTATACTACGTATGTAGGTACTCCGTACGATCAATATACCAACTTTTTTGCCGCGTTACCAGTCGAAGAAACTAAGGAAAATGAATCGCCAGTCAGCGACGGCGTAGGAGGGGATTCCCGCCACTGGGCGCAGTCTGTGCTCAGTAATGAACCCCTAGGGGCAGTCCCAGCTCAGGAACCCCCGGCTCACCGTACAGGGAA